TAATAAATTATAATAATATACTATAATAGTATAGTATAAAAGTGTATATATATAATATATATAATAGTATAGTGAAATTTAAAATAATTAATATTACCAAAAATAAAAATATTATTTACATTGAATTTAATGGTTAGAAATAGTAATAATAAATAATAAATAAATTACCATGTAGTTGTTCTGCCCTTGCCCGATGCCGCCCTGGACCTCCTCCTCCTCTCGTAGAAGCTTCGAAACACTTGCACTTTGCACTCGCGTTACTTCTTTTCGTTCGCGACGCGCGGCGACGCTCGGATTTTAGCTATCACATTTTCGACGTGTTTTGACAAAACGCGAGAATCGCGAGAGCATATTCGCGCACGACCGATGCTCCGTTTTCGCGTCGCCGCTTTATTCAAGGCCTATCGAAGGGCCTCATCGAACGACGAAGACGACTTCCCCGCGACGCACTCGGAAATCGCCGATACTCCCGAATTGGTCACTACACACTTCTCGCTCTTTACTAAATATTTTCGACACGACGATTCACGAGAAATTTTGAGAGGGCAACAATATCATTATGGCGGCGCGACCGTAGTCGTGGTCGACCTGCGATTTTTACGAAAATTACGAACTAAATTCGTCGCGTACCGATACTTCGACACGATAATGCGGAAATACGACCGGAAACGCGCAATCGCCCGCTTAGTATCCGCTCGACAACGTCGAAACACTCTGGAAATTTTCGCGTCGAAAGCGCCCAGTAATTCTCGCGATCCGCCCTCGTAAACTCGCGCGCGCGAACTTTTGGCGGGACTCGAGTCGGAGCTGTGACGTCACGCGTCACGTGACAACGTGCTTACGGGAGAACGAGCGGTTAGGAGCGAGACTCGCGGACGAGATCAATTTCGCATTTGCGATCGCGATCACGAATTCACGATGTCTGTACACGCGACGCGATCAGATATATATGATAATTAACGACGTAAAGATACTAATTAATATATACTAATTAATATACAGACGTACTTTCGCCACAGATTAATAGACAGATCGCCAAAGGTCTGGATGAAGGAGAGACCAGCATTTCTCACTGATTTCAGCGCCATATCGTAGTAGTGGTCAATGCAGTAACTATTAATACGTTCCCAAGATAAGAGCGTCTCATGCTCATGAACTCGTCCGGCGGCATGTACGAAATTTATCTTTTCGTAGCGTTCGCGTATTTCGGAAAGGACAGAATTTTATGATGTTATAAATAAATAAAATATTAACCTGACCTATTATAATTATTTTTAATAAATGTTTCATTATTATTATCATCTAAGTCTAAGTCGTTTAATTAATTTTTAGTTTTGTAATAATTAATTTAATTTATTCTAATCATTTTAATATGTGAAAAATACTAATACGTATACGTTTTATAATGAATTAATATATTTCGAGAGTCGAATTATATATTTTTAATAATATAAAAGTGTTCAAAAATTATATTTGACTTTTAATTTTAATTATTTTAGCAAAGAGTTCCGAAATCTCTTACACACATAATAGGGATTTTGTTCATCCATATAATTCGCAATTAAGTATATATGTTAATTATTAATTTCAATAAAATACAAAATTAAAATTAAAGGTCAAATATAATTTTTGAACATAAATATATTTAATTCGTTATAAAACGTATACCCGTAATAGTATTTTTCTCGTACAAAAATAACTAGAATAAATTAAATTACTCAAAAAAATAAAAAAATAATTAAATAATTTATATTATATATGATAATAATAAAACATTTTATAAAAAAAACAGATTCAATAAATATAAGTATATATATAACATGCACTTATATTTATTGAATCTATTTTTTAATAAAATGTTTTATAAGCTTAGAAACTTGACTTTGACGTAACTAGCAAATTTTATTTAATTATTTCACGACGGTTTGACGTAATAAAATGTTTTATTATTATTATATAAAATATAAGTTTAAATTCTTTAATTAATTTTTAATCTTTTATGATTAATTTAATTTACTCTAATTATTTTTGTACGAGAAAAATACTATCATGGGTATACGTTTATAATTAATTTAATATATTTGTGTTTAAAAATTATATTTGACCTTTAATTTTAATTTTTATTTTATTAAAATTAATAATTAACATATATACTTAATTGCGAATTATATGGATGAAAAAAATCCCCATTATGTGTGTAAGAGATTTCGGAACTCTTTGCTAAAAAATAATTAAAATTAAAAGTCAAATATAATTTTTGAACACATTTATATTATTAAGAATATATAATTCGGTTCCCGAAATATATTAATTCATTATAAAACGTATACGTGATATTATTTTTCTCATATAAAAATGACTAGAATAAATTAAATTAATTATTAAAAAACTAAAAAGTAATTAAACGACTTAGACTTAGATGATAATAATAATGAAACATTTTATTAAAAAAAGATTCAATAACTAGTAGGTCAGGTTATAATTTTTTATTTATTTATTTATAACATTATGAGCTATTAAGCTCATCATCTCGTTCGCTCTCTTGCTTTCATTCGGCAAGTCACAAACGATATATGATACTCGTATGTTCCTACTTCAACTCTCGAGAATCTGAAACAAACGAAACTCGTGTCCAATATACAGGGTGTCCGGTAACTAACAGACCAATGATTACAAATGGATTCTTTGGTCAATTTGGGAACGATTTTTCTTCAGCGAAAATGTCGAAAAAGGTCATCATTTTTTACAACTTTCCAATCTTTGTCATTATATATCTTTATAACTAAGCCTTAAATTAAAATTTTATTATAGTAAACTCTACCTGAAATTAACTGAAGAATGTAATTATGTTAGACTTTTAACTCCAAAACGTTTAGTTTTCAAAAACCTATTTTTTCAATCGCTTATAACTCGAAAATTATTGACTTCTCTACATTTTTGCTAAGGAAAAATCGTCTCCAAATTGGCCAGAGAATCCGCCCTTAATCATTGGTCCGTTAGTTACCGGACACCCTGTATATATTATATAAAAGTGTATAGCACGTCAGAAGCTTGTGAGCTTACAGCGATAAGTAAAAACAATTGCGTATCTATTTCATTGCGTTTATCTGTTTAAACGCGCGCTTTAATTTTTCCAACGTTTTTGCCTGTTTATATTTTAAAGGTCCTCTCTTCTAAAAATCTTGTTTTAAAGATCCTCTCCGCGAGCAAAATTCGAAAACATAAATTATTTAATATTTTTACTTTATTATTTGTAAATCCTCGGTAATTTCAAAATTTTTCTATTTGAAAATTATTAATTTTCTATTGCCAATTAATTTTATCACAGACTTTACTCTTACTCCCATTGCACTTTCGTTTGCGGTTTTCAGTATACGATTTTTTTCGTAGTTACTGAAAATTATTATTGTGAATTATACTTGTGCAGTGATATGAAGAATTTACAATTTCGTTGAAATTGTTGATTTTTCAAAAAAATTACGAGATTCGCGGAAATTGCGTGCTTTCTTGGCATTTTCCGTTCGCGGCAGGCGGTTTATTTTGATTGTTGCAAGTGTTTTTTTTTTTTTTTTTATTAAATAGATAATAATAATGTGAAATAAATCACGATATTTGACAGATGTGCATATATATAGAAATTGTAATAATAATAATATTATATCATAAAATTGTAAATTGTTTCAATTTTTTATAGACTGCGATAAAAGATTTTACATTTGGATAAGAAACTGCGGTAAGTAAAAATATAAAATTCTTGAAAACGTACCAAAAATATTTGATAACGTAAAAAGGTGAACTTTGAAAAATAAGGAACTTAAAAATTGCACTAATAAATGGGCTATATGTGAGCCGTGCGCGGATGTAAGGTGTGTTATATCGAAATTTAATTAATAGAATTGAGAATTAATCCCAATTTTAAGTCTTACAAATGTCCAAGCTAATTTTTTGTACCTCGTGTACATTTTTGAAAGTTATATCGAAAAATTAAATTTCAATATGCGTCTTACATCTCACATTTCGCATACGGCTCACATATAGCCTATTTATCTCTTATACTTTATTTCAACCCTTATAGAAATTTATTACTAGTAACGCCAATTTATCACTTATTTCGAGTAATTAATCACTTTTATTTCGAATACTTAAATTACTGTATATTATAGTATTTTAAATACTCGAAATAAGTGATTAATTGGCGTAGTGATAAATTTCTACAAGAGAATAAGGAGCCTTTAAATTCTTAATGTAAAAAATTTCAAGTAATTTTCTTTAATAAAATTTAATTAAAAAATTTAATTAAAAAATTTTGAACACTGTGTTATATCACATTTAAAATCGTGATTATTTCAATAAAAAAACATTTTATGTGTAAAAAATATATTTTTTATATTAATAAATTTTATATATATATATGCATATGTAAAATATTTCTCTCTCTCTCTCTCTCTCTCTCTCTCTCACTCTTCACACACACACACACACACGGGGGCCAAATCTCTCAAATTGGTCTCATGATCAATTAGCCTGGATTCGCACCAGGGGCAAAGTCTGTTGGTAATGTCAAACGAATTTAGCCTGGACTTGCACCAGGGGCAAAGTCTTTTGGTCGAGTCTACGAAATTTAGCACGGACTCGAACCAGGGGCAAAGTCTTTTGGTTCAAGTCTACGAAATTTAGCACGGACTCGAACCAGGGGCAAAGTGTGTCGGTAAGGGGCAAAGTCTATCGCACGAAGATGGCGGTCTATGATCTTTAGGTAAAGGCCTTTGGCGATCTGTCTATTAATCTGACGTACTTTCGCGGACCGGCGACGAACGACAAGCGCGCAAATATTGTTCGTGAACAATGCGAAGTTGCACCAGAGAGCAGCATTCTAGATTGTGTTCGGAATATATTCATCTAGGGAGAAGCACTCGATTGACCAATCAGAACAAAGGGATTCTCGGTCTCCGATTGGTCAATCAAAATTTGCGCTTTGACAGGCAGATTCCGAACGCAACTCTGAAGTCCTTTCTTGATGTAATGGGTTATGGTTTTATGGTTATATAGTATATTATTATATAGATTCTAACCGGTTTCTGAAATGTTTAAACAAATTGCGGGATTATCTGCATCATGTAAATCATGTCAGATTTTATCGGGTAGGTAAATATAATTATTTCTTTCTTTTCTATTTAAATATTACTGTAAAATATTTATGTAAAAAAGTAATGTCTAATTCTATACTTTAATTATTGATCTATTTAAACTATGAAATAATTATCTGTATGTATGTTTCTATCACACAGAGAAAAATCATAAACATTTTGTACAGGTACATTGAAAAAAGCTGCCATGGTATATCCTAAAGTGATTCAATGTCAGGATAGTCAAGCATTTAGTAGTAGCACCGCCACAAAAAAATGGGATTTATACAGTGCTGTTTGCTTAGAACGTCATCCAGTAATAGTACAACCGATGCAAGACATGGAACAAAAATTTTATAATTTATTAAAGAGGATTGAATATGAGAATAGTTTCAAAAGTGATCATGAATTAAGAGTGGAGAAAGAGGAAAAGCTAAAAAATTCAAGTGAAGATGTAGAAAAGAGAGACATTTTAATACAAACTGCACAGGACTTTGAAGATAGTAGTCAAGAAGAATTGAATAATTTTACATTTGCGCCAATAATTACAAGTATGTTGCTAATATTTTTTCTATAATGAAATACAAGACAAAATTTGATATAATAAAAAAATATTTGTTCACATATTAAAATGATCTGTATAATATATGAGAAAGAGAGAAGATTTCTGCACATATTTGTAAAATTATAAGAAAATTGTATATATGTTATAAAATTTATATCATTATTTTTATTATAGCAAATAATTTATATCTGTTTTTAGAATTTGATGAACAAAATATAACATCAACTTTAAAATGGAAATTGGACAAAAATCTACTTTTATTAATACAACAAAAAGTGGGTAATACATATTATTGGATACCTCCTCAAGGTATTCGAAAGGAAGGAGAGACCATGAGACAAGTATGTTTATAATTTTTCTCTGTAATTAATTGTATACACACACACACACAAATAGATACATTCATAGATACATACATACATACAATAAAATTGCCAAAGATAAAAAAGTTTGATATCATTTGATAACTTATTTTTTTGCAGACTGCAGAAAGAGTATTACAAGATATATGTGGTACAGAAATAAAAGCCAAGTTTTATGGCAATGCACCTATTGGATTTTATAAATACAAATATCCCAAGAAATTTAATGAGCAAGGAATTTATGGTGCTAAAATATTTTATTTTTTAGCAAAATATATAGATGGAAATGTTGTTAGTAATGTAAAATATCAATGGTTAGATGATACAGAATTCAAAAAAGTTTTACCCCTTGGAATGCAAAAAAGTATCTCACAATTTATGTTGTTTACTTAAATAATAATATAATAAAATTAAATTAAAGCACGCTCGTTTATTTTGACTTTCCTTATTACCAACTTGGATTGATTCAGAAACAAATATCAGTTAGTTTTTATAAACTTTATTATTTATAATTAACTACGAAGAGAAATTATTTTAAAAATACTTTATATTTTAGTATACCTTAAAATCGTCCAGATCTTTTTCGTCCAGTATATTTAGTATTAACTCTCACTTCGTTTCCTTGTCGTCGCCTCCTTTCTTTTTTTTCTATTATCCAGTCTCTACTTTTCTTCAATGGTTTACCTCTGGCATTTTTAATATATTCCCTGTAATACAAAATTAATACGATTATCAATATTTTATATATTGTAAGATAAAATAGATAAAAAGAAGCATACAATTAATGCAGCTTAAATTGCAAATTACAAGTTAACAGATGACAAAAATGTAAAAATCGAACCTTTTCGAGTTAGCGACGGTTTGTCTATCTTCAGTCTCTGTACCTAGTGCTTTTGGAGTGGAACAGCTCCTCCAGTCATTAAAACTAAGAACATTTTCTTCGCTTTTGTACTATTTGGGTAATCGACAACCACACCACCAAAAAAGCCAGCTTTTGTAGCTTGTGCAGTAATTAATTCAACTTGTTCACTGTTCTCTGGATAGAACTGTAATACTGCTCTGGCGCTTCTTGACAGACATGCATATAACGTCGAAAAGAAACGATACAAACGCTTTGTAGGATTGTGCGAAGCCTTATTTGCATAGCATAACCACTGCAATGCAGAAATACTGACAGCACCGTCAAATGCACCAGCCTTAAATGGCAATCCTTGACCCATATCTCCTAGGATCAAATCGCCATTCGTTTCTCTATCTTTAGCTACCTCTGCAAAATAACACATCAATTATATACCTTTACATTATACAAAGAAACTAAAAACATAACTTAAAAAAATAATTGATAGAAGTAGTAGAATAGTAAATATAAAAAACGTTAATGAACTAAGTTTGTAAAAGATAACTATATTGCATAATAATGAAAAATATTTACCAAGCATAGATGAAGAGATATCAACACCAATCCATAAGTGTCCCTGATCTTCCAATACGCTACCACTAAGACCTGATCCGCAACCAATATCCAAAAGTAAACAGCATTGATCTTCAGGTAAAACAAGAAGTTCTATAGCACGTTCACACATTTGTACTTGGATATCTATCATACGGGAGCTGAAATGTACAGATTTTATATTTGTAGAAATAATGTACAATAGATATATGTAATACAAATTTTATATAATAACATACCTTTGTGTATACTTCTTTGCTTCTGTTTCATTATAATACTAACATGTAAAGAAAAAATATGTAATTAATTTTTGAATAGACTCATCAACATAATTATTATTGGTAATTATATTTAATCAAAGAGAACATACACAAGTATTAATAAATTAATATTTACAACTTACCACCTCAGGTGGTGCCATAAGTTCTGGACGCTTAGACATAATGTCAAATTTATTTTATGTTTATTTCCTCCAATATATAGTTTACGATAAAAATATTTTTAATAAACACACGTGTTAGACAAACCTAACCTAAATAAAAATGCCGAAAAACTTAATATTGCCAACCAATCATGTAACTGCATGTAAATTAGACACTTGTGATTGGTCCTTTCTTTATGTTCCAATATCGATTCGCAAAGTCGATATATCGCAAATTGTACGCGCTTCATATATGAATTGGAGTAAATCAAGTTGAATCAATTTATAAAACAAGTCATGCATAACTAAAAAAAGAAAGGCTCTAAGAAAATAAAAGGTGTGCTTTTTTTCAATTCTTTACATAACTTCAGGTGCACAAAGTCCTTGAAACATAAAGAGAAGAGAGTCATTACTTTATTCTATACTATGTACAGTAGTTATATATATATTTACGAAGTCAAAATTATATATATATCAGATACTTACTGTATATATAAATAACTTAAATACATCAAGATTTTTGCACATCTCCACACATACACATATTACACATACTATAAATATTTGTATAAATTTAAATCTATATATGTTATATATATATATATATATTACGAAAAATATGTCTATCAAAATGTATCTGCGTTCGTGCACTTTAACCCATTTTTTTCTTAATAATAACTTATACAGTATCTCTTTTCCCTGTTTTGAGTTTTAATAATCAATCAACAAACATTGAAGAACTTCTTTATCTTCTTGCACAGTTTCCAAGTATAACATATAGTTTTATACACACACAAATACTTCAAGCATAAAATTCACACTTGATGATAGATATAATACAAATATAATTAAAGGACATCATTTTATTGTGTATCAGTTTAAAGGTTCATTTCAGCCATAAATATTATTTATATGATATACAAATACACAATAGACACACGGCAGTCTATTCTTTCAAAGTCCATTTATATAATATTTACAAGATTTTTAATAACTAGTTTTCGGAAATTCGAGAGGATTTTGCAGTAATGTAAGCTGCATCCCAAATACATGAGCAAATAAAGTTAATGTTAATACAGTCAAAAAATTGATTATAAAATGATTTCTAGGTGCTTAAGTGCTTATACAATTTCCTTTTATTTGCTCAAATTTTCGAAAACTATTACTAACACTTTTTGCAAATTTACGTTTAATGACGACAATAGAGTATGATATCGCATTATTTTTAATTATTTTTTGTAAAGACACGATACAAAAGTTCTCACAATGTAACATTTCAATTTAATATCTGGCATCGATAAGTGCATGGAAGTTTACACGATAATAAGTGTTTACAAAGAATTTTATTGACAAATGTAAAAAAAATCTTCCATATAAGAGTTGATCATTGTCTTTTATCAACAAGAATGTAAAAGTATAAAAAAGAAAAAATATTGCTAGAGCCTATAAAAGCTCTATGAAAGGAGTTTAGAGAGGTAATCGATTTACAAAACTTCGATTTTAAATCAGGAAATCTGGTCTTTATTTCCAAAAATATGTCGCCCTCATCTGGACTGTCCAAAACTGCCTGCAAATACAAATAAAAGAAAACTGTGAGAACTTTTTCAGCACATAAACCACAAAACTTATTCCCAACACAGAGTCCTTTTCGAAATTTGGAAATCTCACTTGCACACAGTTTATTCAAGATTTTCATTGTAGAATTGAATAAAATTTGATAAAATAAAAATCATAACAGCAAAGATTACACTCTCTTAAAAGATCAAATACTTTATTTAATATGAATAAGGTGTGTATGTGTGTGTATGCCTCGGATTTTAGATATACAAAAATTTATGTTGCCTAAATTTGAATATATGTCTTCTTCGACAACGCTTGTGATTAAAATATCCCCTCCAATATCCAACTAAACCTCTACCTAGACAAACAAGTTGTAATCGCGGTGATAGAAGCATCAAATATGAGCTATTAAACACAATAGACTTAATCACCCAGTTAGAAATATCTTGGAGGAAAATAGACGAGATAAGAAGTCTTAAAAAATAAGACTTCAAGATTTCTACAATGACCATTTGGCTTGCAATGGGATAAGAGTACGAACGCATGCTGGGTAATATAAAACCTGTTGCAATAATAGCGATAAAATATAATCCAACTGTATAGTGCTGCATTTTTCGCATTTTAATTCTAATTTCCACCCTAGGGTGTGATATTTTAATCATGGTAATATAGTATTACTATATTATTGTTAGAAATTAAAATAAAAAATAATCTTGATAGCAATCAGTATCAATAATATATCAATAATATACCAATGATAGTAATATAATATTTATAGTAATATTACTATTGCGGTAACGATAGAGATAATAATAGTAGTAATAATAGCAGCAGCGATATCGATAGCAACAGTAGTGCTAATTACACTAATATAATAATAGTAGTACTACTAACTCCTCTAGCGCAACAGATAACTATTTCTGTAATCTACTATTATAATTCAAAATGAATATGAAAACGTTGGAATATTTTGGTTTAGATCGCGTTTACATAAGCGATATAGTTCACCAACTCACTCAATATATACTCACACACCATGAGAGATCGATCAGCTGAGAGCTTCTGTCACTTACTTTTTATTATTATTTTTTTATTATAATGGATTATAGCCAATAGTCGGACTTAGATCAAATCAGCGACATTCATTGGCATTTCATCAATATGCGTATTATAGAATTGCTCGATATCCTTCAAGGTTCGTTTATCTTCTTCTGTCACGAAGTTAATAGCCACACCTTTACGACCAAAACGACCGCCACGACCGATTCTGTAAAAATAAAGAAAAATATATAATTTTATATATATAAAATTTGCAAATATATAACAAAAATTACATTTGCAATATTATGAAATTCTGATATTGTGTGGATATAAAATATAAAAGTATATAAAAGTTCTCAATAAATTATATCTTTTTATGTAAAAAGTATTTGCAAATCGAATTTAAGAAAATAAAATTGGAATATAGTACTAGATCTTCTCGAAATCAGCTGATTATTGATTGATGACTATTTTAAATTTTAAAAAATTACATATCTAAATATAAAATTTAGATAAATATAAATAAATAATATTTAGATATCTTTATATTTTATTTTCAAGTTCTTGCTACTTTTTTCTATAATTAAAAGTTTTTAATTTTCTGCTTACAAAATAAGTTACAAACATTAATTTAAAGATCATAAAATTAAAAACTAATTTAATTAAACTTACCTATGGATGTAATTCTCTCGATTGGAAGGTAAATCATAGTTAATGACAAGCGAGACTTGTTGTACATCAATACCGCGAGCCAGAAGATCGGTAGTAATCAAAACTCTGGATGATCCAGTTCGGAATTGTCTCATGATAAGATCGCGCTCTTTCTGTTCCATATCTCCATGCATAGCCGAAACAGTAAAGTCACGTTTATGCATGCTCTCTGTTAACCAATCTACTTTACGCCGTGTATTGCAGAAAATAACAGCCTGCGTGATACTCAATGTGTCATACAGATCACAAAGAGTCTCTAGTTTCCAGTCCTCGCGTTCGACGTACACGAAAAATTGTTTAATACCCTCTAATGTTAATTCTTCTTTCTTAACCAAAATACGAATGGGATTTCGCATGAAGCATTTTGATACATCCAATACGTCAGATGGCATTGTTGCAGACAATAATATAACCTGGAAAAGACAATTAAGAATTGCATTAGAAATACAAAGACTAAACTCTTTCATAAGAAACCATGTATCGATACAATGTGATGATCAATATTTTATACATTTGATGAAAGAAATAAACCGCATATATTGAGATGTTATATATAAATAACTATACATATGTGCAATATGATGGCATCATGCTGCAATAGGTAAATCGTAAATTTTTGCTGCTATTACAGAGATATTAAGAGTGACTAATTGATTTTTAGGACATTATGATTATTATTAGGAGTGCTATGCCATAATAACTGTTTGCATTTAGGCCACTATTATTTTCATACAAAAGAACACATTTGATGGTAAACAGCGTATGTCAAACCTATAGTGTACATTTGTCAAAAATGACACTATTACGACGCACCTGTATTTTATAATATATTTGTTAACTCGACTATTATAAGGTATACTGCAACTTTTTCGTCTTGTATGATTTGTGGACTTGTCCAAAAAGATATTTTCTAATAATTAAAATAAAATTATCTATTAGATGGCAATTGTAATTAAAAATCTACAATGGTCAAAAATATTTTATATCTCTTTACCTGCACTTCATTGGGTAGTAATTTGAATACATCGTGAATTTGATCCTTAAATCCTCGGGAAAGCATTTCATCAGCTTCATCCAGAACGAACAGTTTGATGCTATTTGCCCGAAGAGCTCGTCGACTGATCATATCGTAAACTCTACCGGGCGTACCGACGACCACGTGAACACCCTGATCCAATTTTCGCATATCCTCACGTACATTGGTACCACCAATGCATGCGTGACACTCGGCGTGCATGAAATCTCCTAGAGCGATAACAACTTTCTGGATCTGAAAAACAAAGATAAGAAAACATTATATTAACATTTTGTTGTAATAAAAAGTAATATTTTTGTTGAAGCAATCATCTCATCTGATGAAATACTTACTTGTTGAGCTAACTCACGGGTTGGTGCAAGGATCAAGGCCTGGCATTCTTTAATATTAGTATCAATTTGTTGAAGAATTGATATCGAGAAAGTCGCAGTTTTCCCAGTACCTGTGAACAATTAAAAATATACATTTGTTAGTATAAAATGTACAATAAAAATTACACATAAATATTAATTTTTTTCAATTATTAATTTATTTTATTTTGCACTAAAATTCCTTACCAGACTGAGCCTGAGCAATAACGTCGAGCCCCCTTATACATGGTAGGATGGCACGTTGTTGGATCGCAGATGGTTTTTCAAAGCCATAAGCATATATACCACGCAATAGTTCTTCTTTCAAATTCATTTCATCGAAGTTTTCCACAACCTGTTTAAATTAAAGCATAATATTACGGCAACTTATAATATTTCTAATATATTATACATAGTGTTATGATAATGTAATAACTTTATAAAAGTTCATAAAATATAATTATAACTATAATTATTGTATAAATGCCAAAAAAATTCCATTTTATAAGAATTTTTACCAAGTATATATAGAAAAAATTTTTGGAAAAATTATTTAAAAATTACTTAATAATTATTTAATAATTATTTTAAAATTCTTTAAAATCTGAAAGTTGCACTAGTATAATTAATTTGATAAAAAAAGTCAATATAACATTTTTAAAAAGTTTCTTTAATAAAATGTGATTGTCTCAATTATAGTTTTACTCATATATAACATGTAATAAATTTGTTGAAACATTCTAGAAACTTTTGGAAGATTAAGATTTTCAAAATACATTGAAATATATAAAAAGATAAATAATTGCTATTATTATTTGAATATTCAATTATCTCGAATATTAGTTGCTTTCCATTTACATCAAAACTCAGATAAATCTAACTTTTGTCTTTCTTTAACAGTGAGCTTTGATGTAAGTGAAAAGCGACAATTATTAAAATTGATTTTAAAACATAGTATTAGATATACATCAGAAATTTTATTTTAAAAATAATATAAAATGAAATAGTATAACATATTTGAATATAGAATTAATACAGTGCAATGCTATCATTATTAGAAATTTTTTTACTTGTGCAATCAAATTGATAAGAGTATTTAAATTTTGATAAATATTGAATAACTAATAAATTATTTTTACTAATGATGTCATATAATAAACATACATACATGTGTGTGTGTGTGTGTGTGTGTATAACATTTTCAAGTACAGAAACTATATAAAACTAAATTATCAAAGTTGATAAATCTAAACCATCAGAGTTTATTGATAAATCTAAATCCTCAAAGTTTGAATAGGAAATAATATATTGCTTCTTTCATCAAACATGTAAGCAGTACAATGTTATCTAAAATATTGTAATATAAAATAACAAACAATGTACTCACAACATCCCAGTTGGACTCGATGATGCCATCAGGATCCATTCCTGGTGGTCCATCATATGTAGGTTGCTCACTTTCGCTAGGACCATTTTTTGAATCTCCTGGCCATTGATCATCATTTCTAAAATATATAAAATATTAATTAGAAATCTCAATTATAAATTAAATATATTGAATCTTATAATATTAGCTATAAAGATAGATATTGGATCTTTAAACCTTTGCAAAGCTAAATTTCAAAAAATATTTAACATATCTGTATAATATACATATATAGAATTTCAATTATCTTTTCTTTTATTTATTGCGCAATATTATTTAAAAAAAATATATATAAATAATCTCGAAAAACTATCACAAAACAAGCAGATAAATAGATAAATATGTATGAAGCTTATTTTCTTATTCTCTAAGCGAGAGTATGATCAAAAACTTGTCAAATAATGCAATAAAAATCGATACATATATCTAGCATTTTGCATCGATGAAAAATTGATATCACAATTACGGCGATCATGACAATGACAAATCACTTTAAATCCATGTGACCTTGAAAACCGAACTTTTAAATCGATCCTGCTGAAATATGCATCTGTCGAAATTTCACGATGGCCATTTTTACATTTGCACGCGGTAATACATAAGGGGGAAAGAATAGAAATAAAGGTCTCGCGGTCGCGGTAAAAAGAATTCATCCCTACGAGGCAGTGAAATGACGCGAATGAAATTCCACGAAATGCTTTGACAGTGACTCACGCGTGCTCGCGCGGAAACGCGTCGACAAGGAGCGGAGACGTGTTGCTTCGCGCGAGCAAACGGGAAAAACGTGCGTTTTAAAGCGACATCGCGCACGGGTCAGCGCGACAGGATCGGGATTCTCGGGAAAACGGCGATTGATCTTTTTTCTATTTTTTTTTTTTATTTTCGGCGCGAAAAAAATCCGCGAACGCACCATTACGTAATTTTCGCGGACAGGAAAAAACGTGGTGGTCGTCGAACGAGCCGGACGCGAGGAGGCCGAGCCTCCTTCACCCACGCTCTAACGGGGCCGAGACGTCGCGAGAAAAGGGACGAATGCCTGCACCGAGAGCCTGAAATTCGCGCGATCCTCGGCCGCGGCAAAGAAAGGTTAAGCGGCGAAGCCCGGGGACCGCGGCGACCGCGAGGCCCGGTCTCTTCCCCTCGTCGTCCCCGCGGTCGATCCTCTGACGAGTGTCGGCAATGTGATAAAAACGAGCGCACGCCATGTTGTCAGTCTCGTGCGCCCCATGCACACCGTCCTCGATCGCGGCACACTATCCTTCCCGGACGTATATTAAATCCGCGCGCGCGCCAATTTCGCGATCGCGAGAATCCGCGACGACGTGGACGTCCCGGGTGACGTCGAGCGGGCGAAAACGCGCGACCGGTAGGCGATTACGCTGAAAATCCCCTCGACTTACCTTCGTTCTGCTGTATGCGACATGTTCCACTCACAAGAGTTCGACAGAAAGGAAGAATCTGAATGGCGTCACGAGATGTAGTCCCACTTCCGCCGCGACGCGGCGCTGCGCTCGCTCTCCGGCCGGAGACCGGATTTTCGACCGGCCACCTTCCACGCGTGCGCGCGCAACCCTGTCGCGCGCGCTTTTGTAACGGCGATGCCGATTGCTTCGCGCTTCGCAAGCTGATTTGACGATTTTTCCTTCGTCGTCAACGATTTTTCCAAGCTACATCTCGCACGTCGACCGGGCGTCGCGCATGACGGAAATGACGCGACATTCATCGCGCCGTAGTGGGAGTTCTATGGCGGCAAATATGAAAAATGTATGTCGCGAGACACTTATATACGTAAATGGATTATGTATTCTTCTGCTTTATTTTTTATAGTTAATTTGTATTATGAGCAAACTCGTAAACGGCTAATATTTTTAATAAAAGTATAATGAGAATTTATTACCTTGATTCTTTAAATATATTTATTTTGTGCTGCACATTTTTCATTTTAATTAGTTTTTTGAGAGAAATTTTTATAATTAGAATTATTACTAGTTGGGATATTTTTATAATAATTTGTTATAGTTATTTGTTTTTTTTAGAAAAACATTCTTTATATTTAAATTCATATTTAAATTCAGTATGGATTATTATTGTATAATGAGATAAAGAATTTGAATTTAATTAACTTCAAAGATTTTATTATTTTATTAGGTCATGTTTATTTATTTATAATTATATTATTAAATTTGACAATATATTTAGATTTTTAACACATTTATTTAAGTAGTTTAAAATATATTAAAGTTATAAAAATGTGTCTATCAAAAATATATATAAATGTGTCAATGGATGTTCTAATACAAGATTATAATTACACATTTAATTATAATTAAAAAAATATTTTATTGACTCTCTCTCAGTTTATATACACAAATTGTACACAGCTTTCTATTGAATTTGTACTGTAATATATACAATATAATCTATTATTCTATATTCGTATACATCTCATATAAAAATATACATTTCTAATAGTGTTTCTTACAATATATTTTTAATTATGCTCAATTTATATAAAGTAAAGAAAAACTTTCGAGTATATATTTTAATCTCATATTGTGTATAGCAAAACTATCAAATCTCTTTTTGTATGATGAGCTTTTTTTCAAATTATAAATATTTAAGTGTTATATAAAATGTTTCCATTGAGAAAATGTCAAAGAAAATTCTTTTCAATTTATAATATTGTATACTTTTGCATTAAAGCGCTTCAAAAATTATAATTTCATTGAAATAAGGTCATAATTTAAAAATTGTTAAAAAATAGAATTTGATTACTTATTTTCTTTCCTAAGATACTAATCCTAAAGGCACTTATTTTTTACTAGACAGTCTTGAAATAATCTATACGTTTTACATAAGTTGTTTAAATCACTAGCATACATATTTATATAGTGATGCAAAGTAATTTATAAACAGTAAAAACATTAATTTTTTAAATCAGTACGAGTTTTAAAATTGTTAACCTTAAGTAACTCCTAAATTACCTTTAAAACAATTCTTAACTAAGTTGTTATATCTGATGAATAATATAATTATATAATATATAATTTTTTATTTTTTATATATATTTTAATTTTTTATATATTATATAATTATATCATTTTTTCCATTTTCAAATTTTCAATTAATTCCTATTTAAATTTATGCTTACAAAATAATTTGATTTATAAGAAAATGTATTAAAAATAACTTATGAGAAATTCCTAATTGTTATGAAAGAATCCTATTTTTTATTTATACTTTCTACAGTATAAATTCTTCAAAATTCGAGATCCAGTCAAATTCATATAAAGGCACAACTAAGAATAAAAAGTAATGTTATAATTGGAAAAATTATATACGCACCCATCCGTGGCTGACAAGTAGAAATTAAAACGTTAACGTCGTCTATCTCATTATGTTCTATACCATCTTTGGTAGGAATTTCAACGATTATTCTATCTGCTGACAGTACATTTAACGAAAATGAGCATTCAGTCATATTTATACATGACTTAGTCACATTTTCATATTGAAAAGTTGGCTTATATATATCAAAGATTGCATAAATATCATTGGATACAACATCGTTATCGCTATAAAAAATGTAATAATAGTAACCATCTTCTTCGACATTATGGTTAGCTTGCGCGTGTTTTCCATTGAGTAAATAAAAAATATTTGTACATTGGTTTGAAGGTTCAAATTCATGAGTTAACAATATCATTCCACCATAACACTCAAATAAGCCATTCTCGAAACTGGAAATAGATGAAGCTTCATTAGAATTAGATGTAAAATTTTTATCAGCATTTCCACCATGTCTGATGCCTTGATCTAATAAAGATGGTGGCTTTATAAATTCTTGATTTCTTTTAAATCTTTTGTTGCCCATCTTATCTTTCAACTTTATTTCTGGTCCAATTGTATTTTTTTCATCAATTTTATCAAAATACAAATCTTGTTTTAATTTTTGTAGCCGCAATTTTCTGTCTTGATTCTGTACATATTTTTCCTCTGTTTTATTTTTTTATTTGTTTCCTTCATATTCACGTCCTTCCAGTTCTTATGCTTAAGTTGTCTTAATTTTCTGATGTAATCCATGTCTTTTTCTTGTTCTATATGTTTCTGGATATAAGATGTGACATTATTATACCACATATCTAGATCTTGTATCAAACTTTCATCATTCTTATATGGCAGTGTGTTATTATGTGTGTTATTATGTGTATTATTATATGTATTAGTATTTGTAGCATTTATAAAAACTTTCTCATTTCTATTCACAGATTTTTCAGAACTTGCATGTACAAATGGTGTATGTATATTGGTAGTGTTATATATATTAATAGGCTCGACCATATTTGATTCTTTAGAATCAATTTCTTGTGCATTTGATTCATATATTATTTTAACCTGTTTGTTTGCACCTGGTAAGTAAATATCTTGTGGTTGCTTATTGATAGTATGGTCTAATAAACCGCAAGTACGTAAATTCCTTTCCCCTTTTACCACCATTATAGAGGCTCCTGGAAATCTAAATAAATATTTTTATTAATATACATTGTGTTCATACAAATAAATAAAATTAGAGAAATTATATCTGTAGATCGCATCTTTAATTATTACACACAAATATGATAATTTATATTATTATTTTCATTCTTTTTTTACCTTGAGCATACAGAGAGTGATACTGTTGCACCTCTCAGTAAGTAAAATCCCCAATATTCTAATGTATCATCAGGTAAACTCATACTCTTTTTTAGCCTTATATGTTGTCGTTTAGATGTTATTTCTGGTCGATGAGCCATTTGAAAGGCATTAAAAGTACCATTCATTTTTAAAGAGTGTCCCTGAGAAAAAAACGATGTTTCTTAGTTATATGTATATTGTATTCTTATTATATATTGTTATAGACGCAATTACATATTATCCATACAATCTTATTTATACTGCTTACATTCTTTTATCAGTTATCATATACAATAAATATATAATTGAAACCTTTTAATATATTTTATATATTTAATTTAATATATTTTATATTAAATCTTTTAATAATGACAAATATAAAATCATAAAAATAATGACATTCATAAAATATTAATCATTTATTCTTACCGAACAAAATATTGTAGAAATTCCATCATTGACCTCCATAATATCAGATTCTGTTACAGCATATGCAACTTCTGCATAGGAAATATGTCGCAGATATAGAGGAATTATTATAAATATGACTGGTAAAACAGCTACTAATATGCAGAAAACTAGTACTCTTTGGATGCCATGCATTTTTGGTACTCCTATGAATGTTAAATAAATTTGATTATATTATTACTGTTATTAGTTGAAACATAATAAAACAGAATAATTAGTTGAAATATAATAAATTATTTATATATGCAAAATATAATATACATGTTTTATCAAAGCTAATGTTATAGTATATATGCTACAGAATATATACTCAATTAATTTAAATACATGAAATACTGATGTTATTGAATATTATATTCAAAAGTAGAAAGTATAAGAAAGCATTTACATTAATAAGTAACTAAAAAGCGATTTAAAAATAATTAAATAATATATATACATATATATTATACATATATGTATACTAATTTTTATAATTTGCATGAAAATAATTATGTTTAATTGAGCATAATATATAGAGAATAATTTATAAAATTTACTTTCTCCCAAGTGTTTCTCAAATTGAATCTTTTAAATAAACAAATCTGTTCATTTTAGAGAGGTTATGATTTTAATTTTTTTTTTTTTTAAATCCAACACTTTTAATATCTTTTTTTCCTTTCTTTACAAATTACTTTTATAAAAATCAATAATTGTAATATTTACAATGTTTAACATTTGCAATCTTAAAACATACAACGCATGCCTATATACATAATTATATCAAACACGTACTGCATAATTAATAATTTAAAAATATCACTTTTATATTGTCCATTTTTTCTTTCCAAAAGAAATAAGTTTCCTAATAGATTATTTGTGACTTGTGACAAGAGATACCAGATTTATACTTACTTTGAATATTACAAATATTAATAGAATCTAACGAAAGAGGTTAGGTATTAGCAAAGATAAGATGAAAATTAATGAAAACTGAGCGTTATTGACAGTTTGATAAGAAAAATATATGATTAGGATTCCACCAATGTCGTGTCTGATTCGTCTATTATTTTGAAATATATAACTCTATTAATTTTAGCGTTAATATGCTTACATTCTCAAAGCATGTATCACAACCATATTTGTAGATAATACACTCTTCTAAATTTGCTATTCAAATTTATCTAATTCGAGTTAACCTCAAATTTTGAACAAATTTAAATTAACAAAATTTATAATGATAAAACTGAATTAATTAAAATTAATGAAAAAAATGCATTTTTAATTTCCTTTAATCCTATCTCAAAAAAATTACATTTATCATAATTAAAAGATATCCGTAATGTTATATATAACATATATGTATATCTATTAAATAAAAATAGAATAGAATTAAAATATTTTATTATATACATATTTAAATAATATGTAAAAATGCGCGCATAATACATAATTATGTGTATATATATATATATAATTTTAGTTATATATAAATATAACTTTCAACCAATTACTTTCTTAATAAAAGGAAATTATTGCAACAATTATATAACACAAATACATTATATAATACAAATACATATCTTTACATTTAAAAAGTAACACTTATTACTGCGTTGTAGTAATTATCTTTAGTAGCAGTGTGAAGTTCAGATATATCAATTTGATTAAATTTAGTTTCTCCAAATAATGTGTCTTTATAAATCTAAAATATGAAATAAGTGTTATTAATTTTTATCATTGACTTATATATATCATTAAAGTATATACATATATATCTAATTTATACAAATAAGTCCTTACTTTTAATATTTCACTTGCATTAAATTTCTCTTTAAATTTTGCAGGATAATCATGCTTGAATGATGTATTCATTAAAGTAGCATGTAATTTTATTGTATCATATTTTTTCTTCATTAAATCTGAAAATTAAAATAAACACATCATAAAACAACTATTATTAATAAAAATGTGAACATTTTGTAATTAAGAAATTATAATTATAATTTGAATATTTATACAATACTGTATCTATTCAAGATTAATTCTATATTATATTATATTTTCATTATTTACCTATATCAATAAAGTACTTGGCAATTTTATCAACAAGTTCTTGTAATTTTTCATTGTGAGTAATTCGTGCAAATAAAACTTTAGCTTCAGTAGGATCATCATTCATACATTCAACCCCCTGTAATTGTATATTTATTGGCCCAGCTTCATCAAGGAAAGGACTGGAATGAATTATTTGCAATTCATTATTTTTAAAAAAATCATACTTATATAATTTATCATATAAGTATACTATAAATATCATATTTATGATTAAGTATAAAATCAATTATATGTGTAATTCAAGAGTTAATATATAATCAATATTATATATACAAATTGATATTTATCTTACTCTATGATTTTTTCTTTGCAATTCATGAGAGCATCAATAGCCTGTTTTTTTTCATTATCGTCAAGTAATTTGAGCATTCCAATAGTGAGATGCAACTTAGCCGGTATTTGAAAAAGTGATTCATCAATATTGTATTTAGTTTTGTCATATTTTTCCAATACATCATCTTTGAAAGCATTAAAATTGTCAATTATTCCCTTTTTATTCAATGGAATAGATAAAAAATGTGTATAACGTATCTTTTTCCTTAAACTTTCTACTAATAAATCAATTCTATGTCTTGCTGATATTATAGATTTATGATCCGCTGCAGTAATAACTGTAGATATATAAACATATATTTAAAAAATGTTATAATAGAAATAATTAAAATTAATTAAATTAATATTTTTATTCTTATATTGACACATAAGAATGTAATGTAAATTATTTTTACCAATGTGCCCTTCTTTTCCTTTCTTTGGTATTTCTATAGTTGTTTTTGTCTCAGTTTCCAATTTCTTACGCATTGTACCTTTTGTACCAATTATATATGAGTAATATGCTCTAAAACATTAAAATTATATTAATATGAATCATTTTCTATTCGATCACTTTCTATTCGATTGCAATTGCTATACTATTCTTGACTCTATTGTTATGTCGAAGTGTAGCAGAAAAATATATATTTGTGGAAATTCTCACTTGGGTACATAAAAAGTATGTTTGAACCGTCCATTATAAGACTCTATTACTATACTAGTTTCAGATTCCTCATCTGAACAAACTGATTCTTTATCCTCCATGTATGGGGCCGATGTATGAATGTTTTTCCATGCACTACTTTCATAAAATCTGTAGCAGCGTCCATTAACCCAAATTAATTCTGGTTCTAACACATCCATTATATAAAATGCAATATGTTTTATATAAATACTCCTACAATTTATATTAAATTGTTAATATATTTAAATTATATATAATTATAATAAGTATTGAATGATGAAATATTTGTTCATATGTTTTTTATCCTTAAATAATCTGACAATTTTTTATATTTCTGAACATTTCGTAGTGCATTTATAATTAGTAACTTATTTGGGATTTGAAATATTAATTTTTTTATTAGGGTGTCTTCAATTTATTTAAATTATGTAATACATATACATTATAAAAGAACACATAATAAACTGAATAAAAACTGTAATCTAGAGAATTGAACATGTTTATTATAAAGAATATTTAAATCTTAGATTTAAATTCCAATCATCTCGTATTTTCAAAGAATTTTCTTAATCTTCAGAAATTTAAAACTGATTTCTTAGGTTAAGTATGTAATATGCATACAACCTGTCATATGCTTAAAATTTATTATTACACACTGATATTTTAAAATATAATTCTATCAATATAGCACCTTTTCAAAGCATTAAACATCAATTTTAAATTGATTTTACTGATACAAGTAGAATAATATTTAAGAGACCTGCTCTTTTCAGCTGAGCTGACTGATGAGGGAAAGAGATAAACTCTGAACTAGTGCAACCAGACAGATATATAAAATTTCAAATTTGACAGATTGCAAATGAAATAAATAAACTTATTTGATGCCTCAAAAACTTGAAGTAATGGAGCATACAATATAAAGCTTATATATAAGCTTACTCCAATAATAACTATTTTGTTATTCAATTTCTCTAAATCAATTTAAATATGTTATATATCAGATTTTATTATCAGATATTATATATCAGTATTATAAGTCAGATATATTATTTATACTTTTATACCATAAAAAGTATATCAAATTTGTTTTTTATTAGATAGAAAATTTCTTTTATTTGTTTTTAAAAAATATCAATGTAGGATTCTGATTATTTCTTTTATATATTTTATTTTTTTTGTATTTACATAACTTTTTCATAAGCAGTGTGTACTGTGTGATAATTGTATATCTGTAATAAAGCAGTGGGTTTTGTGTATATATATTTAATTTCATATATTTTCAAAATTCTTAAACTCAGACAGATTTCTAATAACGGCAAATAAAAAAATTTTTTTAAATATTGATATATAAATGATAAAAAGAAGAAATGGTTCCATGTGTAATTATTTTTATAAATTGATTTATATATCAAAATATTTTATATTAAATTACATATAATATTTTAAAAAATGTGTTTTTGATATGACATTTTTATAAACTAATATCCATTCAGTCTAAATTAAGATACACAACATTACATGTACAAAAAGATCTACAAGATCTACAATAAATTAACTCTATGTAGTAAATAATAGTATATCCACATAATTTAATAAATATATATACTTCCTTTTTATACAATATATAAAGTATTTTCAGAAATTTTTTTCATTTTTACTCTCATTTAGATATCATAAATTACACACTTATTGATATATTGTTAGTATTATGATGATAGTAACAGGTAATAATATAGCGCATTAATACAAAACTGAACATATACAATCCAAAATCATTAAGTATTATAATAAATATTGCAAATGACATTTTAAATTTATAAATTAATTTTGGTTTAATATTACACAATATCAAAGCAGTAAATAGTAAATTGTTGTCTTGCGTTTCAAGTAAATTCTTATAATTGACCAGACGTCCCAACATCATTAACAAATAAGGTATAATGATTGCCTGTAAATATTAACACACAACACATGTATATTATAAATATATAAATACTTTCATAAATACTTCAATAAACTAATAGATGAAATTACCTGCCCAAATAAATTATCTAATTTGAACATTACTAAGATGTTGACAATCCCAGCTAACAAGATGAAATTGATACGATTGAATAATAATCTATGTAACATAAATTTTGGCTTGGATTTGGTTTGGCTTGGTTCCGGTAAACATGTACTTTTATCACTAGTGTCATTCAAAAAGTTTTCATGTTCATTGTCATTAAATCTTGTAGAATCTTGCAATTCTGCCTCTTTACCTATATTACATGTACCATTTCTGATTATAGTCTGATTCTGATTATATTCTTCCAAATCTATTTCTGCTTTAAGACTGTTGCTTTCCATTCGTGGATTATCATCTGCAAAATATTTTTAAATGTGTCAATCCAAGCCAAAAGTCTATTTATACAATATGTTATGTAAAAAATAAATATAAAAAAAATTTTTGTACAAAAAATATCTACATAGACTGTTTTACATATGGCATGCAGAAATAGAAAAAATTTGATTTTTTAAATATAATATGCTGAACCGAACTTATTATTTCAATTCAACATATCATCATGACTTGCTATTACTAACATCTATAAAGTGAAACTCAATGCATTTAACATTCCTGTTTTCTAATATCAATGTTAATTTTTTTTTATTATTAATATATAATGTAATAATAATTTGATGTACTGTCTGATAATAATTATTCAAAATGATGTTAATCTCTTTGCAAAATAATGTCAATGATATTAAACTCTTTGCAAAATAATATATATTGAGAAGCAAAACAAGCATGTATTAATCTAAGAAATCTATGCCTGAACATTCATGCAAATCAAATACTTCTTTTAGTACATAGTATAAATAAGGTTTAAAAATTTTTTATTATATGTATATTAAAGTCTTTTTATTTAAATTATTATTGGATTTTCGCAAAACTTGGAGCAAGATCTAACTTGTAATTACTCTTTTCTTAGATTTGCTTTTTTTTTAACTCATTCGTTATATTTACCCTTAATTTCATCTGCATTATGCTTCGCTGTAATTTTACGCAAACGATTTTCCGAGTTTTCCAAAATTCGTCGTCTCCTCGCTTCTCTTTTAGCATTGGTTTCAGCCATCGTATCTAATAATTACATCTATTTGCAATATGCACTCGAATAAATTGTGCATTAATCGAAAAGAGCATCAAATAAAACAAATTTGCATTTGTTTGCAAATATTTGTAGAAATTGATGTAAATAGAGGGAAAAAACACGCTTCTTCAAACTACTAGGTTAGAGAATGACGTTTAGCGCCCTCCAGAAATGGCAAACTAATGGGTCACGTGACGAGAGGAAAAGTTGATTCGAATCGCTGTGAATTTCACACACAAATTCATTGTGTATTTGTAAATTTTTAATACAAACATGAACGCGTGAGAAAAATACACAAGTCGATCTGTTAAAATAATTCGTATTTGATTCAAGATGATTCACATAATTGTCAGTATCTAAATATAAAGTAGATTAGTCTAATCCATCGGATGTATCTGCTGCTGTCATCATCGTAAGTTAATCCACTTGGGTTAGTGTAAATTTCTATAAAAAAAAAGCAAAGGGAAAGAAATGAGATGTTAGTACATGTATGATTCAAGAACAAAGCTTAAAATATTAATATTTAAGGTGAATTTCTCAGAATAATCCTTTAAGGATAATTCAATTGATAGGAATATTTACATAAGTGATAATTACATAAAAATTTATTATATAAAGAAAATATATAATACAAGATACAAACTATATAATATATAAAAATACGAAAGTGCTAACTACATTTCAACAACTTTGTGTTATACAAACAACGGTTACTTATACATAAGGTTGAAAACGCAAAATATTGATATTAGAATAGCACCTGTACCAATAAATACATATTCTCTTACCATCTTCCAATTTTTACTCCGCTCTTTCACGACTGTTAAAAATCTTTGCCATGCAGAAGCAAAATACTTATGCATCTGTGTACGTGATTCGTGAGGTTGCACTGTTGATTCATTAACATTGTTTATCACTGCATCTGTTGTTGTGTTTCCTGAATATTTCATTATATCTCGTAAATTGTTTTTGTCATTGTAAAGTACCAAGCTTGTTGTAGATTTATATCCTTGATCTAAACAAATTGTAAATAAAATGTATTTTTTATGGTTTTATTAATAATTATATAAAATTTTCAAGCTAATATGATTTTTCTATTACCACTTCTATTAGCATCAGAAATATTTTCTTGCAAATACTGTATATCAGTGCCCCAACCTGTTTTAACATTCTCTTTGTTTCGAGTTTTGACATTGGTGAAATCTGTAACAATGGATTCAGGAATTTGCATATTTGATTGGTTGGGGCACTCTGAATCCTATTCTTTATGTTTACCAATATCGGTATCGCGTTTAGATTTAAGAGTAGATTTTAGCATATCTTGATGACCTGTTCGAATCATATTTTCCTCCCATTTCTTTACTTCAGTTTTATATTTTTCTGTTAATTGCGCTGCTTCTACTATATATTTATTTTTAGCTTCCATTGTCAAATTCTTCCATTCTGTACTCAAAATCTTCATCCAGTCCTAAACAAATGTGCAAAAAACTAAGCAATTATATATTTATATACTTTTCTTTATAATAATCTTATATAAATTAATGTTCTTATATACTCTATAAAAAAAACGAAAATATTCAAATTATTTGTATTAAATCTCTATTTATATAAAAGATTTACATTATATATATTATGTAGAAACATAAAATATGTAAAAATATATTTATATATATAAAAAGTAAAAAAGAATATATTAAAAATTTATATAAAATTATGACATATTCAATTTAAGCAGATAATCACTTAGAAAATAATAAACTTACCTGCTGCGATACTTGTGAATCTTTTCTGTTATTCTGCATGAATAATAGGAAAGCAGATAATGGTCGCTTTGGTTTTCCTAGTTCTGCAAGTTTCTGTAAGAATAAAAATAATATATTACATAAACACTACATAACCTAATTTTCAGATTATATGAAATTCTTCATCTTGATATAAATACTTGTTTAACTTGGCTCCTTTCTAGAGCATGCTCTTTTTTTATTAATTCTTTTTTAATTAGCATCTGCTGATCATCAGTTATAGAATTTTTGTAATCCATTAATTTTTGTTTATACACAGATAGTTGTTCCATATATTGCTTTTGTAAATTCTCTTTTACTCCTGACTCCACTTGTGTCCATTGTTCTGCTACTTTTTTCAAAAGTTCTTTCTGCGTATAATTAGGATAGTCTTTATGCAGCTTGTCTTTTACAGAAAGAAAATATTGCATAAATGCATTTAATGGTTTTTTTGGTTTTGGTGGTAAAATGCTTTTTTCTATATTGCGCTTAAGTTTGGATATAGTGGAATCTTGTGGGGTAGCCAATCTCCTATATTAATAAAAAAAATTTTAATATTTATTATTTATTAAAATATTTGCAAAACATTTAATTATATTTCAGTTCTATTTATATTTGTATACATCTGATATAAAATAAGATTTAAAAGATAAAATATTATAAACACTTCTCCCTTTTTTTTAATATCTATATTTTGTTCATGTATATTTATCAAAACATTCTAGACCAGTAATATATTTATCAAAACATTCTAGACCAATAATATATTTATATAACTGTAATGACTAAAAAATTAAAGTTACATCTTGATATCATCTTATTTATATAATCATAAATTTCAATAATATATAATTACTGTACTATCAAAAAAATTTTATATTGTTTCTCATTGTTTCAGTGTTAAAACATGTATACGTAAAAAATCTCTAAATAATCAATTTTAATAGAAAGTAGGTAAAATAATGTTTTACCTTGCACATAATAAATTAATTCCATTAATAGGAAATAATAACTTCCAAGTCGTAATCATGGTTTATTGTTATCAAAAGCAACCTTGATCAATCCTCGATTGTGTGTGAACTTTTGCACAGGATTATTCTAATATTCTTAAGTACACTGACAGAAGATCGAGTTACATTGAGAAATCTTCTCTTTCTTCTTTTCTTTTAGACTGTTTTAGATTCTTCGTCTACTAAACTGGACACTGGACGTAGTATCACGCTGAATCAAACACAATAGCCATAGATATAGAAAACATCGCAGTAGGTAAGTGCGTCTACGAAAAAAACGCCGGGTTAACCGCTCTCAAGATTGCGTTCCAAAATTTCCTTCTTGGAGTATAGGCTGTGATTAACCAATCAGAGCTAAGAAATTTTTATTTCTTTTATCCTGATTGGTCAATCGATAGAATCTCAGCGAAAGCGCCATATTCGATACTAAATTTAGAAAACCGCCTTTTTTTAAAAATCGATAGACGAAATTTTACGAGAGGAAAAAAAAATTAATTATTACAATAAATTAAATATAAAACAAATAAAAATGCTTAATATAATATTAGGAAAATATTTGACTAGATTAGTAATTACAAATACAGCTTTAAATTACAAAAAAAATGATAATAATTCATATTAATAAATCACAATGTATTACAATTTTTTTCCCAAAGAATTTAATGACATTCTTCGCAATGAAATGATGGCGCCACCGCGCATGCGCGAGATTCGTTCCTTCGCATTTCCCAACCTCCACTTCAGTCGCCAGTGTCGTATTGGATTGTGTAGGTCGATCATGATTGGAGCATGCGCTGGCACGCGTCCGTTCGGCTCCTCTCTCTCTCGGGAAACCGACTCGGTGATTGTCATTCATGATTAGTCGCGGCGTTCCTGACGTTCTTCTGCGAGTACCCGCGTCCAAATTTCCTCCGTCTTGTGGTGGTTCGTACGTCAAAATAGTACCGCGCGTTCCCCGTGCGTTCGGTTCTTCTCGGATTCATCGATCGCGAGAAGAGAAAGAGAGAGAGACGGATAGGTTCTCCTCGCCGCACGCGGAGAACCCGTGTTTGCCGCTTTTTCGTACACGGATGTACGAGTCTCGTACATGCACTTGCGCGCACGATGTTACACGCTTCTCTCTCCTGATACCGAGCGAATGTCCCCGTAAGAAATAGGAGCATCCCCGCCTGGTTCTGAGGGATAAGATCGGTAGGTTTGTGCGAGTTGAAATTTTTTTTCCTCGCGAAATCGACGAGAAAAATTGTTGGCGAACGCGAGGCGAAAAATCGATCGCGGATGAATTAGCTACGGAGACTTTGGAGCCTCGCGACGAGGAAATTCCGGGAAGAGCTTTGAAATTTCGCGATTTCTGTTCTTACATTCGAAAGTGGAAGAGGGAAGGATGGGACAAGGCGCGAGTGAAGGAAAGGAAAAAAAAATTAAATACTCGAGCGCAAATGCTCCTTCCGTGGCGGACATGTCGACGTAATGGCGTCACGACTGTCTTCTGCCGGAGATAAATGCAATTTTCGCCTCTCTAATCGTTGCCACGGTAGACCTAAGCGATCTTTAGCGTGATTTTGGAAGATTATTCCCTTGGAATGTCGTAGAATCTTATAATTCGTTGTTGCGCGTGTCTTATAATACTTTTGGATACGCGATCAATCGGACTTTGATATATATTTTCAATTAAGGTTTAATATATTATGATTAAATCGATTAGGAAAAGAAAGTGTGGGAAACATGTTGTATTTTTGTATAATCATTCTTATAAAAAGTTGATAAATTATTAATGCTATAAACGTATCATCAACCTGATAATTTCAACCTAGTAATGAATAAATTTAATGAAATGACCTGTAGGTTAATAGAACAAGTACAATGTATACAATTATACAATATGATTATATTTGAAATTAATGGTTCTTGAAATAATGCTTTACAAAGTTATTCTTTCAAATATTTGTTCTTAATTATAAAGTAGATTATAACTCATTGTTTGATGAAATGCTATTTATATCGCATAACTGTAGAGTAAAAAATAATTTGTATATTTTACATTTGATATTAATTACATAATATTTTTCTGTTTCAGATGAATGTCTAATACCAATTGCATCATAATTAATTTGATTGGTGATACAATCGTCGTCGTAACATTAATGAGTAGAAGGTTTTGCGCTGGATAAAAGGCTTCTTCTACAAACCAACATCCCAGCCACAAATTTGCAGTGAAATGGCAGATGAATGCAGCGAAGTGAAGTCAGCGGGACCATCTTCGCCAAGGAGTCCTCAGAGCAGTAGCACCGGTGGAAAACCCAATAGCCCGCATTCCCCTAGGCAGCCAAGACGCGTGAAGCTTACTCAGCAACAATTGGACAGCTTGACAAAGGACGAGCTAGCAGCCAAATGGCATGAACAGGACTTGTATGTGGAGTGTCTAGAAGCCCAGGCGGCAGCTCAGGAAGGTACTGAGATCACACGAGTGAGACCACCTCACTCACATATCTTAAGCGAATTAACGAATGCCAGAACACAACGGTCTTTTATAAGAGACAAGACTCTCATAGGGACGCTAAGCATAGGGTTCATTAGACCAGTGTTTAGGATACTGTCATTAAATTGTCTATTAGGATTAAGGTAATGAAAGAGCTTTAGTAAATAAGTACACTGTAGGTATCAAATATGAGACTTTCTTTATTGCTCTTTATAAGAAAGCTCATTGTCAGTACATGTGCAATCAGATTGTTTCAATGTATCTGCACAAGTACTAGAAAGATATAAAATTCATGAATTATGTTGCGTTTTATATTATGCGATATAGTGTTGATCAACTCATATTAATTTTTAAAATTGCACTTGTGATGTGTAGTGCGGATAATTAAATTAAAGATTCATATGTATAGTGACATAAAGCACGAAAATTCTCAGGGTATCTGTGATAGGGTGGAGTGATAATCACGTATATAATATATAAAAACCTAATATACAAAAGGATATATTTATAGGCTGAGATATAGTAAACACATTAAAATTTTCTGTGAGCTACATTGTCAGCCATAAAAAGCGTATAGTTAGCGAGTAAAAGTGAATTGGCTGAAATCACAAGTGTTAATGTGTATCAAGATGCGTCCATTTCTTTGCAAAAAAAAATATGTGTCTGCCATCAATATTATGGAAGACACAATCATCTAGCCCGAAATTTCATAAGTGCCTGTGTAGTGTATCGCGTATACTTCTGCAGTGCAATAATTATGACGGCAAATGCAGGACAAGTGTGTGCGCGCGTGATAATTCGAAAATACCGAGTTTCTAGTTTACGAAGATCAGATGAAAAGCGGAGCGTTTTTATGAGGGCGCTGAATATACGTCTCAGAGGAATAATAAGAATGGATCCGTTTCACCCTTTGGCCAAATTACTGCATTTGGGGTGCGTGAATTTAAATCTCGGTGAAGTACGCAACCACAACATTCGTCGTTACCAAAACTGGAATACCGTATTACCTAATTCTACCATCTGCTCTCCCTCCCCCTCTCCTCTTTTCAAATCTTTTTCACATATTTTTATACATTATCTTTTGTCCTTTTTCCAGTTAGATAACACAATTTTTAATTCATTGTATATTCCTAGACCCATCCTTCTACATATTTTCACTATGAATGCAACTTGTGTGCATGCATTTTTACCTGCACCATAATGTCCGGATATCAGAAACGAATTTCAAAAGTACAAACCTGTGAATTAAGCCCGGCCGGCCTCTCGTTACAACATCTATGCCTGCAACAAGTACACGCTTGATTCTTGCGGAAGAAAAGTAACATCCACTCTTGGTCTTGGTGGAAGTACAGAGAATCTCGCAAATGGCACGTCGCAACGAGCTCCAAAATCAAAGTATGCGCTAATTAACAATGTCAGTTGTCAGGCAGTCATTGTCACATACTTATGAAAGTATATAGTTTATTTATGCGCACTTAGGCTAAACAAAATGACAAATAGTAATTTTTCACCAATATACACACTTGATTCCAGCCAAAAAAACTCTATATATATATATTTATATTTACACATGAAAATTATACAGAGTATTGAACATAAATACAATCCGTTTACAGTCCAAGATTTCAAGCACTCTATGTGATTCATAAATTCGTATTTTTCATTATAGAAATGTGTTTTAAAAAATTATTACTAATTTATTTCAATTTTTACATTTGTGCTCCAAAAGGAAATCTTTTAAAAGTATTTTCAAATATGTTATTAATATAAAAAAATTTATAATGGAATTAATGAAGTATATACTTAACTTAATATTTCTTTATAATAATAAACTTTATTTAATTGTTTTATTATTACTTTAACTATTTTTAGAATAATAAACACCACCAGAGAAAATGTTTTCAATTTCTATCAAAATGAGATATGTCTGCATATAAGTGTAATATTAGGAACAAAAATCATATATGTATAGATTTATTTTTTTATCTCAATTTATAAAATTATAAAAATTTACATTTTTAACTTCCGTGTTTATGTAAATATTACTTATTTAAATCAGAGTTTATAATCTAATATTCATATTTTTTTGTTTATTTATATGCAAAACGGCCAAAAAATGAAATTTAAAAACATGTTAAAAAACAATTTAAAAATTTTGACAAAATATGATAGAAATAATAGACTTTTTCAAAACAAAATAAACTGTTGCAGGCTTAAAATCATTTCAAATTTTATATGTGTGTAAATATATACATGTCCTCTATGAAATATATTCCATCTGTTCACTGTAATTATTTTAATCTAAAATAAATAATTTTGATGTTTTATAGGAAATATTTTTCTTGTGTAAGAAATATTGTGTTGAATATATACATCATAAATATTGCAATTTTGAGAAACACATAGATGCCATTGAATATTGAAACTCTAAAAGTATAAAAATTTATAGACTATTCCTTTATAGGTGAACTAGCTTCATTGAGAGAATCCGAAAACAAATACAGGCAACAATATGTAGAAGCATCTCACAGGGAGAAGATCTTAGTAAGGAGGCTTGCCTCTAAAGAGCAGGAATTGCAAGAATATATTGTATGTAAACATTCTCAGATACATTGAAATTCTAAGCAAAAGTCTTGCAAAATTTATTTTTATATAAACCGATAAATAAAAGAGGATCTTCTTTTCTGTTAGAATCAAATAAGTGAAATGAAAGCCACCCAAGCTCCGTCCGCAGCTGCATTAAGATCTGCTCTGTTAGATCCGGCTGTTAATATATTGATACAGAAATTAAGGCAAGAATTAATAACGACCAAGGGTAAATTAGAAGATACACAAAATGAGCTAAGCGCATGGAAATTTACACCAGACAGGTCAGAAGAAAAGACTAGCATTTATGTATCAAATAAAATATAATATACAGTTCTCTTCTCACTAATTATATTTTATTTACAGCAATACGGGAAAAAGATTAATGGCAAAATGTAGATTATTATATCAAGAAAATGAAGAACTTGGTCGTATGATTGCTAGTGGACGTATCGCAAAGTTAGAAGGCGAACTCGCCTTGCAAAAAAGTTTCAGCGAAGAAGTCAAAAAGTCACAATCAGGTATCCTATTAAATATTTATTGATTTACAAACCTGTATAAAGCAATTTTTATGTAATCATTACAATCTTTTTTATAATTGAAATATCTTGAATGTTATATATTTGGAAACATCATAGAACTAATATTTTGTTTCATTTTGCAGAATTAGACGAGTTTCTACAAGACTTGGATGAAGATGTGGAGGGTATGCAGAGTACTATTTACTTCTTACAACAAGAACTGCGCAAGGCTCGAGAATCCGTCACGCTATTACAACAGGAAAATGCAGCATTAAAGACGAATACAAATGAGAATAATTTATCGAACGGTTTATCACCCCATACACCCCCGATCAAAAAGGAGGAATTAGAAGAAAGTTCTGCACCAGATACGAAACCTCCGAAACCGATGGAGGACAGTGGTATGTGCAAAGGTGTAAGAACTCCACCGTTAACGTCGCCCCAGAGTGAGCTTACTAGTGTCGAAAGAACAGAACGTGCAGAGAGAAAACTTAATCAAGCCGATCACAATGACGAAAGTTCTAGCGATTCCGCGGCATTAATTATTAAGGTTGAAAATGAAGAACTCAGTGATAGAGAAGAAGAGCACGAGGAGAATCGGAACAAGCGAATATTAAGGAGTAAAAGTCACAATAGGAATAGTGGTAAATCAAACGGGGAAGAGGTGCTAACGCGAACAACGCGGGGTAGGGACAGGACAAAGAGGGAGAAAAGTGCAGCCAGTAGTGATGATGAAAGGACGCACAAGAAGAAACGAAGGGAAAGTATTCTTTCTCTTGATTATAATGATGGCGATGATGATGCATTAGTTTTGACTAATGGCGAGACTCTACAAAGTGATCCAGAATGAACGATATTTTAGGTTGATTTTAAAATTCACATCCAACCAAAATGTGGTGAAAATCCGCGATATGATTTGAAATTCTCTTGTTACTGTGTACAAAATTTTTCAATTAACGTAACGACGGCTGTTTACAGGACAGTGTTCGAATAAACGAATAATTAGCCATAAAGAGACATGGTTTCAGTACCTGTATTGGTGATAACTTCAAATGATAAATATTGACATTGTCTCTAAAAATTAACAAACTTGTAAATACTCTTATACTATTAGATTAATATAAAATTAAAAATTTATGTTTACCTCGTTATTTGCATATGACCAAATTACAAATTATATTACACAAAATTATAATAAATAAATTTGATTCTCGCCTTTTAATTTACAACAAATGCTAGTGAAAGAAACTAGCAGTCAGATTTTGTTCATATTTTGTAAATTTCTTGTATCAATATTTTGTGTAAAATCAACAAAAGTTTGGTTAATCAGTAAAAATGAATAATCTGAAAAATTGTCAAGAATTGATTAAAAACGCCTGACCACATTTTATGTAAACAAATACATAATCAATACTTTCAGATATATATATATATATAAAACGTATTTAAAAATTGCATACATAATTTCAATGTATATATATACTTTTATGTTACATGTGACATATTAATTGCATACCATGTTTTTCTTTTTTCTTTTTTTTTTTTATTAAATAATTAAAGAGAGAAAAAATATATAAATTTAAAATATAAAATAGTACAGTACTTTTGACAATATACATATATGTGGATTGACTTCACTACTAATATATTAAACATTTTTAATCTTTTCAGAAATTGTACACAGCATTCACATTTTTAATTTTCTAAAAAAATATATAAAATTATGTGAGATAATATTTTATATATATAAAAGTTTATTTTACATTTGCCTTTTTTAATTTGTGCTTTTATTTTCAAAGAGAACACGCATAAAAAGAAATAAAAAATATTGAATAACATAAATTTGCATTAAAGAGTATTATAAAATATGTATGATATATTTCATTCAAACTTTTTATGTGCCATTATTAATTTTTTTAGCACTACTAAAAAGATAACGCAATTTCTCAATTATAAACTGAAAATAAAGTTTTTTTTCATATCCATATTTTATAATTATATTATGGTATCTTTTCTTTAAATTATTGTATAAACTTGTGTTTATATAGAATATTAATGAATAAGTAGATTTTAAGCTTCTAGAATATAATCTTTTATTTTAAAATCATTCTATAATAGTAATAGTGTTTAATTTATTATTTCATATATCCACTATATTATTAGTAATTTATTAGTAATAGTAACAAAATATAATAGAAAATTTGTATGAACTGTTGGAAGGGTGCTATTGCATCTAGGTACGAGCTTGCCGACGTCGATCACGTGACAGTGACGTCACGCATGCGCATGACGTATCAGCCGGTGGAATTTATTTCACGAGTTTTCTTTGTGTTGATCGCAGATTACGGAATGCATTAATGCAATATTGCAGAAGCCGATATCGCAAGTATTCGGCAAGTAGTTCGTCAATAGTTTGCGCTAGCAGCGCGAGATACTTGCGTATGCTGGCTGACAGTTTGTAGTAGAATCAAGCAGAACCAAATAAGCTGCAAAGAGAAATCATTGAATTATTTTCAAAAATAGTCTACTTTTGTATTTTCTCGATCATGTTCGCAGCAAGACGTGTCCTCGTCTCCAATACAATGTAAATATGTCAATATTAATTCTTATATTTATTCTTGTTTTTGTATTATGTAATTCCTAACCTGATACATAATCTTGATATTTCTGTAGCGATACGTTTCTTATCTGTTACTCGAGTATGAGTTGATATTAATTCATAAGACGATATATATATATCAATAATTTATGCGAAATAGGAGATTGCACAAAATATGCGCACGAATGTGCAAGCAGAATTGTCAAAAAAAACTTTCATTTTAGAGTCTTTTTCTATTTGCATTTATTTACGTAACCGGCAAAAATTTATTTCAATGTATCTAAAGAAACTTTTTATGTTTTTAACAAACGAACGTTATTGCAATGCATTTCAAAAAATAAATTTCATATTTGTTTATATAATTAAACTGTCTACAATTTGTAATCAATTTTTTGTTTAATCTGTACTCTAAGTATGGTTTTTTGATTATTATTTCTGGTAAATTGTATATAATTATATTAACAAAAAATAGTAAACATTACAAGTTAGATGCAAGTTTATTCTATTTATTGTTTATTATTAGCTGTGTGTGTGTGTGTTTGCATTTATTTTTTACATATATGCTTCTATATCACATTTTTTATAAATAATTATTCCAATATGTTATATTAATCAATGATTGATGCAATTTACAGCAAGGATGTATTTGCAAGATCAAAGCACTCGCTTCCAGATCTGCCATATGATTATAAGGCTCTGGAGCCAATCATAAGCGCAGAGATCATGCAGCTTCATCATTCCAAACATCACGCTACATATGTCAATAACTTGAACATTGCTGAGGAAAAGCTAAAAGAGGCAGTTGCAAAAAGTGACGTTAACACACAAATTGCTCTGGCTCCAGCCATCAAGTTCAATGGCGGTGGTCATCTCAACCACTCAATATTCTGGTGTAACCTTTCACCTTGTGGTGGCGATCCAGATGGTAACAATGAGAAAAATGAATAGAATAATTAATTAGTTACCTAATTAATCTACATACACGTATATACAGAAAATAAGTATTTAAATGAATTAAATTTATTCTGTATGGCAGTAAAAAAAATAATTTTATTGTCATACAAAATTGTTTATCTTTGTAGAGTTCTCTTGTTTTAAAGTTTGCATCAGATTGAAAAATTATAGTAGGATTCAGTTGACAATTAATTACATATCTTCTAATGACAACATTACTTAAATGATGATAATATTTATTATTCTTAACTGATTGAATTTTATAATATGCTTTATATAATTTGTAACTTATTTGTAACACACAATTATTGTTGGTTTTAAGATTTTTCAAATTTTGAAGTTTTTTTTATATGATATATAAAATTAAAGTTAGAAATATAATTTTATAAAAAATCCATCTAAACATATATAAAAATATTTAAAAATTACAAAATTGTATTTTTTTTAATTAAAAAAAGAGAAATATATCATAAATTTAAATATTAACAATTACAAATTTTTGAAAAAATAATCTGTATATACTATAAATAGAAAAAAGAATTAAGTTTAAAGTTGATTTTTTAAAATTGTATAATATATTAATATGTCAAAAAGTATAAAAAGTACAACTTGCACAGATAATATATTATATATCTATTTTCCTAGCTGCCTTCGTGAAACAAATCGAAAAGGATTTTGGCAGTTTGGAAGAATTGAAGAAACGGTTATCTGAAACAACTGTGGCAATTCAGGGTTCTGGCTGGGGTTGGCTTGGATATGATCAAAAAGCTAAGTCCCTCAAAATAGCAACTTGCGCGAATCAAGATCCGCTGCAGGCGACAACCGGTCTTATTCCTCTCTTTGGCATCGACGTATGGGAACATGCCTATTATTTGCAATATAAGAATGTACGTCCCGACTATGTGAAGGCGATCTTTGACATTGTCAATTGGAAGGACGTGAACGCGCGCTTCAAAACCGCCACCGGCTGTTAAGAGTCAATAGAGACGTTTGAATATGTTTTTAAAATATGATGTTAGAATGACGCTTTTTTGTATAGGGTTGGTATATCATCACGAATTTTCGTCACGTACAACACGCCTGTGATTTTCTGTATGCTTTTCTTTTTCCAAACTGTAAGACTTGTGTACTGTTATAAATTATATACACAAATAACGAGTAAACAAACGTAAGCAATACTAGTAATGTTTACTTCTTATCCTTAGAATGAGACTGAATTATAGCAGCATTTTTTTTTTGTACATTATTTTGCTATATAAAATATGCATTTATAAAATAAAACTGTTTATATGTTTCTAAATCACGAATGTGATATGTTTATAAATCACAATATATTATTCATTATTATTATTAATTATTATTATATATATAATATTAAAATAATATATCGTTTCTTTTAACAGAATACTTGAAAAATACATGAAAATAAATACACAGAATATATTTCACAGATATATTTTCAATTTATTGGAGTAAATTATGGAGTATTTTTTATGTAAAATTATAGAACATTTTTCTTCATAAGAATTTATTTTTCATTAACTATAAAAGAAAATTTTATGAAAAAATATTTCCCTACATAATTTATCAGCACTAATTTAATAAGCAGAAAGACAAAAATTTCAATTCAGTGTTTTAAATTTTATATTTAAATAGATTAAATTATGCATACTCCCAAATTTCTCTTTGATTAATGTTACAATTATTACATTTAATGTGCAAAAATATAATGCAAATTTATAAAAAATTTTTATTTTTAATTTTGACATTTTAACTAGATTAGAGCATGAATTTGCAGGAGAGACATAAGATTTCCCCGATTATCTCAGTGGAAAAACAAGGTTATGTTTGGTAAACTTGTATGAATCATCCAAGTGTCTGACTGTCGAGAAGCTAGTCATTTATCGCGTGCGCGTGCGAGATCGCGATCTTTATCCTCTCGTCGCGAGGAACGAGAGGAAGAGAGCGCGCAAGTCTGAGAAGCGCGCGAGGTCGTGATCGAATCGAAATTGAAAAGGAACGCGCAGAAGAGAGGAAGAAACGGGAGAGGCGAGAAACAGCGTCTCGGTTCGCGTCGCGAAGTTCGCAGCGTGAAACGGAGTAAAGAAGAGACGTGGAGGAAAACGCACAGAGGAGAGGAAAGAAAGGGCCAGCGCACGTTCCGAGTCGCGCGTTCCCGTCGACGATCGATCGCTAGGAGTCGACTCCGGACCACCGTGTGGCGTCGCGACGCTCACACGAGGAATCGTCGACAGGAGCCAGTATGGCCGGAGGAGCCCAGCTGTTTTCACGTCACTGCCTACGTATCTGGTGAGTATCTGTCTATTTCGCGCCACTTCAGACCGTATATGTTTCCCGCTAACTTCTCGCGTCTTGTCACTTTATTACTTGTCGTCATTACGAGAGTACGATACGGTACGTAAGGTTTTGTGTAAGCGCGATATTGTGCGTGAACGCGTTGCTGTGAACGCGACGTGATAATTATTTATTTAAACTGCCACCGCGTTTTATCGACGAGAGAGAGAGAGAGAGAGAGCTTTGAAGCGCTCGATCGAATCGCCCTTTTCTCTTTGTCTGCATTTTGGAGCAAACAGAAAATGAAGCGTTTTACCTGTCTTATTGAGGCATATATCGAAAACGGATCGCGTTCTTCATATTTCAAGGTAAATTTTATATCTTCGATTTTGTCTCCGATATATATTTATGTGTCTGATTAAACTATATTGAACTCTCTCGATAGTTATTGAAATTTTATCAAATTACATATATTATATTACATATATATATATATATTATATTGTATATGTATATATATATATATATATATATATTGTATATATTATTACAATATATATATATATATATATATATATATATATATATTTATAAAATTTCATATATATAATTCATTCATATATTCATGTCCATATATATATATATATGGACATGAATATATGAATGAATTATATATATGAAATTTTTGAGAAAATGTCACTGGCTGAAACACTTTGCAATCGAAATTATCGAAAGGACGAGATGAAATCTGCCAAGTATTCATATCTCCGATTTTCTGTATATTTATTTGCGAAAATGTGATTTCCGCTTCGGAAGCCATCACAGTTTCTCAATTTAACGGTGTAAAAAGGTTGAATTTCTCTGTATTTATTCTGAGCAATTCATGTTGCGCATTAAGAATGTTAAAACGCTATATAAGAACGTCAAAAATATTAAATTTAGTATAAAAATATTAAAAGATATATAAATAATATATTGCATAATGCAACAATTAGGAACAGATATGTATATTGTTTTTTGATTCTTGGTCTTTATTCTTAATCATTAAGGGTGTTAAAACGCTACAAAAACGTCAAAAATATTAAATTAATATTAAATTTAATATAAAAATATTAAAAGGGATAAATTAGATGTATTGTATAATGCAACAATTAGGAACAGATATATATATATATATATTGTTTTCCGGTTCTTGGTCTTCATCCTTAATCAATTTTGGTGTATTTTGCGTGTTATATACTGTAGACGGAATCAATAGAGTCGAAATAGAACGGAGAGGGGACAGAAAAATTAAAAAGTAAAAAATGACTTTTTATTTTCATTGAACAGTGTATAAGAAGTGAAATCGAATAGTTTGACATTTACAAAAATAAGTAAAAAAACCAGTATTCTATTTAATGTTTCACCATTATGTTACGTTACAATTATAAGCATCTGTTTTATTCATACTTGTATATTATTCGGGTTGCTGGTTGCTTTGTGTAATTATCGATTCATGTATTATTTTTTTTGTACTTATTTATTATTAAATGTATTTATCGTATGTTGGGGACTTTATTTTAAAATAGAATATTACAGAAATATATTTAACATTAGAGAGAATATGTGTATTGTCGTGTTAAAAATTGATAACATTTTATAAAAAAAGATTATCTTTATTTTTGTATCCATAAAAAATTATGGGAAAAATGTCATTCTTTTTCACGTTATTTTCCATTAAATCTAAGAATAATACACTTTAAATTGATATTTGATTATAACAAGTATATTTTATTTTTTCAAATTGAAATTTGCACCGAAGCATAATATTGCGTGAGTGTAAATATAATTCAATGTGCATTTGAGAGATAGTCGATTAATCGCAATTTTGATTGACATTTTCAATTGGCGAAAAGCAAAATGCAATATAGATAGACAGTTATAAAATAATGTCAGACCGGTCGAGGATTAAGTTCACACTTGAATCGATAATTCATATATTAATAACGATTCTTATAATTTATGTAAATGTTAAATGTTCATTTGATTTATAGTCATTTATTATTTTATTCAAGCCCTTTATTTATTTTATTAAATCACTATTTTTATTTTTATTTTAATTTTTTAAGTGAAAAACTAACTTTATTTTTTTGTCGATGAGGAATTAACTTCAATTTTATTTTACCATAATTTGTGATCCCCATCTGCGATCAATCTGTCCCCTCATTCTCGTTACGTTTTGACCCTTTTATTCTCCCGTCACAGATCGTTATAGATAGTGAGTACCTCCAGATTGACTGAAGCGAAATAGCATGATGATAACGATTTGAACAGGGGCGGAAGAAGTACAAAGGGAATTAAAGGGTTCGCGAAGGTTACGACAGGCCATATAGGTAACATTTCGTGATATAAACGAAATGCGGGGGCTAAGGTAGGTCAGTAGTAATCGATCTTTCGAGTATCGTGATTACTGAATTTGTGAACGAACTTGATATTTTGAATGACACGTAAATATATAATTTCTATCTTCTATAATTAAGTTCGTTGATTTACTTTCAGATTAAAGCGCGTTTGAATCTGGTACGCAAAAATTTAATTGTCAGTTATTTTCAATTTTCTCTTATAATTAAATTTACGTTAAGAAAAAGTTACTGCTTAATATCCTTATAATATGAAAATTTTAAATAATAGATAGTTGTTTTATCAGTACATATATCAATATATTAAAATGAAAATGTGCTATATATTATTTTATTACTTATGAAATAAAAGAGAGAAAAAGTAAATATTATATACATTATATATATCATATTTTTCATTAAAAAACAGTCATTCATTTCAATTAGAGATTATTAAATTCGGAATTTTATCATTTTTGGTTAATAAACCGTATTAGATTGGACATATTATATTTAAAATACTTTTCATTGCAATTGAACAAATGGATGATAAAATGGAAAAATATGTATGGAAATACTTTATTCTTGAATATTTGAAATTAATTTTAAAGAATCTATTAGAAAATAAAACAATTCGAATTTTAATAAGATTTTCTGTCTGATGTGATTAAAAATGCAAAATATCGTGCGAAGATAGCTGACATCCAATATTTTCAGAAATTAAAATCGCTTTAAATTAAATAAAGTATCAGTAGCTAAAACCGATTGCTCCAGTTTTCATACATTTTGTTATATAACATTAGTATAAAATATTGATTGAGAATGTCAGATTAAAAAAAAATTGAAAGATCTCAGCCTTGTAAGACAATAAAATCTTTCCAGGAATTTTAGCAATGCTAAAAAATTTATTAGAAAGAAGGAACCTTTTCCGAGGAAAAATTAACTCCAAATTGATCGAGGAATACAAGAAAATGTGAGGGTGGGCTATGAGTCATTCTCTCTATCTGTACACATCATCTTATTCAATAGTCTCATCGTTCTATATGTAAGAGCGAGCGAGTCAACAATTTGAACGAGACTCATTATTCCTAAATTCTCTAATTTAATTGGAAATTTTGTCTTCTCTCTCTCTCTCTCGGAAATGTCGCGTTCCTCGAGACGGAGTCGACGCGACGACGCCGGGCGTCGGGTCACGTTACATGTTAATAATTCGCCCCCTCGACGAGCGGCGCGTCGAAAGGGGGATGATTTTTGTATAGTTAATCGACGTTGACGTCGAAGGAAAAGGGAGACAGAGAGAGAGAGAGAGAGAGAGAGAGAGAGAAAGAGCATTTGCAACGTGCGCGCCAACTTTTACCAAGGATGTGTAGGCGATGTGTGTTTGCGCGCGCGGTACCGTCGGCGATGTCGTCGTGGATATCTTTTACTTATTGATTGCTCCGTGGAAATTGGCCGGCGCCGCCTGCGTCGCATCGGTCGATCGTCGGGGTTGCAGGCTGACGTCACTCGCTGTGCCTCCGCGGGCTATTGATTTTCTCCCTCTAGGCGCGACGCGATTGGTCCATAAACCGAGAAAGCGGCCAGAGAAAACGGCCCTGGACCACCACGCTGCTCTTGTCGATCGACGCGCGCAACCCTCCACCTTTAATCTGTGTATGTGTGTGTGTGTGTGTGTGTGTGTGTGTGTGTGTGTGTATACATGCTGTCTGCCTATGTGCACATGTATGCATACAGGGTGTTTCAGAACTGGTGAACAAGTTTTTTATAGAAGCCATCATTTTTTGCCATCGTGTCTCTCCCTAATAGCACAACATATCCGAAAAATAATCAGAGGATATCCAGAAGATATTCGAACATCCTCAGAATGTTCTCTGAACGTCTTCGGGATATGTGTGCTGTTAGGTGTGCTGTAACTAAATCTTAAATGAAAATTCTATTACAGTAAACTCCACCTGAAATTGACTAAAGAATATAATTTTCTTAATATTTAATTTCCAACACAAGGCTTAGTTTGCAAAGAAGCTTGTACTCGAAAATGATCGGCGCCTCGACATTTTCGCTGAGGGAAAATCGTCCCCGAATGATCCCAAGAATCTGCCATTGGAAAGAATGATTTTTGACCAGTTCTAGAACATCCTGTATACGAAGGTTTACACGTGTAAGCGCTCGTGCGCAGATGTGTGGGCGGCCACGTTGATTCGAATCCAACCACCACCCCTAGTGCTGCGCCGGTATATCGCGATGCCGCTCGAGAGAGTTTCATAGGAGGAAGAACGTAAACGGAAACGCGTTCCGGGGGCGTAAACCCGTCATCGAATCGCATTCGGAGGGTGACGCGCGTTCTCACCCTGGAGGTAAGCCGCGTCGAAACGATTAATCGACACCATAATGTTCCGGAACGCGGACTCCGCGGCCTGATGGCCGATCGCGTGCGCATCCCTGAATCTCTACATGCCGCTATGCTACCTTCTGGAGGGCGCGGGGTTGACCTCCAAAGAATTCCTTCATTTCACAAAATGAGATTTCTCGCTAGAACGCGCCGCGAGGTGACTTACGCGCAGGGACGTCAATGAAATTCGTCGAATACCTTGGAATTTCACGTCATTTTGGCGAGATTGCTGAATACCAATACGCATTCCAATTTCTTTTTATATAATTTATATATATATTTATTATATAATACATTATATATATATATATAATATACATTATATATATATATATATATATATATATATATATATTATATATTATAGTATATATTATATAATATAATTTGTGTGTTGAATTGTCGATCGATAGCTAATCACGACTTGGCACGAGACAGAATTGTCTCTCGATAAAACGTATCGAATGAGAATTTTTAAAATAGATATATACGTGTATGGATCATATATTGTACATGCAGTATACTGTATGGAACTTTTATCATAACATGAGGGTAGTATACGTAAGGATGATCTCTTCACCCTTCCAGCTCCAATAGTTAATGCTCATGCATCTCAATGCGAAGGTCGTTTAAACGTTTTTCCATGGATAGAACATTCAATTTGAACATTGCACATCATTCTGATCTTCCAAAAGATTCCTTTGGGGTGAGAAACGGGTCCCCAAAAAGATTTCCATCGGATAAGAGCATTTTTATATACTCTATTTTTAAAATCGAATCTCTGAAATTAGAGGATAGGCTTTATTAATTCTTAGTTAACCCAGTATTTTACTCCAGAAGAAATAATCAAATCAATCATTGTGTTCGATTAAAAAAAAAAGAAATTATATTTAGAACAACACTGATATTCATGCTCGATATCTTCTCTTTTAAACATACAATGTATTTACGCTGTTATAAAAGCTGAAAGGTAATAATAACCGACGTTCTCTTTTATGCACGATGACATGTTTAATGTATTCATTTGACACGATAAATTGTTTGTTCATTATGTAATATAAACCATATACAAGGCAAAAGGATATCTAAAGAACACAGCAAAAATATCTGAGATATTATTGGTCTTCTTTGGATTTTTGCCCTGCTTAAAAAATTCATTGGGGTTACAAATTCGTGATAAATTTACGGAATACTTGACGTGTTTTAATACAACTTGTCAAGATTTATTTTTTGGTATCAATTTTGCGGAAATAATTGATTAAGAGAGAAAGAGCGAGAGAGAGAGAGAGAGGGAGAGAGAGAGAGATTAAGCTACTCATAATAGCTAGAATAAACTAAAACTCTTCTCCTCGGATAATACAGATCTAAAAATCAATGAGGACCGAATGCATACAATTGGACTTTTAATAAAAAATTTATTTCATCATTTCAGTTTTTGTTTATAAATAACATTTATTTTATCTTTTGAGATTCGGCCTTTTTAAAGCAAGTTTGATGTCAATTATTTAATGAAAACAGGTCATACGAATATTTTAATAAATATTCGCACATATTGAAGATTTATTAATTGTGCCAAATAAAAACATCCGATTGATTGCACTTCATATAACATTATCACTGCTGGTTTTGCGGTTTATTATTAGATATAAAAACGATCTGAATAACATTGAATTAGCTTCGAGTTTAATGAATAAAACGGAGTACAGACAAAAATTACCATTATTAAAAAGGAAACTATATCTCTTATATAATATCTGATCTCGATATGATTTATAACAAGTAAATTTTTTTTATGATTACGTATTATCTATAAATATTTTACTAATTTCTTAATGCTCAAGTCTGCCTCTCGGTATTAATTTACAAATGCGATCTCTCTTTGGTGATATCTAAATATCAATTAAAGTTGATTGCCTCGTAATCTCAAGATGCACTCATACAATAAAAATAAATAAATTAGCCATCATAAATTTAGCTGTCCCTATATTGCAACCTTTTAGTTATCATGCGTAAATTTGAGTTATGGTAACTAATATTTTTAGCTATAGTTTAACAGGGAATTCTATCGCTAAAAATATCAGCTAAAATATTAAATATGTAATAGAGGAACAGCTAAAATTTAGCTATGGTAACTCATTTTTTTCTCATGAATATATCATGCGATGCTATTATTCACAATCTAAATATTATAAAAAAAAAAAAAAAAAAAAAAAAAGATAAGTCGAGGTTTTCAAAAAATTTTTATATGTACAAGTAGTTCATGATCTGCGTAATAATATCTAAAATATCTGATGCTATTCAACGGCGTAATTAGATCGACGTGCGCCTCATGCATTCAGGTGTTAAGTCTCTCCCTTCCCTATATAATGCACGCGTGCACGCACACACACACACACACACACACACACACACACACACACACACGTACACACTGCACTCTGCTTTCTTCCATCGAGAAGAATATGCGGTATACAAGTTTACTCTTGGAATGAAAAATAGCCCGAGTAAATTGGATTGCGAATGCGGAGATAATTTGATTAATTTTGACAACTGTGTTCTAATTAGCTCCCGCTGTCTTCCCGCCTAAAGGAGTTACTTAGCGGAAAATATTGCGTTCTTGCGGCTATTTTGTTTCTCGTGCCATATCCTACGAGGAAATCATGAGTTGCGCGCGTGGCAAGGAGCGAATATTACAACCCTTATGACCGCCTACGAGGCATTCGTGCGCGTGCTTTGTATAGCTATACCTTACATATTCCCTCTTCTCTCTTAATCCCTTACGTGGTTAAAATACGGTGCGGTAACTCGAGACACGGATTGCGAGCAAGGATACTTTTATTTAATAGGATACAGGTGTTTTTATTTTTTTTTATCTACGAATATGGGCGATAAAACATTCGATATAGGAGTGAACAACCCCTTTAGAGAGCTCTGATTTTGAATAGTTTCACAATGAGCTCCAATGACATAATAATTTATGCACACGCTATTTTCTCTCTTTTAGATTATTTTTTCAAAAAATAGGAAAATAAATAACATATTTAGTATACAACAAATATTAAAAGATAGAGTATAAATATAAAGTGATTTGTTTACTATAATTATTTCACAATTTTCAAATTAGATCATTATATAATATATGACAAGAGAATATATCTATTCGTATTACATTAAAAATACAGGAAGTAATATAAATGAGAAGAATGCTTTTAATTCATTTTTTAAATAAATTTATTTCATAATCGTGATCTGTCTTTTAAGAGAATAGCGCATCTCTTTTCTCAACTATAGACATCCATATTAGGGGCAAATAATTCTAAAGAAAGAGAGAAATAATATCAATCGTGTCTATCGCTATATTAATTAAAATTCCAGAAAAAACGAATTCTTTTCCTGGAAATATCGAGAGAAATATCGATATTCATACTGGGTTTCGAAGGGGGCAAGAAGTATTAGTACCCTACTAAACTGAAGTATCCCTACTCTAGACACACGAGTCCGTGTCCCCGACGACGACGACGACGGACTTCTCCGTCGCAGCACGCAGGCGCCCGACGTATACGTCGTCGTCAGTCCTCGGCACAACGGGGTAACAAAACGGGGGTGGCGTTGCAACGGAAAGCGAATTCGCCAAAGTTCGCTCGGACCGGACAAACAGACGGACAGGCGAGAAAGACGGCTTGAATTCGTACATGGGTGTATTTACGTACGCGCGAGTGTTGCTCCATTAAAAACAATAATGTCATCATCAGCCTACGGGGGTTGCGCGGATCGCGGATCGTCCAGCGGATGGCCGACGTAGTGACGTATAAAGTGCGATCAGGGCAAAGCAAACCCGACCCTCGATTCGAGGAAGAGTCAGCCTTCCTTCCTCGAGAGGTCGTCCCGTGGTTCTCCTTCAGGGCTCGCACCCTCTTTCCTCGCCGGAGACGAGCGAAAGGTAAGGCCCGACCTAGGTATATCCTCTCCGAGCGTGCGGACGATCGATCGTAAAAATCCACATATACGCTGTTCCTCGTCTCCGCCCCTTCCGGACCTTCCTCCGCGAACACTACTCGCCGTTCGTATCGATCACACCGCTGCCGTGATGGTGTTTTGTACGTCAATTACGAGAGTGCTGGCTTCGCGGAAGGGACGTCTTCTTCGAATGCGATGATTGACGTCAAACGTCATTCCTACGTATGATCCTTTACCGTGTGCGTATCGTGAACCCTCGAACCTGATCCTGAGGGAATTTTGCCTGCGATTTCGGAGGAACTCTCGCGACAACTAGGTGCTGCTAAATTGGGATCTTGAATCTCTTCGACCCTTATTTCCAGATTTTTCACTATGGACATCAATTTATGGCTTGTTGTAATTTATTTCACGAATTGTGTTTCATCATATGACGAGATGTCTTGTATTTTTTTCAAATACATTCTTATCTTCTCTAGATTGCTTTATTAATATGCATTGTTAAATTTTGTTTTTAAATCATCTTTTTGATTGATCTCAATTGTGAAAATGTACAGAACATCTTAATTGTTTTAATGAACGTGTTGAAAGAGTTAAATCTAAATTTCGTGAAATAAAAAGTAGTACAAGAGAATTGATTTTCGTAAATAGTACAAATTTAAAAACTCTAATTGTTTGTCAATTATATTTGATTTGATGAGAATTTTGAAGAAAATACATCTACAGATGACACATACAAGTGTAATTATACATGTGTCTAAGCTTTTATTTATTTTTTCTTATACAATAACAATATTATCAACTTTAATTGCGGAAGGGAATAATTTGACATTTGAAAAATGAGTTTAGCGTGAACCAGTCATTCTTTTCTTCAAGAAATTTATCTCCATTTTCTTCAGATATTCATGAGTTAGTTGTAATTGCATTTTTTTGCATAATATTATACTTCTATTTTTTTCACGAATATAGATGACGCGCGCGCGCGGTTTTACTAATTAATTATTCTTCCGATAAAGTCTACGTATTTCTGTACGGATCAATGACCCGTGCTATGCTTCAACATTTGTAAATGTAGGAATCGTTGTTATATACATTTCGCTCCTTTATTACCGTATTGATCGGATTTTATCGTAATCTTTTTTCGCACTTTGAATAGGAATCTATTATTTTCGAAATTCTGATATTTGCCATTAAAAAGATGTACGTTTTCCTAAAGAATTTATTTATTATTGATTCACGATCTAATAGTATTTTTGAAAAACAATGTAAAGCACACATTTAAAAGTAAAATTATACGAAGCCTGAATAATATAAATTTTATAATCCTGGAAAATAATCCGGTATAAAACATGATTTATTCAATATCAGTGATTCGTGTCAACGATTAATGCGACTTTGTTTGAAAGATATTCTTCAGGCGTGACAGAGATTGTGAAAACTACATTTTTGTTTTTTTTTTTATTTGCCTCTATAAGAAAGTATTTATAAATAATATATATAATTCTATTAATAATATTTAGATATACATATATTGTTAAATAAATCTATGAAGACAATTACTTCTCGATTATTCCCTTGCAATAAATAATGTTCTGTTAAAATATGCAATTGCTTAAAATTAAAATAATATATTTGAACTATTTATATAAGAGATCAATTAATAATATTAAACACGTCGATTGAGATTAAACATTAATGAATTTCTAATATTGACTTTTACTTGAAGAAGGTCTTTCTTCTGCCCGAAAGATGAACTTTGACTTAAGAAATTGACCGGCTGCACCATTAATAGATTTGATAATGGCGTGCCATTAATAAATTCGACGAATTCGATGATATTACAATAATTAAAATAAAATTTTGTTACAGAGAGTCGAGCGAGAGGAAGTTATCGCCAGCACCGCCGCCGACTTTATCCGACGCTAAGTTAAAAAAAAAACAAGAAAAATGTCGTCGGTTAAGGTGGCGGTGAGGGTACGACCCTTCAACAATCGCGAAATTACTCGTGAGGCACAATGTATCATAGATATGACGGGGACTACCACTTGTAAGTTTCCGACTCGTAATTTAAACCGACCGAATACGTAAACTCGTGATGCTATATCCCCCATTTTTACGTTACAGCCATAGTGAATCCTAAAGCCACACCAGGAAGCAAAGAAGCTGTCAAAAGCTTCAATTATGATTATTCCTACTTTTCTATGGACGTAAGTGTATTTCTTTTATTTATTTTAATGAGAGATATCAAGACGATATTATTATGTTTATTGCATGATTATTTTGATGTTTTTGCAGCCAAACGATGAAAATTACTCATCTCAGCTCATGGTTTACAAGGATATCGGTGAAGAAATGTTGGAACACGCCTTCGAAGGTAGATATTAGTTGACAGATGAGAAATTTTAATTTATCAAAACCATCTAATTAATATGCACCTATAATTATTTTGTTAAAAGATTTAATTAATTAGGATTAGAACTTAATTAGGATTAATTTATACATTTTATTATATCAGCACGTTATATAATTTATTTATTTCGTAATGCAGGATATAACGTTTGCATTTTTGCATACGGCCAAACCGGCGCCGGTAAATCTTACACCATGATGGGTAAGCAGGAAGAGGGACAGGAGGGGATAATACCACAGATTTGCAAGGATCTGTTTAGGAAAATCAGCTATACGTCTAACGAGCGATTGAAGTATTCGGTAGAAGTGAGTTATATGGAAATCTATTGCGAGAGGGTGCGCGATTTGTTAAATCCGAAAAATAGAGGGAATCTTCGAGTGAGGGAACACCCTCTCTACGGACCTTACGTCGAAGATCTTTCCAAATTGGCCGTATTGTCGTATGAAGACATTCACGATCTCATAGACGAGGGCAATAAGGCCAGGTTAGTCCACACACAAACATACTAGTTATTTGTATAAATTCCTTCTGTAATATAATACGTCATTGGAAATCATGCTGTAATTATTCCAGAACTGTGGCAGCAACAAACATGAACGAAACATCCAGCAGATCGCACGCTGTTTTCACTATATTCTTTACACAACAGCAACAGGATTGTACCACTGGTTTAATGTCAGAGAAAGTTAGTAAAATATCTCTGGTTGATCTGGCAGGATCCGAGAGAGCCGATTCGACGGGCGCGAAAGGTACACGACTAAAGGAAGGAGCTAACATTAACAAGAGTTTGACAACTCTTGGAAAAGTTATCAGTGCTCTGGCCGAGATTGTAAGTATCGTATGTTGTTTGAATCTTTTTGTCATATTAAATATCGAATATATCATATATTGATATCACTATTACGCATTTATTTGCTGCTTTTTCGCGGATTTTTAGGCGGTAAGTTTATCGAAATTAAAATTAGAGATTAGAGAATAAATTAATTATACAACTGATATCTAATGGCTTATTTATGTTTCTCTATAGGCAACGAAAAAGAAGAAGAAAGCCGATTTCATACCATACAGAGATTCGGTTTTAACGTGGTTATTACGAGAGAATTTGGGTGGAAATTCTAAAACCGCTATGATCGCAGCAATTAGCCCTGCTGATATCAATTACGATGAGACACTTTCAACTTTACGGTAAGAGATTTTCATTGCTTCTATTATATGTTTTTTCAACTAATTTTCAATTTCCCAAAGTTTGAATTAAAATATGAAGAGATTAATTCTTTTGATATTAAAGAGATTAATTATTTTGATTTGAAAGATATTTCGTTTTATTCATAGATATGCGGACCGAGCGAAACAGATCGTTTGCAAGGCCGTGGTCAACGAGGACGCGAATGCCAGACTTATCAGAGAACTCAAAGAAGAAATACAGAAACTACGGGAACTTCTAAAACAGGAAGGAATCGACGTACATGAAGGTAAATATATCATTTCTTTTAGTAAGGCTTTAGAAATTAATATAAAAATTGAATTTTATATATTGTACATATAAAGCTTTTTATTATTGAAAACATACGAGACGAGGACAGACTGAATAAAGTTTAATCATTAATTAAATATAAATATTCTTCTAATTAAATTCTCTTAATAAATTCACAGGATATGTATAATTATATATAATTAGTATCGTCGTAAATATATGATTTTTATTTTATCTATGATGCTAATTTTCGATCGTGTTTTCTACGATTTAGATATAGATTACATAGCAATATTGCTCTCATAGGAATCAACATACGTGTCATAAAAACTACCTGAATTCTTGGTTGCTATAAATTAATTGCCATTGCACAGCGCGCGACAGAGACAATCCATTCACATAGTATTTTTTTCTTTGTTTCTCCTTGCGCTCGACATAGGGCCAGATGGCAAAGTTACGTACGAAAAGAAAGAATCTAGTAAGTAAAAAAATGCTAACAATCCATACAACAGCAAAGAATACAGTCAAGACAGGCATTGTCTTTTGCGCCTCTTTTGTAGATATTATTATTTTTCATTCGTTTATGCGCTTATATTTTCTACTGTCAAGCGCAAAATATACTTATGAGTGGTACATATTATATATGTTAGTTTCCTCTTTTGTACGTTTGCTTCACGAATTTTCTTTGTCTTCATTTAATGTACGTATCTGTCCTGTTGAATCCCCATCGCGATTGCGCTTCCCTTCCTTCATATCCGGTAATTAGCAACTTGCGAACAATTCTCAAGGTTCAAATAAAATTAATTCAATTAATGCTGTGTAATCGATAATCGATTATGTTTGTTATTATTTACAAGAATAATATTGAACGAATTGAGTAAATAAAATAAAAATAATATGTTATGGAAGATCGAAAATAGTATATATATTAAAACAATATATATAAAGATGTTATAAAAAAGTCGATCGAATTTATAATCGAAAATATACATACAATAGATATCGAACACGGCGATACACATTAAATCATGATTATACACACTTAGTAGATTCATGCTCGGTGCTCTGTAAAACGCACCACAATTTATTCGAGTTGTATCCTTAAAGCTTGGAAAGAATTAATCAATTAGCAACACGATATGTAAACTCTACAGCTTTTGGAATATGTCTCTTCATCTACGCCACTGCTTTAATTATGGCTTTTGATGTTTACATTACGATACACACGATACCGACTCTGACGCAGGCTTGCCATTTGAAGTATTTTGCATACTTTCTCGCTTCTTGACGATCCTTATTTTGCAGGGGATGAAATTATCAGAACAAACAAGCGAAACGAAGAGGATACCAAGGAGACTCGGTCGAGGCTCTCCTCCCATGCTACATCTACCATCGCCGAAGAGGCGGTTGATCAATTGCAAGCATCTGAAAAATTGATCGCAGGTAACTAGGATCACTTTTTAATATCTTTGTTATTTTTATCTCGTAATGTAAGCGACGCGCAAAGATGAATAAATCATTATAATATTGATTTTAAATTCTATTTTTCATTTCTAGAATTGAATGAAACATGGGAAGAGAAGTTGAAGCGAACCGAATCGATTCGCCTGCAACGCGAAGCAGTCTTCGCCGAGATGGGGGTCGCCGTGAAAGAGGACGGTGTCACAGTGGGTGTATTCTCGCCGAAAAAGACGCCGCACTTGGTAAATCTGAACGAGGATCCCCTCATGTCGGAATGTCTGATCTACTACATCAAGGACGGATTCACACGCATTGGTAGCGCCGAGGCGATTATACCCCAGGACGTTCAGCTGTGCGGGCCGCATATACTCAGCGAGCACTGCGTTTTCGAAAACCACGAGGGCATTATAACTCTCATACCGAAGAAAGGAGCTTTAATCTATGTCAATGGCCGCGAAGTGACCGAACCGCTTGTTCTAACAACCGGTTCGCGAGTTATTCTGGGAAAGAGCCACGTTTTCCGATTCAATCATCCCGATCAAGGTAAATTGCAAAGTTGTAATTTTTGAAATGTATTATTTAAAAAGTTACGAATATTTACTAGAGAGAATGTGCAAGTAAAATGTATTTCTTGTTCAATTCTGCAGTACGCGAACGAATTGCGAACGGATCGCCGGCGGAAACTCCTGGCAACAATGAACCAGTCGCAGACTGGAACTTTGCGCAGGTTGAGCTGTTGGAAAAACAGGGTATCGATCTAAAGGCTGAAATGGAGAAGAGATTGCTTGTATTGGAAGAACAGTTCCGTAAAGAAAAGGAAGAAGCTGATCAGCTGTTTGAAGAACAACGAAAGGTACGCGCATATGATTCACACACACACACACACACACACATGATCTTTCTTCAATTTGTACATACGTTATTACAATTGATTGCTTTTATATGAATAGAGCTACGAAGCGCGGATAGATGCATTGCAGAGGCAGGTGGAGGAACAAAGTATGACGATGTCTATGTACAGCAGTTACACTCCGGAAGATTTCAACAACATCGAGGAAGACATTTTCGGTGAGTATGGAAAATACAATCGCTTCTCGAATGTGTCTAATTATGATATAGCTTGCCCGATTGATTGGGCGTTTCTCTTACCTTACACTGTAACTCTTCCAGTGTTGTTTATCATAAATTATCACACAATTGACATATAAAAGTTTACTGCATGCGATAAAGCTTACTCACTTGTCGATAGGATATGTAGTTTATATTATTCTCTTAACGAAGTAAAATCGGTATTATTTTACAAAATGCTTGGCTTCTCTCTGACTGTTTTGCCTGGTAATGGCTTGCATTTCAGTCAACCCATTGTTTGACGCAGAGAGCAACTGGACCGAGAGAGAGTTTCAACTGGCCGCTTGGGCCTTCCGCAAGTGGAAATATCATCAATTCACGAGTTTACGGGACGATCTTTGGGGCAACGCGATATTCCTTAAAGAGGCTAATGCCATATCCGTTGAACTAAAAAAGAAGGTACAGTCGCGGACGTATAACGGAACATTTTAGCACGACCTTTCTTTGACTGGTGTCTTTGACTTTTACACTAACGTATACTTCCGGATATGAATTTTTCTCGTATATTCCCGATGTGAATAACGAAAATTACGTTTACGCGATTTGCGTGTAATCTATGCACGTGAACGCATTTTTACTGTGATATTTCTTTGCAGAATTATATGTATTATGCGTTTTACAAAAATGACACTCCTCAATTCGTCGTAAATTCGTATTTAAAAAATACCTATGAAAAAGAACTTTTTTTGCATAATAGGTTTTACTATATTAATTCTCTCTCTTTTAGGTTCAATTCCAATTTACTTTACTCACGGACACCCTGTACTCGCCGCTACCTCCTGATCTTTTACCAGTTATGGATGACGAAGAGGAGGATGAGAGACCGTTTCCACGCACGATCGTTGCTGTTGAAGTCCAGGATACGAAGAACGGTGCTACGCATTACTGGACATTAGACAAACTAAGGTTTGCTTTATATTTATTTTATATTTATACTATAGCTTCTTCAATTAAATAGAACATTTGACAACAAGAGAAATATAAATGAAACGCATATTTTATACTTCTAAAAAATAAGAATAATCCAACATGATTAATTAACATCTTTTGAGAAGAAATTAACGATACTCTATTAAATAATTTTGCAATTAAATTATACATATATCACTAAATTTATACATCCAGCATGTTCTACAATTATCGTGCAATTATTTATTTCTATAACAGAAATAAGACCTCTTCACGCAACGCGTTTACAATCTCTTTTGTTTCGTTACTAATGCACGAATGCACTTCTTGCGTGCTTAATTAAATCTATCTCTTGAAAATTACCTACTCGTGTCGGAAATGAATACTGATACGGACACTAAACAATTTTGCGACGATATCCTTATCATTGCGAGATGATAAACAAATCTTCCAGGCGCATTGGCCATCGTAATCTCGCATAAAAGATGCTTAAAGTTCTTGTGCACTCGTTATTTCGTTATTCAAGCAAAGCCGCGGCTTACCTCTATTAGATCGATTTGACATTCGGATAGAGAGAGACTCGCATATACAAAAGGACGCACAGCGAAGTAATACATGTTGACTTGTAGACAGCGCTTGGAGCTGATGCGACACGTATACAACGAGGACTCGAGCCCCAGCACTCCGGAGGCCAAAGAGGATATTTTCCAATGCCTTACGGTCTACTCTAATCCGAAGTTCTCGCTCGCAAATCTTTTGCCTTCGAGGTTGGTGCGCGAGGCTCTCCTCTTATCGCCATGTTAAAACACGCTTTACGCCCGGCCTCGGAGAATTTTTCATTATCTGGCCGCAAAAGTGCGTTTATCGCCGTGCGTTTTTTGTCGTTTTTTCGCTCTTTCTGTCTTGTCAGAGGCTTCTCGATACTTGTCGGTGCAAATCGAGCTCTGTACTTGGAGCTCGCGTACGTTCGGTCAACGATTCTGCATGTATTTTTTTTAATTCGCAGCCTAACGTGACGAATCAGATCGAATAGATATGTATGAGCTCCCTCCTTCTTTCTCTCCGCAAAAATTTACAATTGCGTTTCTTGTACGCAGCACCGCTTCTGCTGCTGTGAAAGACATTTCTATATATGCTGTCTGAATGTGAGAAGACTGTCTCACTCTTCACATTCCGTGCACGTCTGTTTCAAACACCATCACATCTTCTTTATTATCTCTCTTTTTCTCTTTTCGCTGAGCTCGTGTCCTCACCATCTTGCTTTTTAATTTTATCATGCACGTGCATATCCGATTAAATTGCGATACAACTCATCGATTAAGGAAACAATGAAAAACAAATAAGGTCAAGCAGACGTAAAAAGAAATTCTAAACTAATATATTTTATAACAAACATGTGTATATATATTTTATTTATTTTTTATCAATACTTTAAGTTATTACTTATAATTGATTAATAATTTTTTTTATATTGTGAAAACAAAATTTCTCGATGGAAGAAATTCCGACTATTGCAACTGCACGAATGTTATTCTCATTGTAATAATGTTTCGATAAAGTACATAAAAGAGGTCGAAAAATCCTGAAAAAATACTTTAAGAAGTTCATTTGAGGACATTTTTGATGAAGCAACACACGTTTTAGATTTGACGCACTAGTTGCGATCATATTTACATAACTGTTTCTTATATGAAACTCATAGTAGATAATACTTCTCTATGTTTTTCAGACAAAGATTGGAGCTGATGAGGGAAATGTATCACAATGAAGCCGAGCTCTCGCCCACATCTCCGGACTTCAATATCGAATCCATCACGGGAGGTGATCCGTTTTACGATCGATTTCCATGGTTCCGCATGGTCGGCAGGTAAACAAACATAATTAGAGATTAGAATTTTAATTACATTTATTTTATAAAAGTAATCGTTATTGTTACTAAAAAATGAAGAATTAATGTTATTTTTTAATGTTATTAAATAAAACCAATTTACATATAACATCAAAATTTTTTAAATATTTTAATTTAAAATAAAATTAAATAAAATTAAATTAAAATAAAAAACTGATATCGATATAAGTGTATAATTAAATTTGATAATTTAATTTTAAGTCTTAATAAACTGAATCATGAAAACTAAATATATCGAAAAATATTAATATCAAAAATATATATAATATTTTAATTAGATTATATTAGTATTATAATATGGTTCCATATTTAATTTCAGAGCCTTCGTATATCTGAGCAATCTCATGTATCCGGTGCCGTTGATTCACAAAGTAGCCATCGTGAATGAGAAGGGCGACGTTAAGGGTTACTTGCGGGTCGCTGTACAAGCCGTAGTTGGTACGTAAATCCGTAGCCATATCGTTACACTTCGTATTCGTATATAAGATATACATAAGGAACCCTTCTTCTAGAAGAGGAAAACAGCGAATACTCGAGTGGCGTCAGACAATCAGCACGAATCTCCTTTGAGGACGATCTGTTTGGCGGGCACAAGCACAACAAACGCAACACACTTTTGACTCAAACTCTGGAGAAGAATCGGCAAATCATGTTGCACGAGGAGCGCGTGGTCGAGGGACACAACGAGATCAATCAGAAGGACATGAAGGACGAGGACGATATAGGGGATGCTGACAGTGGCAGAGGCGACAGTTCGGTTTCGAGCGACATGAAGGAAGAGGATTTGCCAGATCATTTGCAACCTGGCGCGGAATTCACTTTCAGGGTAACGGTCCTACAAGCCATGGGCATTTCTACAGAGTACGCTGACATTTTCTGTCAATTCAAGTAAGTACAGCCTATATTTTTTAGCTTATTTTATAAACATGATGTGTAAACACGCACTGCAATGCAATTATTTTCGCAGCTTCCTACACCGACACGACGAGGCTTTCTCGACGGAGCCGGTGAAGAACACAGGCAAGGGCAATCCGCCCGGATTTTATCACGTACAAAATGTAAGTATCTTCAAGAACCATTTTGTTTCGGATTATTATAGAGAAAAAGTTTTATCCGAATTAAATTATTATTATTAGATTTATATTATGTATTATATAATATTAATATTATAATTTAATATTATAATTAAATTATAATTAAATATTGTAATATTTTTGTGCTGATACAGATTACGGTCACGGTTACCAAATCCTTCTTGGAATATCTGAAGACGCAACCTATCGTTTTCGAAGTATTTGGTCATTATCAACAACATCCATTGCACAAGGACGCAAAGCTGGAATAGTGAGTATTAAATTGCTCCAACTTCATTATATATTTATATATTTTATTTGCAAGAACATTTTTCACATAAAAAAAACATATTTACATAACAGCGTACGACAACCACCGAAGAGAATGCTTCCGCCTTCCATACCGATCAGCCAACCGGTTCGCTCGCCGAAATTCGGCAGCGTTCTGCCGTCACCCAGCACGTCCCACGTGCACGCCAAGTACGACGTCCTGGTGTGGTTCGAGATCTGTGAGTTAGCGCCGAACGGCGAGTACGTGCCGTCGGTGGTTGACCACAGTGACGATCTGCCGTGTCGCGGATTGTTTTTGCTTCACCAGGGTATACAGCGACGTATACGAATCACCATTGTGCACGAACCGGCCTCCGAATTGAGATGGAAGGATGTGCGCGAGCTCGTGGTCGGCCGTATTCGAAATACTCCAGAACCCGAGGAAGAGGACAATGACTCGTCTGTACTCTCGTTGGGTCTGTTCCCCGGCGAATATCTCGAAATTCCCGGTGACGACCGCACCATGTTCAGATTCGAAGCAGCCTGGGACAGCTCCCTGCACAATTCGACTCTGCTCAATCGAGTCACGTCTTACGGAGAGCAAATATTTATGACTATTTCCGCGTATCTCGAGGTACATATCAGAGATATATTATTTTAAACCGTTTTCTTTTTTTAGAAATTTTTAAAAAATGATCTTATTTTGTATCCTTAGCTGGAGAACTGTGGAAGACCCGCGATCATCACAAAAGATCTGAGCATGATCATCTACGGAAGGGACGCAAGAGTCGGCCCGCGTTCGCTTAAACACCTGTTTAGCGGCAGCTATCGCAATCAAGAAGCGAATCGTCTCAGCGGAGTCTACGAACTAGTGCTACGTCGTTCTTCGGAAGCAGGTAGCCCAGGTTTGTTATGTCTAACCATAGTGTAGTCCCGTGTTTCACTTGATATCACATATTAATATGAAATTCTCATTCCAAAGTATACATTTCATCTGGAGAGTACTTTTATACTCTTTATCTATATATATATATATATATATATATATATATATTTAAATTAGAAATATTCAGTGATCAATAAAACCGTGATTTTAATATTTAAAATCCAAAGATATTATTCTCTTTAAGAAATAATTCTCCAGTTTGAAAAAAGAAAAAGAAATAATGTTCCAATATTATAAACGTGATGACAATATACTATAAGCAACTTATCTTTTAACAAAGTTCCTTAAAATATTTTTTCGTAAGCAATAAATGTTTTCTATTTTTTCATACTTTTGGCTCTTCCCTCTCTCTTTCGCTCGATACCCATCCCTTTTCCTTCCCTACTTATTTGTAGGAGTTCAAAGACGTCAACGTCGCGTCTTGGACACGAGTTCCACATATGTCAGGGGCGAGGAGAATCTACACGGATGGAGACCGCGCGGAGACAGTCTGATATTTGATCATCAGTGGGAGCTCGAGAAGTTGACGAGGCTAGAGGAAGTGGAAAGAGTGCGACACACATTGTTGCTGCGGGAGAAACTTGGCATCGACAAAGTACCGTTCTGCAACAAACCTCTGCATGATTTCACGAAGAGCGAAAAGGTAGCTGCTTGTTATCCTACGTTAATCAAAATCTACGCGACACACGATAACATGTGCAATTCCTTTGACACGTCCCAGGACGTATGTAATATGGTTGCAAAGGCCACGAATGAACCACACGCCAGTCCGGTTAAGCTGAAACGTTCGACCAGTACGAAAGACGTTTACGAACCCTGGGAAATGACCGAGAGGGAGCGCGAACTGACGACCAAGTATATTAAACTCATCCAAGGAAGGATCCCGAGCAAGGAACCGATACTACTTGCCGATGTTTCGCCTGGGGAGGACACTATCACTGATTTATCAGCGTCTATGATGTCCTCGGTCATATCGTCCTCGTCTCAAGAGTCAGTATATGCGAGAGATAGCGATTTCTCCAAGCAGGTAACACTTCCTGCATGCCTCATGAGTGCTCCTGCTAGTAGCGGTTGTCCATGCTTTGCTTTGTTCCTCTTTAGAACAAGATAAACAATATGATATCCCCAAAAGTTGAAAAAATCAGTAATAATTCGTTCATTATCAATTTTACAATTTTGATCCGATATATTCTACATAAATAAAAGCACCGAGTGTTTTGAAGTGATTAAAAAAAGAAAGAAAGACAACGTTTTTACGGTGATCCACAACACGCCATTCTTTAATTTGGCTCCACATATATTATATCGCGTTTCTTTCAAACTTTCAAAACATTTGCGCTTTCGCATTCAACGCATGGTATTCGAGACGCTCGAGTCGTTTCGACCTGCCGAGATTGACAACCGCCAGCACGAATGACTCAGGGTTATGCTGGAGTGTTACTTGCAGGCTGCTGAGATAATAGTATGGAGCAGGTCTAAGTCGTGCCTCCTTAGGTTAAGCTCACCGGAGAGGGCTAGATTGCAAGAGCTCCAGGAGAGTATATTGGCGAGCGAGTCGGCCAATCAAACCTGCACCGTGGCACCACCACCATTAGGATCATCCTCGCCGTCGAAGGAGAACTTGGTACTCTATGTACCGGAAGTGGAGGAGATACGCATTAGCCCGGTCATCGCGCGGAAGGGCTACTTGAACGTTCTCGAGCATAAGACCAACGGTTGGAAGAAACGCTGGGTGGTACGTTCATCATTAATAAACACTTTTTTTGCTTTGCCTTATATATCTGACAAGATTTAATATCCTTTTTTTCATTGCTTCAGGCTGTTCGTCGACCATACGTTCTCATTTTCCGAGAAGAAAAAGATCCCGTTGAAAGGGCGTTAATTAATTTAGCCACGGCTCAAGTTGAATACTCCGAGGATCAGCTGGCCATGGTGAAAGTGCCGAATACGTTCAGGTAAACCTATAGAAAAATAAATATATTATGCAATCGTGTACAACATATTCTAAACCTGTCTGTTTTTATTTAGCGTCGTTACCAAACATAGAGGATACTTGCTGCAAACCTTAGGCGACAAGGAGGTCTACGACTGGCTGTATGCGATTAATCCTCTTCTAGCTGGTCAAATTAGGTACGTATAACGAGTGAAGAATTTGATTAGCTCATATTTTTATCTTAAATTATATGGAACGATTGATAGAGAGTGTTTGATGCTTCCGTAGATCGAAACTCGCACGCAAAAGCCCGGCCGCGACAAATTTGAGCAATGGCGCGCCGATCGGCCTGACACCGACTCTGGAGCAACCGAGCAATCAGACCAAGTGAGTGGCGTTAGCTGACAGTATGGCCGGGGTAACGAGTGCAATAGCAAAGGCGTCGGAGAGAATGCTGTGCTGGTCGCACTCGGCCTTAGAGTCCCGAGACTTGTGCAACTTTCGATTTCCGCTAGTCTTTGATTGATCCTCGAGCGGAGGATCCCGAGCTGTCTTGAGATTTTAATCCACACGGTATATCGACAGCACGGTAAAATATATCGACGTTTTACTTTACGCAGCGTTCCCTTAGCACGTTTACGAGAGGGCGAGAAAGAGGAGGCGATGAGGCTCGTCTTTCGAAGAAGTTACAGACGCGCGAGCAAATGTAATTCGCTATATGGTGAAACAGTTACCTATTTACCTCTTACTATCATCGGAAAATTCCTTTCCGCGTCTCTCCGTACATTTCGAATTCACGTTCGAAGTGCTTTTCACGTCGACGAGACGAGATCAAGGATCCGTGCGCGCGGATGGTGTTTCCGTTGAATCTTTTATTTCCACGACGCGTTGATGTAACCTACCGTGATACCCCTTTAAGCATGCAACGTGTGAGAAGGATAGAGATGCATTTATGCCTAATAAACGTATTCTTAAGACGATCACTGAAAACGAGGTATAAAGTACACGTTATAGATATATCTGTAGAAGAAAAAGTATGCGAGAGAAAGAAAATAATATAAAGAGAGAAATGAAGAGATTTGGGAAGATATCGATAATTTCATACGCGAGCTTGAAACGATCGTTTATATAGTGCTCTCAAAAGAGTATATCTACGATGAAGGAAAAGGAACATTAATACGCAATTTTCTATGAGAATTAGATTCCCATTCTCTGTGTGTTCACATTTTATTTTATTTATATTCGATTAAGCAAATCAGATCTAGGTGATGATGCTGAGCATCCAACTTCGACAATGTGAAAATGTGGTAATGTACTTGTGTACACGCAATCGATTGACCTAGTCGCTAGATGAAGATTTTATTTTCCGAATTGGAGATTTTCAAATAGTTTTTAATTATGTAGTAAGATGGGATAACATTGCTCCAACGTAATTTGAATTTTGTATTGAAATGAAAAGAGATTTAAATATTATCCAAAATACGAAAAGCAAAGAGAGAGTTGCCACTTCTTGAAGCATAAAGTTTATAGAGTACTTTCTGTGATTTGAAATGTTTTATTTTTTTGTTACTTCATGTCACCTTTGATATAGATAGAGTAATTTTATCCTGTCTTAAGATAATTAATATTTTAAAATCTCTGTGTGCCATATATTCTCTTTTAATACACTTGGCAGTTTTAATTATATATAAGTAAATTAAAGAACTTTTAGTATAGAGCAATGAGAAACTAAATGAAGAGAACTAAGTGAAGAGAAGACTTGCATATGAACAGTATTTGCAACTCTTTATTTCTAAGAGTCTCTGTTGGAAAAAAGAGGGAAATTTTAATATATTCCGCGGTTACAAATGGAAAAATATTATTGCAAACTTCTTCGAAACACGAATGAATGCAAGAAAGTCGGCAAGCAAACAAGATATGACGTAAAAAAAGTTTTCATTCGTATAACGCGATCGCGTGTCGATTTACGACGAAAATTATCGTCAAAGTATTTCGTATCTCCTCTCGCAGAGAGTAACATACGCGCGATATAAATAGGTAAAAAAATTACCCTTAATCTGTGGAGATATAGACGCCACACTCTGACGCATCGTGTTTTCATGTCTACGTAGATTTTAAGCGATTCTCCTCGAGGATGTTCGCCGAACGCGAGTTGACGAGCATAATCGATGATTCAATATCTAACGAGGAAATGTTCCATTTCGGATCAAGTTGAATTTTTAACAAGCTTTCATTCATTTAGAAGAAAAATTTAATTACATAAAAGCGACTTAAAGATAAGATTATCTACACCATGTGCTGATCTGATTTTTTTATCTGATTTTTCTTTAACGAAGAACGTCTAGAGAAGACGAGCGAAGAAACTCGTCGTAGAATTCAATGATCCGAAATTGATAATTTTCTCGTAATGAGATGATAGACATAGGTCGATTACGTTGTTCACAGAGGCTTTTATCAATTCTCTTACGACAACTTGGATAACACAGGGGTGCAACGTTATATAAATACATACATATGTGTCTATTGTGCACCTCTCACCTGGGGAGACCTCAACATCTTTGATATTTAATTTACGACACGCGTATGAAATGTCCAAATTCGAAATATATGTCCAGATAGCAAAAAAAGATGTATTTTGACGTTAAAATGATGTCAATAATTACTATATGGCTATCTAAGTATATTCAAAGATGGACATTCGATGTGTGTCGTATTATGTAGATACATAATAGCGTATTTCATGACGTGGCCGTTATATGATATATTGACACTATGACGCACATATTCGAGGTGCAGCAGAATCCCAGATTTATTCGACCCTCCATCCCCCTATCACCCTATCAAGAATACCTCTATTTCTATCAAATGCACCCGTGTATTACAATTGGAAATACATTTTACAATCATATCGAAAGCTCCCTTTTAACGTTTCTCTCAAGATCACATGTGTGACATAGGATTTTGAAAAAAAATATATTTTGGGAAATTCAATTACTGTCATTACATCATTAATGAAATCAATATTCTATATTTCTCGCGGTTACCGTATCTAAATATTATTATTAATATATTGGTATAAAGGAACTGCGTCCGGATTGTACTGCATGTAAAAAAAAAATGTTTTTTAAATGTTGCCCCTATTATAAATCTATCGAAGTGGTCTATCGATTTCGTGTACCTTGTCTTCTAAGAAGAGGGAAGATTTTTCCCGATCGGGGTTTCCGGTATTTCGACGGAAGGCGATTATAAATCTTATAAAACTCGCTTGATTCTAGTCTTACGCGCTCAATTTCGAGGTGAATTTTTTGTATTATTTTTTCCCTCGATTCCCTACTCCCCCTTCCCTCCTCAATCGTGCAAGAATTCTTAAATCGTGGCTTACGCGCGAATGTAATGCCCCATCACACTATTATCGTTTTCGCTTGCTGACTGTTGTAGTATCTGATAGTTTTATTTTGTTAACGACACACCGTAATGTATTTTAAAACTCGTAATTATATAATAAGTTGAACATAATGGGCTCTCTATCGACTACGCCGAAAAGAAAGTGGTACATACACCCGACGAAAGAGAGAAAGAAAAAAGAGAGAGAGAGAGAACAAAAGAGCGGAAACGCGAATATTACGAAGGAATTTACATCATATTTAAGTCGTTGGAGAGATTAATAATTATTGTTATTATTATATAGTAGACAAAATATAAAAAAAAGAACGATAAGGTGAGAGTGAGAGTATGTATGAGAGATTGAAAGAAAGGGAGACCGACAGAAAGAGAGAAAGAAAGTGATATAGAACTTTTCCCCCCCAAAAGGGGAAGAAAAGAGAGAATGTAGATGTGCGAAAGGGAAAATATGTAAAAGTATGCGCGAAAGGAAACACGTTCGCTTATATATATACATAATATACAAACTAAATTATATATAAATATATAAATAAATTTAATGTTAATTTTAAGCATTTTGTGAAATGTTGAGAATCATCATCGCCGGATGTACGAGGAGATAACGATGATGCGGATCTGTACCAAGTATGTAAGTTCATGTATTTCGTTTGTAAGGTATAAATTCCACTAAACATCCACATTACAACAAAAAAAATGTTTTCGTTTAATCGTTTGCTATTGGAAACGTGCATCGACGCTGTAACTAGTATTTATTATAAATATTATATATATTATTATGGTTAAAAAACTCGAATTTTTCGCTAGAGGCTCACTGTAAGTGGTAACGTGTAATAAATCGGTCAATAAAAAGCTTATATGCTTAATATAAGTTCTCTTCTCACAATATATTATCCATTCTGAGAGCATTAATTATCTCTCGTCGCACATTTGCGATTTAATTATTTTTGCAACAATAGTAAAAATAAACTGACACAGAAGTTTCTTAATTTTTCTTGAAATATCTTGTTATAAATACAATAATTTGAGACACGTATTTTTTTATATATTTGAAAGATTTGAAAGACAATCTTTTGAAATTACCTTGATATCAATCACTTTTGAGTCAAATCAATTTTCCAAACATTTATGACATTCTTTGTGAAACTAAGGATGATTAAACGTGCGACAAAAATACGAGTTGATATCTCAGGACGATAATGTCTAAATCCACGTATATATTGTTTAAATAGGTCGTTTTATTTTTTTTATATTTACATTTTCAATTTTTATTTTACTTAATCATTAAAAATCCCTGTACATTAATAATAAATTTGTCGAAATTATCCTTAAACTTTATTTTATGCGTGCGTTCAGTATTTAACTCTATATTCTCAGTTAATTCTGTGAATGCGTTCGCTAATCTCTGTGCTACTTGCTGATCCGTTTGGATAGATAAAATATTTTGTACAAGTTGTTGGTATTGCTCCTGATAACAACATATCAGATAATAAAGAGGTATACTGGCGCTCGTTATCAAATCAAAATCCATTTGATGTGACAAAATCAGACTAATCAGTAACTGAAAAGTGAAATTTGATGTTTCAGAGTTTACCTTAATAAAAGAGACACGCACATTATATTCAGTTGGTTTGAAAAAACTCACATTCAAAAAAGGTGCCATTATGTCGTTGCGCGGTTGCCCCTTCGCAGTTTCCGTATAAATATGCTTGGCTAAGACTTGAATAATATCACAGCATAGGGCAGCTACGTCATGGCCAAATGAGTATAAACCTAATTCCACCGATGCTAAAAGCTGCTGCAACAGTTTGATAGATAGGCCGCAAACTTTCTCAGAACATATATCGCATACAAAGGCTATCATTTTGAAATACCTATAGAAACAAAGCAAATAATAATGTACATAAATATATGTATGTGCAAACATAATAAAGATATATAAAAGATAGAACATAATATAGTGATGGCAGAGTTCCAAGTTTGAAATAACATACTTGAGTTTTTAATGAAATTTTTAAAAAGATTTATAGCACTGTTTCAATTTAAATTATTCGAAACTATTTAAAAACTTATTTCTTTTTTGCTAGTTTGATATTTCTTACATTGCGTATATATTGTGTATTGCAATGTAAGTTAATTAGTTTTACTTACTGTATACACAACGATGGAAATTTTAATAAATCTATTGTCATGATAGGCATGATTATATTTAAGCCGTAAAAGAAAACGTCGGCAGGCATGGTAGATGGAGGCTGATCTTGCTCGGTATTACTAAAGTTAAGTACGTCTTTACTTAACAAATTGGTTAATAATTGCATGAGTAACAGAATATCCTGGAAACTGTCCTCTTCCGCTGTCGAATCTACAGTAAGCCTATTACTGTTGCAGCGAGCATACGTCTGTATTGTTTGCAAACAAGTCTCATACACACGTGCACTATCAGCCTAAAATGATATCACAAATTAAAATTAAAACTGCTATAGTAAAAGAGTTAATTTTATCAATAGTTTATGTAAATTTATACACGCACGACTTACCTCTGATAAAAACAATAAAACACTCCTTGTATATTCACAAAACAGCTCCAATATCAGTTGGACTATATTCTGATAATTATGATACAAGGACAATAATTTGGGAAGTTCAACTAATATAGGACAGGTATATCGATATACGGATTTTGTCGTCAAACCTTGCACACCTTGTACTATACCTATTTAAATGACATGAGATTTATACGCATCCAACTTCAAATAAAAAATATCATGAATTGTTTAAAAATTTAAACAAAAATTTCTACAATAAATTACCTATAAAAGATTCCAGTATATCTATGACTTGGATCTTAATCTCCTCTTGATGATAAGATGACATAAAATTATCATTAGAAATTAATTGCGTGCATCTGTTTTGCAAGGCTTCTATAGTTTGCGACCAATAGTACTGTTCTGTACTTGTATTTTGCACCACTGTACCGGCCTGTACTACTGCATTCATCAAACCTCTCTTGATAATCTGCGGAAAATCGTATTGTCCTCTCGTAGCTAACTCGATGATATATTTGAACTGTTCAGATTTCAATAAGCAAGAGGCTCTGAAATATAATTCATTTTATATTTTAAATTATTTCTCCACAAAAATATCGATATAAACGATTACTTTAGTACGCAAAGATTTAAATTTTCTGCATGTTGTATATTCTCTGCAAACACAATTAAACTTCAAAGGAAATTGCGAAATGTAAAATTGCATAAAGAACATTGATTTTGTTAAAGTAATCGTAAAAAATACATTTAAATTATACGATAATTTGTCTAGGGCACTTTTTATTTTTGTGAATACAAAATATGTATAATCGTTTTACATTCAAAAATTGTAATAGAGATTAGTAGAAATTAAAAAAAGGAACTTGGTAAGTCTGATTTTAAACAGAGCATTCTATAAATTTTAAAAATTAATTTTTTAAGATTGATAATTATTTGTGTAACAACATGAGAAAAAATTGTACTCATGTCAAAGATTAATATTAAAAAATAACTGTATTTGTAATCCATGTGATTTGTAGAATTGAATAATTTATAAAATTTAAAAGCGCTAGCTGAGCAAGCAATAACGTAATAAACGAAATTGATGTTTATACAATCTAATTAATAGTTTTAATTGAATAATTTCTATTATATATTCCATTCGATCTGAATAAAAAGAGACGTTACATATACACAAAAAAAAAATATATATATATATATTCCAACATTAGATATATCCTTCTCTTAAATGTACAATTGTAATATATAAAATACAAGGTATATTTATAAAATTTATATTATATGTCAGAGATATTATTTGATCAATGTTGAAAGAAACTTTCCTATCATTATCATTCGTCATAATTTAAATACAATTATATATTTAACATTGAATGTTTTTTGCTTCTAGCGAGTTAAATCTTATCTTGGTATACATAATATTAAAATAATTTAATTCTTGAATTAATTACAAAAAATAAATCTTAAAGTTTAAAAATGAGTTTATTAATTACTGAATAATTTAAAATTCAAAATTTTTTAAATTGTGAAAAACATGGTAGTCTCTAATAAAATTTTTATTGAAGTAAATAGTTATATAGATTCATCAAAATATATACTGACTTTGATATATGCAGATCTTATAAATGTATCTTGTATATATGTGCTTTGGTCATATTTATAGTATTATTTAATACTATATATATTTTCATCATTAAATATAAAATAAATTTAATCTTATTATTTTCATGTAATCATAATAATGTAGTCAATTTGTAATTAATCTTTGTCGCGCGAGAACGGATATATGTTGCACCTACCAGAAAATAAATGCCCCATATTTTTTTTCACAAAATATCATTCAGCAAAAATCTTAGCGAAATCCAAAATCCGTGGATTCCACCTGGAAGATTTTCCATTCTAGTCAAATTCCATTAAGAATTTAGTTTGTTAATTATTAATTTGCACAAAAAAGAGAGTATCGTTGTCCCTAAACAAATTATTAATACGATTATTGCACAGATGCGTTTCACAAATGCGTTATACTTACTTCGGTTGTGACTCAACAAGAGCTATTAATAATTTTATAGTTTCCTTTATTAGAGTTGGTTCGCTCTTAAAAGTGTTGATGTTGCAAATGATTTTGTCCAGAAGAAAATTCACTGTCCACAATGCGCCTTGACTGTCTACACCAAAAGCTTGTAGGATTGTGGTGCTTATCTCAGAATAAAAAGCTTCAACTGGTAAAAGGTAGCTCTGTGACCAGATGTGTAAAAACCATATTATTGTGCTGCTCAATTCAGGACTGAGCACATTTTCCGCATGTATCGATATAACTGTTTTCTCAAAGGCGCATAAGCGAAAAACGCCTGTAATTAATCGAATAACACGATCGATCGAGGCGGCGGGACTGTTTATGTCCGACTGAACATTTTGCGAAGACACTAAAAACTCCAACGTCTGGTACACATCAACATTTCCCTCTCGAGACTGAAAAACAGAAAAGATATATGGTATACACTGTTATCTCGAATTTAAAATATAAAAAAATGAAATTGTGATCAACTCTCTAACAAACCTGATCCATGCTGCATCGCCTAATTTCCAGAGGTATTAATGCAGTTTCACCCTCTGCTTCCATACAAAGAACATGTCCTGCTATTAAAACGAGCCAATGCAAATCTTCGTACAGTTCATTCATAGAGGCGGGTTGAGGTGAAGGTTCATTTAATGCTACCAATACGTTTAAATTATCGCGTAATTTATGTATTCGATCTTCGAGTAATTGCGCTAATAAAAGTAGAGAGTGATTTGGCACTTGTCTACCAAAGTTTCCTATAATTATATCAAATATTACATTATATTATTTCGTTATTGCAGATCTGCATAATAAAATACATTTTTAATTGGCACAGGTTGCCATAATAGACAAATAATTTCCAAAAATATTTACCAACTATTTGTAACTGCTTCTTATATTTAACTTTATCATCTTCTTCCATATCTACTATTTCTTCATTAATATTTTTACTACTGATACCTCTCACACCATCAGGAGGTGACAAATGGCATCGCAAATATATGTTAAATATCTGAATAGAGCTTTGCTTATAAAAATCTGGCAATAATGCGTTTGGTTTAGATAAAATACATATCCATGTCTCAAATATACGTTCTACAGCCTCCATATATAAGCAATCATCAGCACATACCTGCAAACAATACATAAAATATTTTTTTTCAATCTTAATGACTAAAAAATTCCAAGCAGTATTCTGACTCATTATATGTATATGCAATAATAATTACCAATTCTTCTTGTGCGGCACCTTCTATGAATAAACATGTTAACCTCGTCATTTCTTCCATAAATGACTTCAATAAATCTTGAGGAAGAGAATTTAATGAGCTTTTAAAGTAACAATTAATCTTTTTTATAATATTAGTTATTCCACTTGCTTCTTGATCGATAATATCAATACTTGATATAAGTTTTAAAAATCGTTGCATGTAATTTGTCAGATATTCCAGTTTTATTTCCTCTGTGGTGAAGATTCTACCATGTAAACTCGCTAATTGCACCAGACAATTCATAGCATGATGAGCTAGTTGCAGATTACTGCGTACTTTCCAATACAATGTAAAAAATAGGTCTAATACTGCTGGGTCTACTATTACATCTTGCCATTGTGGATGTAATCTCAGTGGTGGGTTATTTCCGACGTCATAAATTTCAGTATGCATGTACAAGAATCTTTTAGGTAGTGCAATGGAGTTAAGGTACATCTAAACAATTAATCTCACATTGAACAGTAAATGAACTATCATCAGTTATTAACTAATTGTAATTTCGAGATTATATTTAATGTTAAATGTGAAATATAAGATGACTGAAATATAATATCTAACATTCTCAATTTCTCTCCTTTTCTCTTTATCATATTATATTATATAATACTAAATAGATTAATAATATAAAAGGATATAATTTGAATCAACAAATCCCCAAACAAGTACACTTTCCACAATTGCAAGTAAATGCTTTACAAGGGGTAATGTTGATTCTTCAAAGTCTTTTTTGACTAATTCGTTGAGTACTTCGATACAAAGCTTGAAGATTTTCTTCATATCACTTACTTCAAACTGTTTCTTCTCTCTAAAATGAACCTCCCATGTCAAACATAAATTAGACGACTTAGCAGTTGTTGCATACTCTTGCAATATCGTAGATAAAATATTGCACCCCAAAATTCGCTGTAAATAAGGCAAATAAGAAATTAGTCCCTCTTTCTATTCTTTTTGCTATATTGAAAAGTCAGTTTTATTTTTTCTGTATTTATTTTAATGTATTTACCTTTGGTAAGTCTTCATTTCTAATTAAAGATTCTACTTCATTTAATATTTGTCTTCTCTCTTGTCCAAAATCATCCACACTGCCTCTCTTGATTATTATTGCAATAACTTGAAGTATTCTTGCTCTGACATATGGCGCTAAAGTAGGTTTGCTTATTACATAGTGTAACAAATATTGTCTCAATGAAGAAATGTCAGATTCTGATAGAGTAGGCCACTCTTGTATCAGAGCTGTCTTTATCAAACCAGCTGTCTCGAATAGTACATAATCTACAGTACTTAATTCTAAAATTTGACGACACAGTTGATAAGGTGATCTTGTTTTTCGAAAATTCAAGAATACAGCTTCTGCAGATTGACGTTGCTCTGCCGAAATTAGGTTTGGAGGTGCCTAAATATAAAATAAATAAAAAAATTTTATTCATATTTTGTATTCTAAAAATTAGACAAATAAAAGTAACAAAGAAAAACCAGAGAAATATTAAACGAGTTTATAGTTATATGTAAATACATTAATGTTGCAAAACATTGCAAATATGTAAGTCTCCTCCTATTTTTTTTGAAATTATAATATGGCTATAATCACTCATAGAATTAGATTAAATAATCTGTTTAACACAAATTATAACTTATATAAAATATTACAAATTAAATAGAATTTATATAATTAAAATATTATAATTAAAATTGAATTTACATACTTAAAATTAATGATATGTACACAAGACTTATAGACATTAAAATTATATTTTTATTATAAAATATACTTGTATTTATATAAATTAAACGTATAATTTATTAAATATCTATAGTTTTCTTTTGACAAATGATTATTTGTGTTGTTTATTTAATTCGCTGCTGTTCTATTTCATTACATGTATGACAATTTTGAATGTCATCGAATTGAAGAAAACTTAATACTATATTTGTACTGTTTTAATAATTAATAAGTTCTTTTTTTATAGAATAAATTATACTTTTGTGAAATTATAAATATAAGAAATTACATAACATAAAAGTCAAATACAATTATTTTTTGCTTTGCCTCGCATGGTATTCATATGTATCATTGACTTATATATGCATCTATTAAGTCTTAAAAAGCTTTTAAAACAGCTTAAATCAGCGCTTTAATTGCTTTTTCTTTTCTGTTAGAAAATATCTAAAATAGGTCAAGATACAGAGATCTTAACTCCCCAAATATCTTGTAAATATAAATAATTTTGGATACAAAAGAAATAGAGAAAAGAGAGAAAGCAATGTTTCTTACTAATAAATTATAGCTCTATGTATAATATTATAAATTTGCATTAATACTTAACATTATATATTTATTAGAGAATATACTTATTCATTATAAAAAAATTGACGAGTCAAATATATTCTTCCTTTCGTCTATCGATAAAATGTTGAACGAGCATTTTTCCTCCCTTTTTATTTTTAAAGAATGCTCTCAGTAAAAACTATCTAGCTCGCATCCTGATCTTGATCGACTTCGAAAGTTGTTTATACGAGAGAATCGTGCACGTAGGGTTATAATAATCCATTTATGAAAGAGAAAATTTGAATAGCTCCACTCACCAAAACGACTTGCGCCGCGGCTTCCAATTCCCTCAGCACTTCCTGTGCCATTCTAGACAAGATATATTTATTTTCTTAATTCAATTAATTGAAGATATAAACACGGGCAATACTATATATATTTATATGTAAAATGTTTCACAACTACCTACACCTACTCAGCGTCGCATTTGAAGTTGAAGAAGTGTCTGAAGATGGGTCTTCCTTCGCCACACATGAAGGATTATCGTCACGAAACATGAGAAATACCTAGATGGGCAAACTAATTGCAAGAATCAAGCCGAATTTTGCGAAAAACCCTAAACGAACATTTTGTCGCTTTCACATTTGTTCACCCAATTACGAATGAGGAAACTGCGAGATCACTAAACTTCCGGGATAGTGATCTCACATTTTCATATTTTCAAACGTCATAGCCAAGTTCGTTAGTGTCCCTTGATGTTTGACGCGTTCAGACGTTTACACAATTTTTGTAAAGAAAAATAACACGTTTGAACTTTGGTGCGTTGATTGAGCGATATCCTTCCAGATTTCTCTTGGATTATTGAAATTGGATAAAATGGAACCAGTCACTAATATCGGGACAATTGCTCCTAAAGTTAGTATTGTATATATTTTTGTATCTTTCACATTTTAGGAATTAAGAAATGCATTTGCGATGTTGTAACGTAATTTTATATCTTGGTAAAATTATTTTAAAAAATAGTTGATAATAATTTATACGAAAATGTATACATATAATTATTGTATATGATGTAAATTCATGTGCATTAAGGGGATCTTAAATAACTTTGAGTTGTTGTTTTTTCCTGTTTTATCGAAAATGTTATATAAACTACAAATCTATTTATTGGCTGTACGGATTGTTTTTTACTTGAAATTAGACCAGGCCGGATTTGCCATTGAAGTGAATGTTTAGATATCAATTTGGAAGCCTAGTAAACGAGAATAACTCATCCTACATTTTTGTGCACACACAACAGGAAAAACAACAAACTTTGCAAAATCATTTAGGATCCCCTTAAATAGAAAATAATATATAGCAATATAGAAAGGAGACTATTAATGTAAACAATATATAAATAAAAAAATAGATAGAGTGGTTTATAAGAATGTTTATATGCCTTATAATTTATATATATATATATATATAAAATAGGAGAAAATCAGAAAACCATTGCAAATATTACAACCAGCAGCCACTGACAAAGAAACATTAGTTGGATCCGATAGAATTTTTAGACCTGTGCAACAATCAAAAAAGAATACAAAAAGTGAGTTATTTTAAGAAAAAATGTATTATAGAAAATAATTTAATGAGATATTTGTATATTAGGGATGTGGCAAAATCGAAAAGGAGTGCTCTTAAACACAAAAAAGTGACAAGCGAAGATAAAGCTATCCAGACTGCACGAGAAGAGAAGATAATAATTGAAGCTGAAGATTTAACATCAGGTATGCTCAAAATATTTTTCTTTCCTCTGTATATATTTCTCTATACAGATTGCAAATATATAATAAAAGAAAGTTTTTCAAATATTTATTTCATCTGATTCAGCCAATCCTAGTGAAAACTACTGGCAAGTCTTGGCTGAAAAGCGAAGAATGGCACTTGTGAATACTTTAGAAGAAAATAAGACACTTTCACAACGCATTGAAAAATTAAAAGAAGATAATCATATATATAGAGAGATGTTGGAGGAAGCAAAAACATTAATTGAAGTACTACAGGTAATATTATCTATTGATTTAGCATCAGTTACTCTAAATGTTACATATATTATGTATTATATATATAAATTACATTGTTATATTTTATTGCAGGAGGAGATTGAAAATAATAGAAGTGATATGAATAATTCGTCAGATAACAGTGTTTTCTTTAATTTAAGTTAGTTCCTTAGATTTTTTAAGTAAAAATTTAAAAAAAAGAGAACGATATACTTTAACATAATTTTATACCGATAATAATTTATTAAAAGTATTTATTTCTTAGCATTAATTTATAGCAGTATTTTATTTTTTAATTATCCCACTTGCAATCATTTGGCATTTGAAGTAACGTAAACAAATTATACATAAATATACGATTTTGGACTAAAATATATTTTACTTGGCTAAATATTACTTTATGTAAATTTAAACTTTCGAATGCAATTTTGAATTTTATGTGAACTAATAAATTTAACAGAAATGTTGCCTCCTGTGTAGTCATGTGTGGGTGGAGTGCATTTTCAATATTATTTATTTTCCAACGTTATAAATATCACACAATTGACTGTTGAATAAAACCTTGTGTCCATGATACAAGAAATTAGTTCGAGTTCCGGAATCGAACCATTTACTGTGCTTTTTACCGAGTTCACGACATAGTTCACGTCTACTTTTTCAGAGGGCGCATTAGGACACGCGTCCATTGAATCGCGATGGCCGCTCTCCATGTCCTTAGGTTTCTCTCTGATAAAACGAAGAAGAACGTTTTCTGTACGCTTTATTCATATTTTTGACATAAAAATACTTATTGCAGTTGATATCACAACAATCTAGAAGATTGAGGATAATAAAATGTCAGAATACGACAAAGTGAAAACAGGAAAGTTAATATTGAAAGGCGAAAAATCAAGGTATTAAAAAATTGCTTTTGTTCTTTCTTGTTCGAGAAATTTATTTGAAATATATATTTTTCTTGTTATTTCTCTCATTTTTGCTAAATATTTATTTGTTTTTATTTCAGACCAAAAAAGCGAAAATCTAAAACACAAGAAAAAGAACAAGATGTAACGAGAGAGGATAAGGACACTATTACTCATGGTATTTATTTTATTTTTATTTATTATATAACAGAAAGCAAAAATGGAAAGCATTTGCTTATATAAATTATAATTTCTGTTATAGGAGGATGGTGGAAGGTTAAGAGTATATTCGAAATCACAGGAACAGTAGCTATAGAAATTGGAAATCAAACTTATGTGAAAGCACTTGATAATGGACTATTTACTCTTGGTGCACCACATGCCGAAGGAGAAGGTCCATCGCCAGAAGAAATCTTGACAGCATTTCCCATAAGCGAAACTAAAATTGCTTTGAAATCGGGTTATGGCAAATATCTTGGTGTTGATAAAAAAGGCATTGTTATTGGACGAAATGATGCAGTAGGTTCAATTGAGCAGTGGGAACCAGTTTTTCAGGTAATTTATATTATATATATATTAATAGAAGTTATACAATAAATTTATAGAAATTATTTTGCATTTTTCTTGTGCTTATATTATTTTTCTGTAAACAAAATTTTTAATGAGGTTTATATATCATCTTTGATTTTTGTATACATTCATTCTCTATATTACTTATTAATTAAAAAATTAAAAATTAATTAAATAAACATTTATAATTTGTTTTTAATTAATAAATGTAAAAAAATAAGCATAAATGAGTTTATTGAGTTATTTGCATAAAACTTTTCTTATTAAATGTATATGAGAATATTTATTTATTAATTTTTGTTTTTAAATATATTATTAATTACATTGTTTTCCAGGATGGTAAACTTGCTATATTAAATAATACAGGATGTTTCATATCAGTTACAAATGACGATGATATCATTTGTCAGAATAGAACAGCTAGTTCATCAGAGTTTCTTGTTATAAGAAGTATAACCCAACGTTCTCAAAGTCCTAGCAAGGATATTCCAAAGGAAGAGCAAGGCTCACTTGCAGATATTGAAGTAAATTATGTGTAAGTATTAAATTGAATTAATAATAGTATAATAATATATTAAGAAATAACTATATTTGTGTGTGTGTGAATTCAAATTTTTAACTGTTATATTTACATTGTCTTGATATTTAAAATTCATCTTTTTAATTCTATTTCTAACAAAATCTTTGAAAATATATTTTCTAATATTAATGATATTTTATATATTACAGACGAAAGTTTCAAAAATTTCAAGATAAGAAGTTAAGGGTAAATAAGTCTAATCGCTCTGAATTAGAAAAAGCGAAAGTAGAAGGAAATTTACATGAAACTCTGTTAGATAGAAGAAGTAAAATGAAAGCTGACCGTTACTGTAAATAAATAAAATTATAACAACATAACTTCTTATTGTTAAATTATTTATTAATATAAAATATAATTTATTAAGATATAAATGTTTTATTAAATATAAATAAATTTTTATAATTCTTGAAAAATATAAAAAAGTATCTTCATATAATATAAAGCACTAATTGTGAGTCTTTTGTGATATGTATATAAAAAGTACAAACTTTCAGTAAACTTATTAAAACATCTATTATATTTTATACTATAAAAATGTTTTCAGTGTATGTATATTTTTTCAATATTAAGAAATAAACAATGGGAGCATACTGCACGAAATTATATTTATTGTATTTCTGTATGATGAGATTCCAACAATGTCTTTAATATAAAAAGCATATTGATATACATCTAAAATATCGTAAGATAATATATAAAATTTTCTTATAAATATGTATGGCTTGTATGTAAATCGAAAATATATCACAAAAACTAAAGGATATTTTATACAAAAAAATCGGAATGTGCTCGATTCAGATAAATTATAGAAATTATTTATACTATAATTACTTTGGCTGGATTGGCACATTTTATAAGGATTCACAGAGTGACAAATATTCATAAATCGTCTATTCATTTACAATAGAAAGATACTACAAACAATATACATATATATCTAAATGTGTTTGTGTGAAGTGACTGATTTGAAAAATATCGCACGCGTGCGCGCGAAAATTAGACTTGCCAAAGATTCTCACATGTAGATATGCAAAATAACTATTTAGAAAATCTTTGCCAAGTCTATGCTTAATTATTCGTTATTATAAAATTAATAATTTGTTTGCCTGGGAATAGGATAACGTAGTACTAAAACACTATCAGCAGATATGATAGGCAATATATTGTCACAGTGATGATTCACTAGATGACTTACACTATCAAATACCCGATCTTTTGTGCGTACCTATAAGCAAAAATTTGTATTATTTTTATGTTTATTATTTGTTAAAATTTTATTAAACTATATATTCTAAAAAAATATATTGTATATATATATATATATATATATATAATAAAAATATTTAAATATAAATAGTTTATATAATCAAAAAATATTTTAGAGAAAATATTAATTATATATATAACTTGCAATATTATTATTATTATATGTATTTTACTTTGTGATACTTACAACACCTTCAGGATCAATTAACAATAAATGTTTTGGGGTACCATTATTCATACCGGTTAAAACATATTGACCAGGAGAACCTTGTGATTCTCGAACCAAAAAATCACCATCCTTAAATAGTAAAAGAAACGTTAAACACAAAGATAATTTATATTAAATAATAAATAATCTTTATATATATGTATGTATATCTACAAAATGGCAAATATATTTACTCTAGTAAGCATAGATTCCGCTTCAGAGCGACTAACGCTTCCATGAAACCATATTTCTTGCTTCAATTGCTGTTTTTGTGATCGAGGACTTAATCTATTCATATCTGATATCGCAGAACTAAAGGGTTCTAGAATTCATGAACAAAGAGTTTGATATAAGTAATAAATATTGTAAACAAATAGAAATTAAGATTATTAAAAGCAGTTTTTTAATAAAAAATTAGAACAAATTTTTTCATATCAAAAAGTATGTTTAAAATTTTAATATGCGCAAGACGATATAAAGAAATAATAAATCACAAAAATCAGAACTCTGTGGGTCAATATTATTTTGTGAGAACTTTGTAACTTATTATAAAATCATATTAAAAGCAAAAGATAAATGATTCTTACGCATATCAAAAACATCGAAAAGTGATGCTGGATCACGATGATTATCTCTGTTTGCAGCTATGACACTGTCATTAACATAATTGTGCTCAGGCATTGTATTTAGATTCGTTGATGAAGATACAGTGCCATCCGAATTCAAGTCGATTAGATTCCCAGTTTCTGTGAAAATAAAAAAATGAAAATAAAAGATTAAATATTATGTAGAAGAAAATATAAAAATTAAATTCTAGATAAATTTTAATCAAAAATAATTTATGCCAAAAATATCGTTTTATAAAAATATTGCCTGCTAACTCCTGGTGTTGCCTATCAGTGGCAGGTGAAAATAAATTCATTGCAGTATTTTGTACTTGAATGTTGTACGATGGTGTGGTATGATTTTGATGATGCTTCAAATTAGGCAGTGTGGACGCTGTAGTAGGCAAAGGTGGTACTGGTGGTGGGCCAATGTCAGGTGGTACTTTGCCTGGTAGATCATTGTAATAATCTCTATCAGCTTCTCGAACTCCATTTAGAACAGGGCTACAAGCAATTACATAAAATAATTAAATGAATGATTATCATAACTTTAACTTCATGTAAATATATTTTTACAAAAACTTACTGCAGAGAACTTGGCTTTGTGAGAAACTCTTTGAACCTAAGCTCAAACGCTTGTCCAATAGTGGATATAACATCCTGTGCTAAACCGCCTGCGCATTCAAGCACATAACATGCACGCCATTCTTGCATATTTTTAGCAACATATGCAACAAAATCCAATATTTCCTATTATACGGTATAAAATTTAATTTTAAACAGACACAAAAGCGAAAACTAATAACTATTTATATATATTGATTATTGAGATATCCATCACATACTGAAAAATGTGAAGAACAGTACAAATGTATTCTTTACCGTATCACCGCCTGAAGCAAAAGATATGCGTGGCATATCATGTTTAGCAATAATATGTCCATTTTCGATACTTGTTAAGGATAAACTACAACTGCTAATAGTTAAATTAACACTAGCAGCAGTGTGTTCCATACGAGGTTTATCTGCTATAGCTCTCAACACTTTTCTATCAACCTGCAGTTGAGAAATTTGATAAAAATGATAAATTTGATAAAATTGATAAAGATAATGATGTAAATATAGCTAACTATAAATATAATAATCTCTATGAGCGATATAGTACCCTTCTCTTTTTATCAGCAGATTTTAATCCAGCAGCTTCACAAACTCTGTTTATACATTCCCTAGAAATAAAAATAAAAAATTATGTTGTATGTTTGAAAATATATATGATAGTGCAAAAACTATATAGTCTGTGACAACTTACTTAGCTACACACGAACGTGTTTCAAAATCCAAACTTTTCATAGATGTATATACTTCTAGACATCCTATGTACTGTAATTTTTATACAAAGAAAAATTAGAATATTTTTAATGATAGAAGAAAAAATTAATACAATTTAAGTTACATCAAGTTTCTTTTCTAGATTTTTATTCTATTAGAAAATGTTTTATGTTTTATTGCTAAAATACAGGTATTTAATATATTAAGAAGAAAAAAGGGACATTAAAAATTACCTCAATTAAATCAACTTTAAACAATGTCCTCCATTTTCACATTATTGTTCTTTAATCATTGGATATATTTATTATTTTTTCTTTATAATACTTAAGAATTATTCTGATCTCATTGGATGTACATAAAAAAGTTGATAAAAAAATAATTGGAATATCTTGATGTATACTAAAGAAGATAATAAATAACATACCTTTACTGTATAAGTGATTCCTTCCTTACTTACTAAATGATCTGGATGTAACCAGCCTCTGGCTGGTTTACTTATAAAACTGCTACCTCCTGCAGCCATTGCTAAATTAAAAACATATCGATGTTATCAGTATATAAAATATAAACAATTTATATAAAGTATACATATAACAAATTCACTATGTATATATAAATATTTACAGCATATTTTATCAGAAGTGTTTAATCACTTAAAGTACTTAATCATTTTAAAAAAATATATATATATTTAGAAAAAAATATACGCTACTTTTTTTTTATAGTGAACAGCTAAAATCACATGAGTAAATAAAACGATATCTAAAGCATTAGTCATCAAAACCTTGCATTAAACAAGGAATGTTAATATTCTTGTCTATCTTTTTTATATTCTTATATATCACAGATATATACATGCATATATATATATATAAATATATATATATATATATATATGTATATATATATCGAAAGCAAACGAAAAATCATCTTCTTTTCTTTAATTATACCACGACTCGAAAATTAACACAAGGCAAAAAATCACATATGCACATAGCAATTTTCTTTATAATAAATCACGCCCAAAATATCATGACTTTCAAACTGTCAACGTCAGATCAAAATTCGTCCATATTAATATATTCTTGGATGTGAAATCATACCTGACGCGAACGATTACTCAGTCATTTATTAACGATTCTTCAACGAGGCATTGATCATTGCACGAGGAATCTTTGGTCAACTTTTATCTTTGACTTGTCACTGATGATTCTGACGTCTATCGAGTTCATGAGATGGATCATTGGCGTATACTACGCATACCATAGGCGTGAACGTAAACTATCGTGCTACTACTACTACTCAATGGGAACATTCCATTCCACAGAGCAACTAGACACCATCACACATAAGGCCGGTATTCACAGTTGGTTCTTATATTTAAGATCGTCTTAAGGCCTCGTTCAACCAATCGAATGGCCGCATAGCGTCTCTTGATTGGTTGAACGAGATATTAAGACGATTTTAAATATAAGAACCAACTGAATACCGACCTATGGATTAGGATACCTACATGAAGCTAGCCGACAAAAATTATAAAATATGATTATTTTCACTTTTTTTTAATATACTTTGTTTGTAAATCGTTTGTGATTGATTGTGAGTCTGTTTTTAACGTTTGTGACAAATTAGGTTTTTTTATAATTAATAATATTTTTTAATCGTGAAGTTAGCCGACACTTTTTAATAATAAACAGATTTCGTAATAACTAACAATTGTAATAGATAGGAAATCGTTTGTGATTTACAAATATATTAATATAATTGTTTGTGAGTAATTTCTTTATTATGTTTGCAATAAATAATTTTATAATTATAGTGCGCATGCGCAAAGTAGAACTCTAGCCAATAGCGCGTACTTTATCATACTTTATAACTTTTAAATTAATATCATTTTATAAATAAATAATACTTATCTAATATATCCTTGTGTTATTCTTGTTATTATATAATATATTATATAATTTATAAAGTAAAGCTAAAAGAAATTAACAAGAATTATTTAAAGAATTATATAACGATTTACAAACGAAATATATTCAAAAAAGTGAAAATAATCATATTTTATAATTTTTGTCGACTAGCTTCATGTAGGCGATTAGGATTGAGATTGAATTGAAATATAACCAATTAGAATCAAGAAAATTAATCTCAAGCTTGTAAACTTTGCTCTGATTGGTGAAATTTCAATTTTAATTCCAATCCTAATCCATAGTCTGATACGGGCTTTAAGGAAAAGGAAAGGAAGAAATGCGTCATAAATTCACAAGTGGGTGGCCCATCTATATATATTTGTGAACATTGTCCAACTTCAGTAACAGCAGCGCGCTGTTCGCTCTTTTTCGTTGAACGTTCGATTGAATGCGGGTCGCCCGGAACAATCCGTTTCCATCTCTGATTTAACGTAATCGAAAACGAGTCGAAATGACCGAAACTCTGCAACTAAGAGGCACGCTTCGCGGCCACAATGGCTGGGTCACGCAAATCGCCACGAATCCGAAATATCCAGACATGATTCTGTCCTCCTCACGTGGTAAGTATATCGCTCGGAAACGCCGACTTTCCTCGTTCTTTCTCCTCGTAAATCTGATATTTCTGCAATTCGATAATACAATTTGCCGTAATTTTTCTCATAATTATTTAAATTTGATGATTAATATGAAATATCGCAAAACATGAGGTAGGAGTACACAATCAACTTATGTTTCATCTGTAGTTTCCATCTGTTGTAAATTTTTTCAATTATGGTTTAAGAATTCTATCCTCTTTATATTAATGATATCTTGTTACTTATTTTCTTTTCTTACTTTAGACAAGACTTTGATAGTATGGAAGTTGACACGTGATGAAGCTAACTATGGTATACCGCAGAAGCGTCTTTACGGTCATTCGCATTTCATAAGTGACGTGGTTCTTTCATCTGACGGTAATTACGCACTATCCGGTTCGTGGGATAAAACTTTGCGTCTTTGGGATCTGGCTGCAGGTCGTACGACCAGGAGATTTGAAGACCATACCAAGGTGTGACTTCACTCTTCCGCGATGCAATTTGTATGGGTTTACTTACTTTGTATTAAGAAAAAAGGAAATAATCCTTCATGTTACAAAATATTACTTTGTAATATAAAGAAATTTTCTTTATCCTTGTTACAAGAAAAGTAATACCTAATTCAATGGAAAATATAAAATGTACTGAAGCTTTTTTTTTTATATTTTTTTTATATTGAAAGTAGAAGAAATAGACACTGATTAAATCAGTCATTCGTAAGTATTGATATTGATTAAAGTTACTTTGGTAATTGCTTTATTAATTTATTTTGAGTTTGTTTCTGTTAATAGGATGTGTTGAGCGTTGCTTTCTCTGTGGACAATCGTCAAATAGTCTCTGGTTCGCGAGACAAGACAATTAAATTGTGGAATACATTAGCCGAATGTAAATACACCATTCAAGATGATGGACATACCGATTGGGTCAGTTGCGTGCGCTTCTCTCCCAATCATGCAAATCCGATCATTGTTTCGGCAGGCTGGGATCGTGTTGTTAAAGTAAGAATTAAATTTATATTTAGAAAGAAAATCGAATATTGATATATACATAAAATATTTTATAAGAATGATGGATAATTTTTATAATACAATACATGAGTATATTACTATGAGTGTATGCGGATATGGGACTGACATTACATATCTCTATGATTGTGCATACGATATGTACATACATTTATTACTAACTTAACAATTTATTTACAGGTCTGGAATTTGACAAACTGCAGACTAAAGATCAATCATAGTGGTCATACAGGATATTTGAATACTGTTACAGTATCACCTGATGGATCACTTTGTGCATCTGGTGGCAAAGTATGTATTTCTTTATACTTATATTTGTCACAAACTTAAAACATGCAGATGAATTTATATTATTTTTACTTATAGGATTGCAAAGCTATGCTATGGGATTTGAATGATGGCAAACATCTCCACACTTTGGATCATAACGATATCATCACAGCATTGTGCTTCAGTCCTAATCGTTATTGGCTCTGTGCTGCGTTTGGACCATGGATCAAGATCTGGGATCTTGAAACTAAAGAAATGGTCGAAGAATTGAAACCCGAGGTTGTGTCGGCGACCAGCAAAGCGGAACCTCCTCTGTGTTTGTCTCTCGCATGGTCCACTGATGGTCAGACATTGTTTGCAGGGTATTCCGATAATACTATTCGTGTCTGGCAAGTTTCTGTATCCAGCAGATAAATACTTTATAATAAAAGTATAAAACGAAAATATTAACATATTACATGTTACTTTATTTGTATATTTTAATTTATACATAGTATACGCACGTCTACAATATTATATATACATTTACAAGATGACGTATAGATACATCAACAACTACGATTGTATCTATTTATCTCCACTCTTTTCTTCAAGCTTTTGTTCAAATTTTTTGAATTCTTTCTCGGCAATTTTGTCCGTCTCGTCTTCCACTTGTATAACTCCGAGTACTTCGGGTATATAAAATTGCATCATATTTTGCACGCCATTTCTTAACGTTACTGCCGAGCTTGGACAATTGGTACAGGAACCTTGCATCTTTAGTTTTAAAATGCCTTCCTCGAATCCCTATTGAAAAAAGTAAGCAAGATAATGCATTATATTTATAATTACAATGCAAATATATATTTTAGATTTTTTTAAAGAACAAAAAATACTTGCCATATATACAATATCGCCACCATCTTCTTGTACTGTAGGTCGTATTCGTGTTTCTAATAATTCCTTTATCATTTGAACAACCTCGTCATCATTTGCATTAATTTCTATAAAAATTTAAAGAAATAAATATTCTATTTTATCTTAAATATTTTTATATAAAAATTATTGTATAAACTATACGTGTATCTGTAGCAGGTTCAGAGGTTTCATCCATAATTGGCTGATTACTGGCAAAGAAATCCATTATAGTTGCGAATATCTCTGGCTTTAATAATTTCCATTCCACGTCCTCGTCGAGTTTCGTAACCGTGATAAAATCAGGTCCAAAAAATACCGCCTTTACTCCCTCAATACGAAATAATTGTTTAGCAAGTAACGAGCAGTATGCATCTTTTGCACTTGGAAAATCTTTTGTACATCCTTCCCCGAGTACTAGCACTCCTGGGATAAATTTTAAACTATTTGGATTTGGTGTATCCTGTGTCTGAATAAACATATTACGTTTTTGTTGGCTAGATATTGCAGGACTATGTTTAGAAGGCAATATACAAATTGATCTTTCACTGTCGCCATGCCAGTGTCTGAGACCGATGGGAAAAGTCCTGAAAAGTTCATTTATAAACATATTATTTTATCCAAAAAGATATTTAAAAATATGTATGAATGCAGTATATATTAAATTTATTTTATATACACAAAAGAAAGCAAATAAGTCTTACGTGGAATATTCTTGTGCTAACATTCTATTGGCTACAGGTACGCAACGTTTTACAGAAAGTTTATTTGAGGCTCTGAAAAACGTAAATATATTTATGAAATTCGAGAGAAACGTATAGAAGAAAATATATATGTTTATAATGAACTGTGTAAATTATTTACCGTATGAATTGTTCATTCGCCAGAGTTTTATACAAAGCCGGTCGACTTGTATGAATCGATTTAAAAATTTTATCCATCGTTTTTGACGTCTCTTTTCAAACTGTCAAAAATATCTCATTTTTTTCAACAATATCACGACGATATATTTTTTAATTGGATTCTCGTCTATTTATGAGACGCAATATATTTTAGTGTACTACTTTAGGTTATATGACAGTACGTCAGAAACAAACCGACTTCACGTTGCCACAGCTTATGCAATGATAGGAATGAAGGCAACTTTACACTAAATTTTGCGTTAGTCAAAAATGCGATTTACACAAGTAAAATTTTTTATGACGAGGTACTGTTAGTATACTTTTTCTCTTTCCTCTATATTTCATACTACTTTAAAAAATTATTATAATAATAATATAAGTTTTTGTTAAATAAATATATAATATAATACAATTAGTGTTTAGAAAGTTTGTTAAAAATAAAACGGAGTATAAAAATTAGAGCTGCGCAAGTAAAACTTTATAATTGATTATTATTTAATTTTTAAAGCGGAGTATAAAATTTGGAGGTCTGATTATTTTCAGATTCGCGCGTTCGAAATGACCCCTTCTTCAAGGTGACAGGAGAGATGTGAAAAGCCGCATGCGTTTTCGACTCTTCTAATCGCATTCGTGTGCAAATATATACATGCATGCTCGCGAAGAGCGGCGCTTTAGAATCAGTCCGGTTTTTGAAGAAATATGGCGGATGTCGAGGTGAGCGAGTCACGTGGAAGGCGAGAAAATATATTTTATTATCCTTTCCCGCGGCGTTATTATAATTTTCCTGTGATTTGTTGCAGCTAGCAAAAGCTTTGAAGGATTTACCGAATCGAGTTCAGACCGCCAGCAAGAAGGAGCGGCGTGAAATTCTGCAAAATGTCGTCAACGTATTATCAAACCCCGGTAAGAATCGTCAGGGAAAACCGTATTACTTTATGATAAGAGAGATAAGTGATTCTTGCACGATTTTTGGATCGTAATACGATGATACCGAGAAGAGATCTGTTTCGGATGACTATTCCTGTACTCGATTATTTATGTGCACTTTCGAGGAAAAATGTATATATACCTGTTTATGTGGAAATCTAAAGTGTACTTATATTTACAATATTGTCTTGTAATTGCAATTGTTTTACGTTTACATATATATCTATTTTGTGAGATTCTAATGCGTTAAAAAAATCTAGTTATATAAAAGGTAAATTCATTACTGGATATTGATTACACTATTAAAGTGACTTTACGAATGATTACTTGACATCCAAGTTTTTACATTGAATATAATTCAAGATATTGGATATATTTGCATGGATATTGTATAATATACATTGTGTATATTAAGAAAAAAAAGTTTTTAATTGAATAATACATTGTAATTATATTTTTCTTTGCAAAATGACACAAGATTTATTATAAATAAGAAGGAAAGTGCATGTAAATATTATTTTATTGTTAGATGTTTCTACTTTTGCATTGTTACATGTTCGTGAATTCATTTAAATTATATTTTGTTTATTATTTAAGAAATTTAAGTAAGAATCTTTCCGTAAGATATATACAAGACCAATTAATAATGCTATAATTTCTACCTATATATTTACACTAAAATAATATTTAAAAAATAATCAGTAAATTATATATGAGATATAAAAATGATTATTATTGATTATACATAAACTGTGTATTATAGTAATTATCGAATTTACAAAAATAGTTGTAGTTCAAATGTGTTTAAATCAATTTTTAAAATTATCTTTTTTGTCTCTAATATTGAATATATTTATGTATCAGATTTCAGCACTGATAATATATTTTATTTATGTAATTTGATAAAAAAAAATGTTAAAAAATTTACACTTATTATTTAAAAATAAATGTTTATTGATGATTTAAGTAAATTTATTAAAAATTGCGACTATTAAAATATGTTTTAATTTGATAATTATGTGTATATTATATACAAATTGTTTATTACAGGCATTAATGACAAAATTGTCAATGGGATTTGTAAGGTGGTATCGCTTACCTTACATAGGTACAAGGATAGTGCTTCTCAGTCCTACGTGAAAAATCTAATTGTAGAACTACTTAAAAAACAACCAGAAGCTACCATCAAACATATGACAACTGTAATTTCAGAGCAAGCTACTTGGCATAAAAATGTGGTTGCGACGTAAGTTTAAAATCAAGAATTATTTGTTGTATGTTTATTTGATGTAATTGTAAATATTCTTTATGTTTTTTCACAGTTTGAATACTGCTTTAACTGCATATACTGCATTGAAATGGTCAAACTTAGTTATTCTTCATGGATATAATGTATTGGATAATACTGAGATGAATGAATATTTAGCAAAACTCATTGAAGCACAGGCAAATTTATCTGCCGCAGCTTTGGCATCTGCAGATAAAAAACTTGCAAACAAGGTGTACACATTACTCGCATATGAATGGACAGCTATTAAGGACATAGAAGTTATTTATGTGGAAAATTTAACAAAATTGGAGCTCGGTAATGGTGTAATTATTCTAGCCAGCTTACTTACAAAATATTTAGTTGCCACACAAAAAAATGATTTAGTAGAACAATTAAAGGTAAATATTATATTAAGAATACATATATAATTCTAATTATTATGTTATATTTATAATTATGTTATATATTGTATTTTTATTTATTTTAGATAAACATGATAGACATTTTTATAAAAGTGACGATCAGTTGTAAGAAGAAGCCAGATTTATACGTAGTGGATGTAGCTGTACCACTTCTTCGAAGATTAACTCACGAAGAGTTTAAAACTCAATTACTTCCTGCTTTACAGAAAGCAATGTTGCGAAATCCGGAAATTATCATTGAATCAGTCGGTCACATTTTAAGCGGATTAAGTCTTGATTTGAGCCAGTATACCCAAGAAATAAGTAAAGGATTATTTGCTAATCTACATTCTAAGGAAGATTTAGTGAGAGATGAAGCGGTCGGGGCATGTCGCAAGCTTGCTCTACAATGTTCCGATACCACGGCTCTGGAGATGTTGCTCTCATCCGTATTTGCGGTGTTTCACGGATCAGAGGGTAAGCTTACGGTCGCGACACACAAAATCTCTGTGTTACAAGGAGCCGGCAATCTTAGCTGTAATGTAGCTTCGGGCAGCAGTGTGCAGAAACTGGCCGAGACGGCGTGTGAGCATTTCATCAAGGTACTCGAGACGGAGGTTCACGAGAAGACGCTGATCCAGGCTCTTGAAATGATGGCACTGTGGTCCAAAAAATTTTCGTCCGCTCTACCGAAAATCGTAGTGGACGCTTTCAAGAAAGGCATGGCGGCGAAAACATCTACCGCTGCAGTACGAACAGCTTATATCAAGTTGTTCTTCTCGACTCCCGCCACCCCTTACTCGGGAATAATAGCCCCAATTCTCGCGCAAGCGATAACACGAGCTATGCAGCAGTGCGCGCAACCGGCAGCGGTGACCGAAGGTCTAGTCGCTTCGTACCTTCTATTGAAGTTCGTATTGGCTGACCAGGTGGAGAACGACAAGCAGAATGTATTGTGGAACGCAATCGACGAGCAGATATTCTTCTCCGAAAAGTTTCTATCGACATGCGGCGACGATATCTTATATCATCTTATGTTGCTATGCGAACGATTAATCACTGAGTTTTCCGACAGATTAAATGAAAAGGCTTTGACTGGGATTCATCGAGCAATTGTATCTTGTGCTACTGCCTCAAATTCCTCTACACGACAACGATGTTTCCCATTAGTCAAGAAGATTGTGACTGGTTTGAGTACATATGCGCCAGCGCAGGCTCTATTAATGGAGTTTAACAAGTTTTTGGAAAACGTGAAGATTAAATCGGAGTCGGATAAAGAGAGTAAAGAAGAATCCTCAATGGGGGAAATCACCGGGAGGTGTCTCGCAGACGGATTGTTTGCTATATGCTCGGGTTCCTTTTTATTTGAGGTACCGACTTATCAGATGACCAGAGACGCTCTACTTCCATCCCATCACCCGGCATTGCTCAAAGCTGTACCAAACTTGTGGTTCAAGATCGCTAAGAACTACAATCTCGTACCAAAGGACTTTTTACGCAGTTACAGTAACGAAGTGAGGAAAATGTTGATTCAGAATTATAAACCGATACCGACTTACGAAAATGCACTTGTAAAAATCGTATCTCTCGCACCAGATGCTTTTCTACCTGCGTTAGTATCGAATGTTACAAGTAAACTTGATGATCCAGAAATTTTAAGAGTTACCAAGGACGAATATTTTACGTATCTCACTCCCGAAGGAGAACTTTACGACAAGAGTGTATTGCCCGTCAACGACGAAAATGATATTCTTAATTCCATGAATATGAAGAGAGAAAGTAAGGTTTACTCGTTTAAGGAGCAGCAAGAGGAGCTACAACTGAGACGTGAATTATATGAGAAGCGAAAACGAGAAGGCAAGATAAAGGAACCAAAATTAACGCCTAAACAAGAAGAGACCTTGAAGGCGCAGATCGCGAAAGAAAATGGTATTCGTAAGAGATTAACCGAATTGAAAGCCAAGATAGATAATACCGTGTCTCTGGTGACATGTTCGATACACGGTAATAAGCAGGAACTGTCTTTGTATTTAAAGGATCTTTTACCACCCATTTTGAAGAATCTGGGCTCTCCATTGGCAGCTCCCGAAATGTCGGAACTATATGTAGCCCTTCGTCGAACAGTAACCATGGATAATAGCGTCATTCTAGGTGATCTCATCGCTCATGTTACATTGCGACAATTGCAACCGCAGTGCGATTTGGATCAAGCTTGGGAAGAGGAAAATCTCGATGTAGCGGTTAAAAGAACGTTGAATCTGATACACACGGTAACGATCAAGAAGAAGGAATTATTCACGGCGCCTGCGTTTTGTTACGTTTTTCCCTTTATAAGAAAGACTTTGTTATCATATAAGGACGACGGCATGATAGTACAGGGATTACAATTGATTCAGGAACATGCCAAGCAGAGAGGAGACAGCTCTACCGACCTGAAAGACATCAGACATCCTAGACTTTTGCCGCGTAAACAAATGTTCGATTTGCTTATCGAACTTATGGAGACCACAACAGGTCGTGTGCAGTCACACGCGGTGGCGACCTTGCTAGACGTCGCGCAATCCGGCAGTGGTCAACCAGGTACAGCAATCGCCATCAGCGAAGATATAGATTCCTTGATCGGTGCGTTGCAGAATTCGCTATCCACTGTGAGGGACGCAGCTCTTAGAGGATTAACCGTAATACGACAAGCTTTTCCGTCCCAAAAGGAGGATCAGGATCAGCTCGACAGACTCACCAGAAGAGTATGGATCGCTCGATTCGACGTGAACGAAGATAATAAGATTCTCGCCGGCGAACTATGGAACGCGGCCGACTTTACCGCGCGCCCGGAAGTCCTCTGCGAGGAACTGATTTGGGACATCGCTCATCCAGTCGAGCCAGTGCAACAGGCAGCCGCTCACGCGTTAGCGGAGAGCTTGGCTAGTGTGCCTCATTTAACGCCGTCCGTCTTGGACAGTCTGTTGCAGTTGTATCAGGAGAAACTGGCCATGATCCCACCGAAGTTAAACGACTTTGGTCGCGTCGTCGAGCAGCCGATCGATACGTGGGGTCCGCGACGGGGGGTAGCCCTCGCCCTGGCCCAGATAGCGCCGCTTCTCACCGCCGACACTGTACACCGACTCATCCAGTTCTTCGTATTGACCGGACTCGGGGACAGGAACCAATACGTACGCACTGAGATGCTGACGGCCGCCGTCGCGGCGGTCGATCTTCACGGCAGCGCGAACATCACTTCGCTGCTTCCGGTTTTCGAGGATTTCATGGACAAGGCGCCGAAAATCGGCAGCTTTGACTCGATCAAGCAGTCGGTGGTGATTCTCATGGGATCGCTCGCGAGACACTTGGATAAGAACGACCCACGAATCAAACCGATCGTGATGCGTCTCATTGCTGCGCTCTCTACGCCTTCACAGCAGGTGCAGGAGGCCGTGGCCAATTGTCTACCCCATTTGACGGACTCCATTAAGGAAGATGCGCCAAAAATCGTGGACAATCTGATGGACCAATTGCTCAAGTCGGACAAGTATGGCGAGCGTAAAGGTGCAGCGTACGGACTTGCGGGTCTCATCAAGGGTATGGGAATTCTTGCGTTGAAGCAGCTGGATATCATGAGCAAGCTGACCATCGCTATTCAAGACAAGAAGAATTACCGACATCGCGAGGGAGCGCTGTTTGCCTTCGAAATGCTGTGTACGATGCTCGGCAGATTGTTCGAGCCTTACATCGTGCACGTTCTGCCGCATTTGCTTCTGTGTTTCGGCGACTCGAGTCAGTACGTAAGAACTGCCACTGACGACACTGCCAGAGTAGTGATGAGTAAACTTTCCGCTCACGGCGTTAAGCTCGTTTTACCGAGTCTATTGGCGGCTCTCGAGGAAGACTCGTGGAGAACGAAAACAGGTATGTAAGTCATATTAATCTTATTGGCAAACGGAGTAATTTTTCTACTGATTCTAATCTCGTTAACTAAATTTTATTGGCTTTTAATGTATTATCTTGTATTATTTTGGTACATGAAACTAATGATTGTTATTTGCTTAAATTAAAAATAAAACATTAAATTTTATACAGGATCTGTCGAATTGCTTGGTGCTATGGCGTATTGCGCACCGAAGCAGTTAAGTAGCTGCTTGCCGAGTATTGTTCCCAAGCTGATAGAGGTCCTCAGTGATTCCCATACAAAGGTGCAAGAAGCTGGCGCGGAGGCTCTGAAAGTCATCGGAAGTGTGATACGCAATCCGGAGATTCAAGCGATTGTACCGGTATTGTTGAAAGCATTGCAAGATCCCTCGCACAAGACCGCTACTTGCCTGCAAACGTTGCTGGATACACAATTTGTCCATTTTATCGATGCACCCTCACTGGCGTTAATTATGCCCGTTGTGCAACGCGCGTTCCTCGACCGTTCGACGGAAACCAGAAAGATGGCCGCGCAGATCATCGGCAATATGTATTCTTTAACAGATCAGAAAGACCTGACCCCGTATCTGCCAACCATTATACCAGGTCTGAAGACTAGTTTGCTCGATCCCGTGCCCGAAGTACGCAGCGTGTCTGCAAGAGCGTTGGGCGCTATGGTACGCGGAATGGGCGAATCTAGTTTCGAGGATTTGTTACCCTGGCTGATGCAGACGTTGACTTCGGAAACCAGTAGCGTCGACCGATCCGGCGCCGCGCAAGGTCTCTCCGAGGTGGTACGCGGACTGGGCGTGGAGAAACTTCATAAACTCATGCCGGAGATCATCAGCACTGCCGAGAGAACGGACATCGCGCCTCACGTGAAAGACGGATACATTATGATGTTTATATACATGCCGAGCGCGTTCACCACGGAATTCACTCCATACATAGGACAGATCATTAATCCGATTTTGAAGGCTTTGGCCGACGAGAACGAATATGTGCGGGAGACCGCGTTGAGAGCGGGACAACGTATCGTCACTCTTTACGCCGACTCGGCGATAATGTTACTATTACCGGAATTAGAGAAAGGTCTCTTCGATGACAATTGGCGTATTCGGTACTCGTCCGTTCAACTATTGGGCGACTTACTGTACAGGATCTCCGGCGTGTCCGGCAAAATGTCGACCGAGACCGCGAGCGAAGACGATAATTTTGGTACGGAACAGTCGCACTACGCCATCATAAACGCTTTAGGCGCGGAAAGACGGAATCGCGTGTTGGCCGGTCTCTATATGGGCCGGTCGGACGTAGCTCTGATGGTACGCCAGGCTGCTCTTCATGTTTGGAAGGTAGTAGTGACGAATACACCAAGGACATTGCGAGAGATATTACCGACCCTGTTCACTCTTCTATTGGGATGTTTGGCGAGTACGAGTTACGACAAGAGACAAGTTGCAGCGCGAACATTAGGCGATCTAGTGCGAAAATTGGGAGAACGAGTCTTGCCGGAGATTATACCGATCTTGGAGAAGGGCTTGCAGAGCGATCAAGCGGATCAGCGTCAGGGAGTGTGCATAGGACTGTCCGAAATTATGGCGAGCACGAACAAGGACATGGTTCTGACTTTTGTTATCAGTCTTGTCCCAACGGTTAGGTGAGTATAATAATAAATAATAATTATAAATCTTTAAAAGACTGTTCATGTCTTTACAGATATTTAAACAAGGCGACTTTTTCAGGAAAGCGCTCTGCGATCCGCTGCCGGAGGTTCGCCAGGCTGCAGCTAAGACTTTCGACGGTTTACATTCCACGGTGGGCGTTCGCGCGCTCGATGATATATTACCGGCCATGTTGACCCAACTGAACTCCCCCGATCCAGCGGAGGCGGAGAACACGTTGGACGGTTTACGTCAAGTGATGGCAATCAAATCGCGTGTAGTACTACCGTATCTAGTCCCGCAGTTAGCTTCCCCGCCAGTGAACACGAAAGCGTTGTCGATATTGGCCAGCGTGGCAGGTGAAGCGCTGACGAGATTCCTTCACAGGATCTTGCCGGCGTTACTCACTGCGCTTTCCAGCGCGCAAGGAACGCCGAACGAGTTGCAGGAGTTGGAGTATTGTCAGGCCGTAGTACTTTCCGTCACCGACGAAGTAGGCGTTAGAACTGTCATGGATCAGCTGATGGAGGCCACGAGAGCGGAGGATCTCTCGAAACGGCGAAGCGCCGCGACGTTGCTCTGCGCCTTCTGTCGCGACACTCGCGCCGATTACAGCCAATATGTGCCACAATTGCTAAGGGGCTTGATCCATTTGTTCACCGATGAAGACAGGGATGTGTTACAGATGAGTTGGGAAGCTCTCACGGCCGTTACAAAGGTACAAGTTTTTATCAGGACGAAAATAATGAACAATAATGACTTGAACAGGATCACTAATATTGCCGTAATTTTTCACAGACTCTATCATCCGAGCAGCAAATAGCGCATGTACAAGATATCAGGCAAGCCGTTCGATTCGCGGTGTCTGATCTGAAAGGTCAAGAATTATTACCCGGATTCTGTCTTCCTAAAGGAATCACGCCAATCCTGCCGATCTTTAGAGAGGCTATATTAAACGGTTTGCCGGAAGCAAAAGAACATGCGGCTCAAGGATTGGGAGAAGTCATAAGGTTGTCCAGCGCGGCTGCGTTACAGCCAAGTGTCGTACACATTACCGGGCCACTTATTCGAATCCTTGGAGATCGTTTTAATTGGAGTGTTAAAGCAGCCGTCTTGGAAACACTTGCAATCTTACTTGGAAAGGTCTGTACAAAATTAACGAATAATGAGTAATTTTTGCTAAGACGAGGATTCACAATTTTATATTGTGATTTACAAATAAAAGAAATATAATACTTGTATTATTAAATACAATATTTTATACAATACTTAAATATTTTAGTATAAAGTACTTAAATAGTTCAAAATGCTGGTTTTCGAAATATAATTGATGTCTCTCTTTCTCCTTCAACAGGTTGGCGTCATGTTGAAACAATTCTTGCCGCAACTGCAAACTACTTTCTTGAGAGCCTTGAATGACAGTAATCGGCAAGTTAGATTGAAAGCAGCTTATGCTCTTAGCAATCTAATTGTTATTCATACACGTGTCGATCCTTTATTTACTGAACTTCACACTGGTATCAAGACAGGAGATGATCCAGCAATAAGGTAATCTTGATGAATAAATCTCTACGGATATATTCTTTTTTCGTGTATTTTTAAATATTTTATAAGAATTTAATATTAATTATTGTGCAGAGAAACGATGCTGCAAGCTCTCAGAGGTGTATTGACTCCCGCTGGTGACAAAATGACTGATCCAATGAAAAAACAAGTTTTTGCAACGCTCAGCAGCATGCTTAGTCATCCGGAAGATATCACGAGAAACGCGGTCGCCGGTTGTTTTGGTGCGCTTTTACGGTGGTTGAGTCCAGAACAGTTAGCAGTTGCACTGAACGATCACTTCTTATGTAAGTTTATAAAAAATACAACATATATACAACTTAGTTATTTATATTTTCAAGAATTAACAAAAATAATAAATATTTCTTTTATATTCGATTAGGTAACGACGTTAATGTCGACTGGACACTCAGGCATGGACGCTCGGCCGCTCTTTTTGTAGCGTTGAAGGAATCACCCATTACAGTGTACAATCCTAAAGAGAAGGATCGCGTATGTGCAGTGATACTTTCATACTTGGCTGCAGACAGAGTGCAAATAGTCATGAATGGTGTACGAGCGTGCGGATATCTATTTCAGTATCTCATGAATGAATCGCTACCTGTACCACAGCAAATTTTATCACCTTTCGTGAGAGTAAGTTTATTTGAGAATATATGTGTCATATATCAGGATGTATACTCCTAGGAAAAATCTTGAAATGGTATTCTCAGAAAACTCATTCAATTTTGAAAAAACCAGGGAATTCTCAGGATTCAGAGAATTTTTTAAAAAATTATCTTTCTGTTGATTTTATTTTTATTTAGAACTTCAGAAACGTGTCTAACATATATTTGCAACATTTAAATTCTTATTAAAATTTTTTTTATTTACAATCTTTTTTTAGTATCAAGATCTTATATAAATTATAAATTTTATAGAAAATTGTTCAAATTTTTAATATTTAAATAAATCAATACTGCTTATTTATTTAATAAATAATAAATTTTAATAAATTAGTATTCCCCCTGAGACGGTTATAATAAATTATTTCTTGTTTTATATTTTTATTTTTATCAGGGAATTCTCAGGGAATTTTTTTACAAAATTTGAGTAGACATTCTATATATCTTTATTTAAAAACAATGAAAATAGATTGCAATAATAGTTCTAGAAATATTCGGCATGAAATATACATATATCAAATATGATATTATTTTGTAACGTTAAAGTGTAACATTGACATTTTTAACATCTGGTTAATTAAATTTTAGTCAATGAATAATAACAGCAACGATGTGAAGCAGTTACTCGCCCGAGTTTGCATACATCTTGCGCGCAACATCCCACCTGAAAATATGTCTGCCGAACTGCTCAGGGCGCTTCTACCGATGTTGGTGAACGGAACGAAAGAGAAGAACGGATATGTCAAAGCGAACAGCGAACTTGCGCTTATCGCGGTGCTTCGATTGAGGCAGGGTGAAGATGAACATCAGGTGAGTCCTCAACTTATTTTTTATTTATAAAAAAACTGATAATCTCGGCTTAAATTATTTTTTATTTCATCATTATTTTTGAACTTTATATTTTATTTTTGAACAAAATCCTCTCTTCCTCTCCAACAGTTTAAGTTTGGTTTTTTTCAACACAAAAGTTGAATAATCGTAATAATCTTGTTATCACCTTCTAGCGTTGCATGGCTTTCTTGGATGTTGGCGCAAGAGAGTCTCTGTCTGATGTGGTCAGCAAAGTGTTGCGTAAAGTTCTTTCTCAGCCGGAGGGCAAAATAGAGGAATTAGACGATACGTTACTCACGTGAGAGCTATTGTACTTTCCGGGGCTTATTACGCACTATACACGTTCCAATAATCGTATTACCCGTCATTATTCGCCCGACCTCTATAAAAAAGAGATTTATCATTCATGTATCAGTTATATTATGAACCAACTAGTTCGTTCAACATTGTATCTCGATAAGCAATTAAAGAGCGTAAAGCGGAAAAGTCGCTCGATGGCATTCAACTTACTTAAGCTAAAATGTCCCGAGCAGGATCACGCGATTCAAACTAGGATTGTATATACTTTAACGAGAAAGATGTTTCTTATTATTCATATGTATATATCGGCCATCTGACATCTAACGATTCTAAGGTCGATGATTGCACTACTTCGATTCGCACAGACATTTTCACACTTGAGACATCAGAGGTGACATTCTGAAGAATCCATTATCTAAATTATTTTTTCCTTGAAAAATGAAAGACTTATTATTTTAAACAATTTCTCAATTCATATTAAATAAATAGTTACATTATGGATTTATACACTAATCATGATTATATTATACAGTCGCTGCATCAAAAATAAATCTTTCTCACTATAAGAAAAAAAATATGAAAAAAATTCGTAAAATTGATTCACAATTGATTCGAAGAATGTTAAAGCTATTGAATTGTAAGGAACATAATAGTGATGAAGTGGTATAGAAGCTATTATACTTATTATAATTAGATTTTATCAGGTTTGTTTTATTTTATGCTTTAATATTATTTCGTAGGGTTATCTATGTGTATAACGTAGATTATATTTCAGAGTAAAAAAATATAGATGTTGTCGAGACAGATCCCGGATATGGACAAATCCGAATATCCAGCTGAAATTATCCGATCGTGATTGGATTTGATCAAATTGAGGATCTGCCTATATATGTATAGAGGTTGTTAAATCGGCTCGAGCTACTCCATGTAATGTCGTGATACTCCTGGCTCGATCATTGAAATGTCTTTAAACAGAATAATCGGCATCTCATGTCGCATTTCACATATTTACCTCCGATTTTCGTACTTGCATCTTCCATTGCGCTCTCGTAATACTTTAGAATGTATGTGTCGGACAATCGCAGGATTTTATACTTTTATATGATTTTTTAACAATCAATCAAAGTTTACTTACACGATACACGCACTTCGCATCAAATTGTTTTTTTTTATGGCGATAGAAGAATTTTACAATAACTTTTGGCGAGCACATATATAAGAAAAGTGTGGAGGCAGTGATATGATGGACCAGAAGTAACACTCCGCTCTGATATTTTCAAATGCAAATAATTACGCGATGTATTCGTGTATTTTGCTTTGACTTTTCATACTTCGAAGTTTACATAAAAATAAATGTCAGACTATCTCGGTTTCATAAAATGACGAAGTATATTATGAATATTAGGCATAGGTTGTACTGATGTCAATTTTGCTTAATTATTTTTTGTTAGCTGTTTTAAGTCCTTTAGAATAAACGAATTAAATCTTGATGACAGATTCTTATGGATTAATCGTAAAATTGATTTTTTACACATAAATATCATTTAAGAGAGGCAAATTATCGTAGACTTATTTATATATATTTGTAATTAAGTTCTTTTGTCTCTCTTTCTCAAATTCTAAAAATTAATTTGCACAGAAATCTCTTTAATTTTTTAAATCAAATTTTCAAAAACTAATTTTTCTTTGCATTTTCACAGAGAGATCAACATTAAATTATTTCGAAAAATCCAAAGAATTTGTCACAAAAATAAAATTTATCTCTTTCTAAGATAATTATTTCTTGGCTCTAAAATATTCATAAAGCGCGATTTTTTATTTCTAAAAAAATTATGTATTATTATTCGCGCTGATTAGTTTCATCCATAGTTTGGAATTGAAACTGCTTGCGAGATGTGCAAAAATGATTGCAATGCTCGACCGATAAATCACATATAAAACAAATATATTATGACTCTCTTTTATAATCCTCCTTTGTCATGAAAAAAAAAAAAATAATTTGCAAGTTATATTTGCGTAAATATAATGATTTATTTTCGCAATGAAGAATTTAACGCAAAGCATTGCTGTAGAAAAAATATAACATAAACATAAAGTATATAATTCATAAAATTTTAGAAGATGAATCGTATGTATACATAGATAGATCAATATGTGTAAAAGTTTCTATTTTAAAATTAATTTATGCAAAATTTATATTTTTTATATGTAACATATATTGTATTATGTCTATATTTTATCATTTTTCTTAATATCGAGTCATATTTCAATGTTACATTTCTTGAAACATTACGTAACAAATCATTTTTAAAAATGTTTAAAAAAATATTAAAATAATTGGTCACAAGTCCTTTTATTAATTAAAAAACATTCATTTTAATGTTATAATATAAATATTTTATTAATAATTCCATCAAATAAATTTATATTATATTATTTATATATTGAATAATTTGTTTAACGAATAAAAAGAGAATTCGTTTTTTAAATATCTTAAAAATGAGTTTTACACATTTTTTTTATTATATAGGTAATGCAAATTAATATCAACTTCGCTTCGTGTAGAGAAAATAGAGTGAAACGATACAATTAAAACAATGAGTTCCTGCTTATCTTTGAAAAGTGAAACGCGATAGACATATTGCAATTGCGCGGGGGAATTTCCCTTGAAATCGCGCGAGAGATCGACAATCGCGCGCGCGACTAGCAGCCGGAAGTACAGGCCCGGCACCCCGTCGTGCATCGCGGCGAATCGCGCGCGGCGCAGAAAGAAGAAAAAAGAGAGGGAAAGAACGCGCGCGAAGATACAGGGACGATGCTGCACGCAGCTGCACGGAACGGTTATGCAGTTCCGCCGTTGCACTTCAAAGAAGCGCCGTCGCCCACGCGCGAAAACTCGCTTTACTACGTCCGGAAGCGACGCTTTATGATCCCCCTGCGTGCGATCGCCAAGGAATATTAAAGAACCTAACCTGCTCCTCTCTTCCTCTTTTGGCGCGAAGACTCCTCGTCAAGCGACCGCCATTCTTTCGCAATCAGGCAAACACGAGGGAAATTCATTGATTTCGCATCAAAAGTAAGTTTTTGAATATGTTATTTGTTATATATATATATGTGTGTGTGTATGTGTGTGTGTAACAAGAGAGAGTATGTAATATGAGATATATATAATATAATATACATATATTATATTATTATATATTTATTATATTATATGTGTATATAGGTTATTACGCTTTTATTTTGTTTCTCTTTTGTCTATTAAAAACTTCGAAATCGTCTGATTTGAATTAATATAGATATCAAAATTATATTTTCTTCAATTTATTTTCAGCGGGCTTTAAGAATTTTAATTGAACTTAATTATTGAGATATTCATATAGATTTAAAAAATTACTTTGCGCTTTCATCGTTGCTGAATTTTGAACCTTATTAATAATATAAATATCAAAATTATATTTTCTTCAATTATGTTACTTATTTTGAAGTTCGGTTGCATTTCAAGAAAGTGAGAGTCCGATAAGAAAAGAATCAGCTGTTCTCAAACTTGATAAAAATTATTTAAAAACTAAATGACATTCTCTTGCGATAAAACACACGGTTGCTGCCAGCTGAATTTTCCATAATATGTTCATATATAGTTTCATATATTTATTTGTCTATTCTGTCATACACAGAATAGTAAAGATTTTATAAACTAAAATTTTATAGAATAAAAATTTTGGTCATTCTTATTTCTTTTGCATCTCGCAGACGATGATCATGCAAATATAAATTTTATTAATTCTATATGATTTTGTTTTTTTTAAGAACACACACACACACACACACACACACACACACATATATATATATATATATATATATATATATATATGTAAAAAATCAATTTTTGCTCATTTTTTAGCTTTAATAAATATAACATTTATTTTTATAAATTTCTTAGAGTCAAAATTTCTGATAGCTTTAAAATTGTCAAAATCAAAAGTTTTTGAAAATATGAACATTTTTTCTAGTAAAATATACTTGAATAAAAATTACTGCGGACTGAAAAAAATATCATCAAGGCGTTTTATTTATGAACATTTACGAGTAGAGTCAATTTATGTAAATATTATATAAAACATTTTATTCAATTTATTTGATTTATTTTATTCAATTTTGTTAATAAGTAAACGAAACATTATTTTTTTTCCCAACACATGAATACATTGGTATACACTCGATCGGATGATTTCCACATATGTCGCTTTTATCTCTTCCAAAAGAAACATAAAAGTGACCATGTTTTAGTTACCCTGAAATAATAAAGCGCATATTTGTTGATAACTCGTTCGCTTAATTGTTTTAACTCTAGATTCTAGATTACTATCATACGTAATATTTACGTGCTGATTTGTAAAAAATTAATTAAATAAATAAATTAAAGATACTTTATATTGAGAGCCGATAAAGGTATTTATTTCTGAGAAATAAATTAAAATTTATATGTATATGTGGTCGCAATTGAACTTGAAAAAGAGACCTATTTTAAGTTAACTTTGATTGAACACACTTCTCATTTTTGATACATGTAAAAATTATATTATTATAAGAGACTCTTTCTCTTTGGAGATATTGAATTTTATTTAAAAAAAATTTATTTTGCTAAAGGATTCGAAAAGGCTGTAATTAAATTAAAATTGAGAATTGTACAGTAGAGTCGTTTCTATAACAAAAAATAGAGATACAAATATATTACATTGACATTATTATATCACACATACATTATTATATTAATCTGAATAGTATTATATATAATATATAATACATGACAATATACGACAATATATGACGATATAAAATGTGTATAAGACCAGCAGGCCTATTCTGTATAAATATTGTATATTTAAATTCTCATTTCTTTATTAAATTTTTATAAACTTTAAACTTTATAAGCTTTTTTTATAAACTTTTTTCTAAACTCTTTAAACTTTTATAAACTTTATATATTTTTAATACAAAAAATAAAAAATTAATATACGTATAAAATTACAAAAAATGTTTATTATTGTCTACAGATATTTACTTAATGACTTTTTTAATAACTTTTTTGATTATTATGTATACATTTACATATTATTGATATCTCGATTAATTTTTAGTTTGTAAAAAAAATGCATTTGAAATAAAAAATGGATAATAAAAACCATTTAAATGTAAATACAAAATAGTTTTTAAAAATATATATTTTAAATGTAAAATACAACACCCTATAAGCGCACTCGACACACATATTTGAACGACATTCACAGAATATACAAACGTCTTGTGACTGTCCTTTCGAATATATGATATAGGGAAGAAACAATTCCATCTCAAAAGCATATCTATTTCAAATAATGAGCTTCCATAAATGTGAAGCATATTATTATGGACTAGTTTTTCCATGTTTCTTGGAAAGTTTTATCCGACAAATAGCATATCTTTATCTCGTTTTTTTAGATATTATCTGAAAAGAGACAAAAATATATTGAGAAGTTGAAAAAACCGGTCCTAAGGTTCCACATGTTGTAACACGTTACACGATAATATCTTCTAAGAATTAACAATAAGAACTGAGTTGAGATTAAATAGAAATGTATATAATTGTTCCCCATACATTTACATTCCTACATTTTTGTATATAACTATTTCTCATAATGTAAAATATTTTTTTCCTTGTTTACAATATTTTTTATTGATATTAAAACTTTCGATTTTAATTACGAACTCTCTTCAGAAGCTTAGAATGAGTTCAACGAAAATTTTTTTGTTAAAATATTTCTGGACGCTAATCGATTAACGGTTTAACGTTTATAAATTGATTAACATTTTTATAAATTAAAAGGATTAAGTAATTAAGAGAAGCATATCTTTTCGTTTAAATTAAACTTGTCTATAAGCGTTTGCGTCTATAATGCTATCATAAAATAAACAGTCTTAATTGATCTTAATTGCATTTTTATTATAGTTTTCGAAAAATTAATGAATCACATTGTGAATGCAAGTGGGACACTTATTAATGCAAGATTTCTAAAATATATTATTTTTTCAAGTCTCATACATACTTCATATATCGTTACGTTGTTCCTATTATTTTATTCCACGTATATAAAATAAAATATTAGATCAGATTAATGTCAATGTACTAGAGATGTGCGAATTATCCGAATTCGAATCGACGTAATTCGAAATCAAAAGATTCGATAACGTCGAATCACTGCAATTAGAATTCGAATCAAAGAACCGCGTAAGAAGACTTAAAATCCGTTTAATTCTATCGTTTAATTCTATACGCGTTGATTCGATTCGAATTCGAAATATGGGTGATTCGATTCGATTCGGCGATATTTTTGTCGATTCGATTCGATTCGAGTTGTTTTTTTGCAAATTCGATTCGATTCGATTCGAATTAGAAAATCTTGATTCACACATCTCTACAATGTACACATATTTGTATGTCTGTTTTTTTTATTACAGAGACGATGATTCTACTGTATACAATTCTCGAATTTTCATTTAATTACAGCTTCTTCAAATCCTCCAGTAAAATAAATTTTTCTAAAATAAAATTTAATATTTCGAAAAAGAAAAAGACTCTTGATGATATAATTTTTACGTATGCATATTAAATGAGATAAGTGTGGTGCGACTGAAGTCTTCAATGTCCTTTTTGGAGTTCAGATTCAGAAAGATTTCTTTCAACAATGTGAGCGAAGGGAGCGAAAAGATGAGTGATTTGATAAAATTGAGTAGTACAAACAGTCGACAAAGTGCCCACTTTAAGACAAAGTTCCATTGGCTATATACTAGAGGAAATGCTGTGCATGTACTTGTGTTTCTTCTTGCCTGTTTACACTTTAATCCCTGGCGTTTCCATTCCAGCAGTGTTGTTATGCTGCCAGGAGGAAGCCACGAGGAAGCGTTTTCTACAAGTGCCCGGTAGAAATGTCACTGCTTTCTCGAGATCTTCTATTTGAGAGAAAAATAAACATCCTCTCTGGACCCCGCGTTACAAATGTGTGTAAAATTAGTTTGCACGTCCCGTCTCTCGTGCCGCGATCGCGGCACGCGCGATCATCCCTTATTTAAATAAGTATTGAATTCCTATTAGGTGTTTCTTTGCAAAAATCATGACTAAGTTGATAAATGATGATTTTACACTATTTAATTAATTATAATTAAGCAGATATCTGAAAAATATATTTGCTTAACTTTATAAAATGTAAATTGATATTTAAATCTATGAACGCGCTATTAATTTTATTATATAATTTAAAATCAAAATAATTAAATTCTAAATTACACATATACATGAAAGTTTAATTATGAAATATCCTATTACATATAAATAATTATATGAGAAAATAGAAAAATAGATCTAAAATTAAGAAGATATCTATTTTTATAAAAATCGGAAATATATACATGGAAATTCGTTAAACTGCACTGGAAAACAATTTTGGTTACATTAACAAAAATTCTGTTTCGCCCATTTTTTAACAAAATTTTTGTTAATGATTTTTCTTCCAGTGTTGAATCTCTAGCATTATTCGATAAAAAATTTTTAAATAATTTTATGAAAGGAGAAAGAATTTAAAGAATTTATGAAGAAAAAAAATTGTCTTTTAAAACCAATATGTAACTCATAGTTTTGTTATAGATAACATATTCTAAAGGTAAACGATTTCAGTTTAGCTATAAATTCTTTGAACAAAGCATGGATATGTAATCTATTCATTTGTTTTTAATTTAAAAAATTGTTAATTTAATCTATAAACAAATTGCGTTTACATCGCGACGATGTTTCTTGATGGCACTTGCAACGCATCTTGCATTTGAATCTCTTATTCAATCGACTACAATTTCTACCGCGTTGAAAAATAACTGTTGCAATTATCACCGTGCAGGAAATTGTCGCGTGTCGTATGACGAACAGGAAGCGAGACGTAGGATGTATTTGTCAGGATGTCTTTTATTTCATTTTTTCCCTACTCATTATTGCATCCCCTTCTCCTATCGATATGATTCATTTATCGTAATTGATAATAAAAAAGGATATTTTTTAGATAATATATTTTAGGGGTAAACAAAAGCTGATACAAGAGAGATCCAAGAGATTAAATAAAGATGCAAGAGAGATCCAAGAGATTAAATAAAGAATGCATATATTGTGACCTGCTCTCTAAATTTCTTGCAATGAAAACTGAACAATCTCATTCCAAAAGAGTGGAATTTTCTCCAAAAGAGTGAAATCTCACTCAAGAAATTTAGAGAGTGTGTATTTACGTTTATAAGAAGAAGATTTGTTTGCGTGATGTGATTAACGCGATATAAAATTAATACAGAGTAAAATTAATCTGATTAAATTTTTTTCCTCAAATTTGCTTCCTCTCTTTCTGTGATTTCATAACAAAAATAAAAGCACTGCAAAATTCTTCTCAACAATTTACGCCTCAAGTCTCGTTACTCCATCGTTGTAAAACATTAAAGATATAATTAATGCTGTAGCATGCATATTATCTCTGAAGACTTATGATATAATAATAAAAAGTTATGATCATAAGTATAAAAGATTATGTATGAATGTGTATATGTATAGAGATTATCGGAGAACTGCCCGTCGGAACCTATTCAAAAACGATGAGCAGAATAAAAAAAGATAGAGAAAAAAAAGGATAAAAGATTATACGATTCCGATAATAATTCGTATCGCTTGTAATTCGTATCATAAAATCTTTTATCCTTTTTTTTCTATGTTTATTTTGCCCATCGTTTTTGAGTACATTTCCCTGATAATCTCTATACATACAGACCAAAGTACATACATACGCTTCAAAGTATTTAAACCGCACTCAGAAATGAGATATCGAATCAACGTAAATTCGTCATCGATTCGACTCTTTGAAACAGACAATTAGCAGTAGAAAATAATTAGTACACTCGAAAAGATGATTGAAAAAAATTCCGTCATAAAAAATACTTATAATAATAATAATAATATTCGGAATACTAATCTATATGTAATCTCGATTCCAAATTGATCGAGAAAACTTATTATTAAAATTAAGGAATCAGGAACATCCTGGTAGGAAAGCACGCACATGTTATTTTGCATTTCTCGATAAGAAAAATAAATAAATTCAGAAAAACTGTGCTTGCCTCTTGAGAAAAAAGCGTTGCAAACACCCGGTGGAAAGATCTCGACATGTGCCCGTTGTTGAGATTTTATCTTCCTCTGCTTTTGTCTCTCTTGACTCAAGAACAAACTATTAACTCCGTCTACCAGCCGGATTCCGGTAATTTGTGATGACAATTCCGTGTTCCGTCTCATATATACGATGCTTGTAAATGGGAACGTTATGACGAGACCCGCGAGAACACGCGATACAAATCTGTGCAGAGTCGGTGTCATTGGCGGAAATGACGATAATGATCTCGACGCGCTCATCAAATGCACTTGTCAATTCTTCAATAACGATTGCAGTCGCTATATGCGCGCAAGGAATTGACGCCTTGTCTGATTGTGAACTGTTTTATGTCATCAAAATAGAACATATGTTTAATGAGTGATTACGTGAGATCTATTTTTTTTATTTCCTCATACATGATTATTTATATGTAATAGGATATTTTATAATTAAACATTCATTTGTATGTGTAGTTTAGAATTTAATTATTTTTATTTTTAATTATATATATAAAGTTAACAGCGCGTTCAAAGATTGAAATATCAATTTACATCTTATGAAGTTAAACAAATATAGTTTTCAGATAGTAAGAAGAAACAAGTAAAAAATAATTCAACATTATTTAATAATAAGTGATTCGCGTCTGCGTCCGCAGAATTTTTTTAGGATAATTAAATTTTTTTTATTTTTTATTTTTTGTTCTTCCTTAATTTTTTTGTTATTTTGTTATTTTTATTTTTTTTTATATTAAATAAATTCCAGTATTTATTCAAAAGAAGAGCAAATGCTTAATTTTTTTACTGATTCCAAGGGGGGTAAATGCCTTTTTTTGGTGTACTCACTGTGGACGCCCATGATGATTCGACATTTTTTCACTTTAATATAGATTATTTAACGATATATTTTAAAGGTTTTACAAAAAAGAAGTCATCGGTAAACGAACAGACGATTTTCAATTTTATTGTCAATTTTTAACGAGCTAAATGCGCGAGCGTCGACAACTTGTGACGAAAACATAGTTAATACACCGCAGTTTCACCACTTTTCAACCCTCGTTCTCTCTCTCTCTCTCTCCCTTTCTCTCACTCCCTTTCTTTCCCTTCTTTCCTGCTGACACTGACGATCCTTTCCCTTCTTTAACTGACAAGCACCAATAATCGTCGGCGTAGGCGGTGCATTTATGTAGTAGTGCACCAATGACGTGACCGAGAAAAACAATCTTCGATGATCTGCGCGTGGATGCTATAAAGCTGCGTGCACTGGCTTTGCCTTTGGGGACCTTGGTCCCTTCAGTCGTTATTCAATCGCGATAGTGAACATTACGACAGTGCAGAATATTTTCTTTTCGCATTTTCACTTGCGATTAATTGCTTCGACAGTGATCGAAATGACTCCGAAATATGAATCTCCGATGACGCCTCTTCAAGTGCCTTTTCCACATACGGATGCCAACATCCCTATTGATTTGCAGCTACAATTGCGAAGACAGCACTTCGAGAGGATGTCTTTAGCGCACATAACAGGTTTGTTATTGTTCTTGGTTATTTCTATTTATTTTGAAATTGTGCGAACGAAGATTAGCTGTTTGCTGTCGCAGAACGAGTTGGCACATTTGACATATGTATATTTTACGTTAACAGTTCGACGACATATATGATATTTTAATATCAAGAATCCTGCAATATGGATGTAATGCAATGTGTAAATTTTAAGTTGTATATCATTCATCACTGCAATCTGTTATTGGATTCAACTCCATATTTTTTCTATTTTCTCTTTCTCTCTCATAATTTTTTTCTTCCCCTTTTTTATTTCAATTTATTATTAAATATTATATTGAAACATTTTTTATAAATGTTATATTAATGTGTTTCTATTGAAAAATAGTATGATTTTATTAATTTATAACGAGAGAATTTTGATAGCACAATTTTTTGTATATTCTATGAACAAAATATGTTAAATATCAAATATATTTTATAAATACATGTAGCACTTTTTTTACTCCGGAATCCACCGAATTTTTGCAATAAATAAAATATCCTTTGGACTAACGCATTATTCTAGGAAAGAAGGTTTACCTGGTTTGCACAAATCAGTTTGCAAAATCAGAATCACACAGAGTTCTGTCAATTATGACACCCGCTACAATAGACGGATTTTCGAAAGATGAAGAGTGCCGACGTTCAGCGAAGCGAATAATCATTATCTTCCCTGTAGGAAGACCTTTTTATAAAAATGGTCCTAGCGATATATTGTCCCTGCTTTGCAGGAGATCGAGTATTATAACTGTGTGAAAGTTTATAATGCTACCTGGCACCAAGTGCGGTGTCTCTGATGTTGTTATCTTTTCCGATTTTTTTTTTCGTTCAGCTTTAAAGATCGATTTTTTTAGAAAGAACACCGCCCGAAATTTTTGATCCTTTGAAATTAGTGCTAATGGTATTTCTAACTCGTCACTAACAATAAAGTTAACCAGTATAGTTACTGGTTTCTCAATCTTAAGTTTTGTTTCACGTTCTCGTCAAGCGTGTATAATTATACGCATAAATTTTTATTGGAAAATTTATATCACACAGTCACTTTTTCAATAATTTTCCGAAAATACCGAGATTTTGCGTAATATTATAAATCTTAATTTCTTGAATTATAATGTAATTGAGAATATATAGACTGCAATGTTTTAATTATAGATGTTTTAATTACAAGTATGATTATTGAAAGAAGATTGAATTTTTTTTAATGTCTCGTACAAGAAGACATGATATAAATTTTATCAATTGTTATAACTAATCATGTGCTATCAATTTACAGATGAAGAATCATATTTGAGGATGAACATGATGATGTCTCCACACACACGATCTACCTTACCACCTGGAGTACGCGTTGAATTGAAGAATCGTGAGCTATGGAATAAATTTCATGCCGAGCACACGGAAATGATCATTACAAAGACAGGGCGGTGAGTGCACGTTATTATATTAAAATATTATCTACACACACACACACACACACAGGTTGTCCCAACCTGTTAGGGATGCTACCTGTCAGGTAAAACTTACCAAGAAATGGGAAAAATCGGTCCACAGACAGATAACACATACCGTTTCGTATCTCTGTCATCGAGATTATTACACAAAATATTTTCAAATTATTATTATACAAAGTTAATAATTATATATACAGTAGGTGTATCTAAATAAGTGCGAAAATTTGAGGAAATAATTCTTTGTAGAAAATTAAGGAGGGTTTCTTATATATTAAGTTTTAAATTTTGATAAAAAATTAAATAAGGGTTGTTAGTTTCATTCCCTTATAACGATACAGGAAGATAAACAATGTTAAATAAATATGATATACACTTCCTTCTTCTCGGCCATAGAGTCAAACGCGATGTTATTGCGAATAAATAAAGTAAGAAAATTGAGGAATCTGGGAATTTTGTATCCTGTGGTTGGGATCTCAAAAACTCTCCTTGTTCCTCTTTTAACTTTCCCTGTAAAGAAAGAGGCGAGAAAAATACCGGTTCAAAATTGGCTAGCCAACTTTCGGAAGGAACAAGGAGAGTTTTTGAGATCCCAACCACAGGATACAAAATTCCCAGATTCCTCAATTTTCTCACTTTATTTCACAATAACATCGCGTTTGGCTCTATGGCCGAGAAGAAGGAAGTGTATATCTTATTTATTTAACATTTTTTATCTTCCTGTATCGTTATAAGGGAATAAAACTAACAACTCTTATTTAATTAGAATGCGTTATGGTGCTCACAAGAAAGGCGCGCAATTGTGGTTACGAGGAGTAATCGTATTGAATTTTTTTACACTCAAAAAAATATTTCGCTGATATAGTTAGACGTTTAGATGTTTTAGTTAATTTTTTATACCTAGAAAATTTTTGCTGTACTTGCTATATGATTTTTTTGAGTGTAAGTGACTTATCGATAGCGGCGGCGCCGGTCAGCAACAGAGATTATCTGCTTCTGTCTTACTTAAAAATCTTGTATCTCTGTGTTTTCGAGATAAAATACTTTACTTCCCAAACAACAAAACGTTTAAAATCGGGACATATACTCTTATATCCCTCCCAAAAGTTACACCTTTTTAAAGAGAGAGTTGTAAAAATTAAGCTTTTTTTTTCAAAAAAGACTCTTTCAGACAAATTAAAAAAATGAAACTTGGTGGGATATTTTTCACTAATAAAAAAGGATATTTATTTAAACAATGATAAGAATATTAGATCGGCTCTTTAATATAAAACACGATATACACCTTCTTCTTCTCGGCCATAGAGCCAAACGCGATGTTATTGCAAAATTAAGTAAGAAAATTGAGGAATCTGAGAATTTTGTATCCTGTGGTTGGGATCTCAAAAACTCTCCTTGTTTCTCTAATTATGCGTCTAAATGGCGCCCGGCGCGACGAAAAATACAGGATATACAAAAGATGCTTCAATTCAAAAAGCCAGGCGAGATATTTCCTTGGTGATACTTCAACTTCGAGATCTCTTCGTCTTGGCGCCTATATATAAGAGGTACGCGACAGAGAGAGAGAGAGAGAGAGAGAGAGAGAGAGAGAGACGCCGGATTCCCTCTGGACACACCCTCTTGTCTGCTGATCGGCGCCGTCGTTCTTGAAAACTTCTGCACGCTGGTCGCGATTTTTTTCCTCTTTTACGAAACAATAGTAAGCATTTTCTAAGGGGTCGACTGAAAAGTAATACCTACCCATCTGGTCCGCCAAAACCCGAAAGTGTGATCCGTCTTTGGTTCTTTTTTCTCATGGCTTATTGCCAATCGTTCATATTTCGAGTTTCGAGTTTTAATCGTTCGGTTGATAAATTATAGTAAAAGAACCGTTTTTTAGCAATATCCTGTGTAAACAAATATACATTATAAAATATATACGTCAGAACAAGATAAAAAAACCGATTCGGCAAAAGATTGAGTCGGTGCCATGTGAACGATTTATGCAATTTCTAAAAAAAATGAAAAATAAAATCAAAATTTAATACTTTGTATGTCTCATTAAACATTCAGGAAAATATGTCAGTCCCTATGTTACGGCTGTCTGTCTTGACGCGATTTCATGGTATAAGGTCTAAACAGGAAACACAAAAGTGTCAAATAAATTTTGACACTTTTGCGTGTTTTATTAGGACTTTGACCTTATCAATGTCGCAGTTTATAATATCTATTTTTAACAGTACAGTAAAATCGTAGAAAGATAGAATTGTGCGACCAAAGATCCGGGTTTATTTGACAAATCGATGTCGTTAAATAAATTTGTTCCGAGTGGTTTAACACATGACTTCCAAAATTTAGTTTGAGGCGTATTTTTTGTTATTTTAATGGTGTACAAATGAACAAAATGACGGACTATGCTATAGAGTAACGACAATATATTTAGTTTTGCAAAAGGTCAGATTATGTTAAAAGACGTCATGGGGACACCCCATAAGGAGTATCCACAACGATTGATTTATCGCTGCAGATCAGGGACAAGATCGGAGATCGAAGTGCATTTAAAAATATAAAAAAAATATAAAAATATACAGCTATTCTTTTTTATGGTCAAGTTCACGAGCAACTATGTCATTTTCCACACTCGATAGGCGACTCCTCGCGTCCGTTTCCGGTTAAACGCCGATATCCTTTGCCGGAAACGATTGACAATTCATTGTCAGTTCCTGAGATGGGACTCGGGGCGGCAACCACTCGAGATAGGGGTACGTGGAATTTTGCGTGGCAGTCTTAAATTGATAATGCGATGATGTCACTGCATGAGAGATTTCGTGTTATATCGCCTCTGTTGCTTTTGCGTGGGCGCGGAAACCGCAGCGGAAGAAAGGAAATGCGCCTGAATTATTTGTTTCTGTTATCGATAACAAGTTTTTTTTTTTTGTCCCTCTATCTGTGAAAATAGGCATCGATAATCGAATAAATAATAATGTTGATATTTGTGACTATGTAGCAATGACGCGATGTCGTTTACATAGAGATTTGTGAGGTAACGATATGTAAATATATGTATACATATATATAGTTTTACTTTTCGAAAGGTAAAACATAACAATCGTTATGTATTTAAATAGTTCTGACAAACAAATATTTTTTATCATCAAGATTTATCTTAGCTTAGCTGGATCAAAGAAGTAATATCCGCCACATTGTCTGTTTGATTATTCCACGATATTTCATGAGATCATACGAATTGGTACTTTTGTTTTTGTAACAGTTTTACTTATAAGTATGTATTTTTATTTACATATAAAATACAGGGAACTTCGAAGATAAATTGTTTTATCTAATACATAATATATACAATACACAACAGAAAGATAAGTTATTCATAGATAAATTGAATATATAAAAATATTTTAAGAACGGATGTTTTTTTAAAATGTTTCCTATATATAAGTATGGAAATGTATCAATATTAAAATTTTTTAAATTATTTAAAAGTTTGTCAATTTTGCCGGATTTAAAAATCAGCGAATTTCTTTTTCACATTATTCTCTATTGTATATTTTTTTATTTTATAAATTTCGCTTCTTTACTTTTACATGAACTTGATATCTATGCAATAAATGACACCGTCACAAAATAAAATATCTCGTTACATTCAATCTAGACCACCTAGAGACTTAAAGTTTCCGTCACCATAAAACGCAAGATGATCCATCATTGATCGTATGTTTTTAATGACTTGCGAGAGGTTTCGAATGTGTTGATATTTGACAGCTAAAAAGATCCGGATCCAGGTCACGTATTATGCTTTTTTTCTTAACATGCATATTCGCAGTTCTTAAACAAATAGCTAGGGTCACAATCCTTAAGCAAATAGGAGCCTCTATTATTCATATGCGTGCCTTCTATCCTTTGTAAATAAACACCCCCACATGTTTACCACGTGTGTCTTTTCGCGCGGCTTGCCTTAGTTAGACGTTTTCTATGGGCAGATTTTTCGCCGCATTCCATTATCTCTCCGACCATGTCATAATTTTCTGCCTCTTTTTCCTTTTGTGTTCCACGGTTTCATATTCCTCGGCCTTTTTATGCGAAGTCGAAGTCCTGTGAGAGTGAACCGGAAAATGTAAAGTGAAAAATATGCGTAACAGATGTTATTATCGTCACAGTCGTTGAGATTCAGTCTATTACATTAGCACGTCGAAAATGTAGTCACAAAAAATACTGTTAGACAATCGAAAAGAATTCCTCAAAGATAATGCAAAATTACATGCTGTATTTCTAAATTTACCCCTTCCTCTCTCTCTTTCTCTCTTTCTGTTCGGGGGTTAATTGATTCTAGATTTTATTGTCCCCTTTGAAGTCTCCTTTCGAGTCATTTATGAGAATGTCATCTTAAATGAAATGTTTAAATATGCAAGAATTTATAGCTAACATAAAATTTTATTGTGTAAGTAAAAGGAATAAAAAAATCTCCTTTATTGTTACTCATAATTGTAAAAAGGTAAGAAGAATATTAAGCAAGACAAATATATTTACGTAAAGAGCATATAAAGTTCATATGAATGTGTTTATAATATTATAAATATACATAGATAAAAGTATTAAAAATGTATATGAATTAGGATTGAAACTGAAATATAACTAATCAAAATACAATAAATTCGAATTTATATTAATCTTAAGTTTGGTGAATTCTGATCTGATTGGTGTAGTTTCAATCTAATCTCAATTTATTAGATAAATAAAAATAAGATATTCAAATAAAAGTCACACATTTTATCATGATTTTAACGTGTTATATTTAGCTTTCCTGTTTACTGATTTTACTGTGCTCCGATATATCGAACTCTCCAAAATTAGAACTGACAGCCTGATTAGTGTAGTTTCAATTTAATCTAAATTTATTAAATAAATAAATGTCACATTTGATCATTTGATTCAGTTATCATTTGATTTAGATGAAGTGCCATCTTCAGCTTTTCTTTTTACTGATTTTACTGTACGAGTATATCGAATCCTTCTCCAAAATTAGAACTGGCACATGGTTTTTCGTGAGATAGGAGATTAGCCCACTTACCCCCGACTTTTTTTAGAGTTTCTTACGGTTGACTCGTGTCTGGACTCTGGACAGCGGGCGCAGGTTCAGCTCGTGCCACTTAATTTACCTTGTGTCACTAAAACATTATTGCGTCTCGTGTAAATCTCACGTGGCTCCTTGGACCAGATGTTCATGTCACGCGCGCCACGCGAACCATGTTCAAAATCAGTGATAAGAACGCCTTTAAAGCGTTTTTAAGACATCTTATATGTATGTTCCGGCTTTAGATATGTTGAGGATGAATCCTAGTTGCACTTCCTGAGAATTTGCTGTGATTTTTTATTAATCGATTATTTATTAATTGTATCAATTTCGAATAAGTATATTAAAAAAAAAATATCTAATACAAAATATCTTTTTTTTTATACATGACTTATGAGTATGACTAATCAAGTGTTTCGATATTGTGACCGACGCGACACATTATTCAAAGCAATAATCTTTCAAAAATTATATTTATTTATTATGGTTATTATATTTTTATTGTAAGAGTATTATAATTTTTGTTTATGATTTTTTAAAAAGTAATCTGAAATATAAGGTTCTAATGAATATAATAATTATTATATACCTTATTTAATTATATTCATATAATATATTAATCCCCGCGTTAATATAATAATTATTATTTTAAAAACAAGTTTATAATTTCTTTTATTATCCAAAAATTAAGTTTAGTTTTCTTAATATCGTTTCCATGAGTCTGTGTTTTTCCATGAGTCATTCTTTGGCCTCACAAATCCCGATGGTGTACCAACAGGGATTGAACAAATTTTTTCAGCCTTGACCACTCGATAGAAAGAATGAATAGATTAAAATTAAACGCAAACAGAAAAATAATAGAAAACGATTTTTTGAGTACGGTTTCATTTTTCAGAAATGTATACTTATTTATCAGATATCGATTTGTTTTTTAAAAAAGTACACATTGTGATTATGTTAAGTAAAAAGAAATAATTTTTTTAAAAAAGTGTTATGTTCGTTGACAAAAAATGTCGTTACATAATATAACAGCATCTGACGCTCTAACTCATGCCAACAAACATGAATTTTGTACTGCGTTCGTCATATAATCTCATAATTGTTGTATTTATAATAAGGTCGAAATGACTAAATTAATTTTTTAACATATTATTAGGATATTGAGAAAGACTGTCGTACAGTCGAAACGTTTATCTTAACTTTTGTATAGTATGACGTAAATTAATAAATAAATTTTTCAATTAATAGCATATAAGCTCGTTAAGTTGGCCTTTTATTATATCACATATTTTAATTGTATACGAGCCGAAGTTTAATTTATAAAATATATATACTTATTTATCAGCTTATCTGCGGATTGATTTGAAATGTTTACCGAGAAAATTAAAAAAAAAAAAATATGAAAACCGACGAAAATCGTGCGCAGGAGTTATCTTATTGTTAGTGTGGTGCCTAATGATGACGCCTGCTTGTCGCAGGCACGTTAATGACCATCAGGGATTCTTTATTCTTTTAGAGTTGCGTCGTCTGGGGAAAAGGATTTCCCTTTCAATATATTAGGAATCAGATGAATCATTCGTAAGATAATTACACGCATCATTCGTAACCAAAGTTGTTAAGCTAATGAAGTCTTTAATGATCAATATATCGCCTATCAATTATTGTCGCTCACCTACCATATATCTGCAAAAGTATCGAGCATGTTTCCATACAATGAGATTTAATGACAATATTATTCATTTTCTGAAACAATTGAAAAATAAAATTATTAGTGACCTGAAATATTTCCTAAAAGCATATATATATATATATATATATATATATATATATTAAAGCAAACTAGACTTTTTCATTCGAAATAATTTATATAAAGGATACGTTTTGTTCTTCACCACTTATATTAATATTTTTTAATTTTCTCTTTTAATTAAATAAAATTGTATTTTCAATTTTAAATTTTCTCTATGTTTATTCGCGCGCGCGCGCGAAAGTGTTCTCTTTACACAAAAATATTTTATCTCAAATTTCAAAAATATTTTATCTCAAAACATCAGATACAATATTATACATATATCATGATAAGAAATAATTTTGTTTTATTTGATTGCAGACGCATGTTTCCATCCGTTCAGGTATCTGTCAAGGGTTTGAACAAGAATAGTCAATATTATGCAGTTTTGGAGATAGGACTAGCCTCTGATCGCCGTCACAAATATTGTGGAAATGGCGAGGGAAATGATAACGCGGAAAAAAGGAACGAGAATAAAAGCAATATTCGGGGCTGGAGTAGTGCCGGACAAGCTGAGTCACAATCTCCATTTGAGCGCAGAATGTTTTTTCATCCTGAAAATCCAGCGACAGGCGAGTACTGGATGCAAAATTCAATCAGCTTTAGCAAACTGAAACTTACGAACAACGTCAGTGATCCTGGCAATAACGTAAGTAATATGCATATAATAAAAATCCATTAGTAGAAATAAATGAAAATTTTGCTTCTATTTTCAGCTTCAATTTTCTTACATTTACTAATTTTATATATATATTTGATCTCATATATAATATTCCGAAAAATATTTTAAAATATCGCTGAAACAGTCACTATATCTTTCTTCTCATTTATTAATTTTATTATTATATTAATTTTTTTAATTGGAGGTATATCTAAGTGATCACTAATCAAAATTCGTCAGACTTGATGATGGAGAAAATTTTTATACTTGATAATATCCACACTATCAATTCCATAAAAGATAAGATTAAAAAAAGTAGAAGAAAAGGAAGTATGCAAATTCAGCCTTCGTTTATCTAATCCTTCGATGTTTTGACAACCTTACTCTTATTTTCTTTACATCCTTATTTCCCCCCTATCAGCTCAGTATTGTATTTCTTCTTCGATTTGCCGGGTGTTCGCCACGTACCCTCCTGTTTTGTCCTTCAAGATTATCTCTTCATTTTACTTATCACTAATCAAGGGTTGCCATCATTAAAAAAAAATGTCAGCGATAATTATTATCTTAATGCATTGTAACCCAAGAAGTATAAAGTTTAAAATTGGTGATACTGGCAAGATATCTTTATAGCTATTTTTAAGATTTTTAAGCTATCATATCATAAGATTTCTTAAAGTTAGGGGTCGATTGTGTTGTAACTTTTTCTAAAGTAAAAATGTGAAAAGTGAAAAATTGTCTACCAATCACGCATTGATTTTAAAATGAAATCGATGTGTGATTGGAAGAAATTTTTCACTTTTCACACTTTCACTTTAGACAAAGTAATCGACCTCTTGTCTTAAAGCCCGTATCAGATTAGGATTGGGATTATTTTGAAATTTCAATCAGAGCAAAGTTTACAAGCTTGAGATTAGTTTTCTTAATTCTGATTTTCATAATATTCTATACCTATGTAAAACTAGCAGAAATTTAAATTGCAATAACTTTTAAATGAGTTAGTGAATTAAAAGCCAAATGTTAACAGTATAACTTTAGTATCAAAGTAGAAGCAATCTATATAATTTTTACAAATTTTGTATCATTTTTTGATGTCTCTCATACATCTTTAAGATATCTTTTGGCTATCGTATTATAAGATTTCTTAACACTATCTTAAAGATTTCTTAACAAGATCTTATGCGTCAATTTTGGACTTGGTGCTATCTAGGAAATTACTCTTTTCTTATGAAAATGTTTATCTCTTCGATAATATTTTTGCGACCACTATCCTCAAGAGATCGGCTCATAAAATGAAAGTGTAATACGAAAGCGTTATTTGGGTCAGGGATTAAAACCCTCTCGACAAAAGAAAAGAGAAAGGCTCGGGGGTGGACATACAGATTCTCTCCATGGGAACAATCTTTAAGCTAGAGACCGGTGCGAGACAGGTCGGTCAAGTCCATGGAAAACGAAGATTAACACGCTCCACGAAACCCTGTAATCGATATATATATATATATATACCTTGTATTTTTTACTCACTATGACCCTCTGCGAGGGTTTGTTTACGGGGCGCATGGCAAGATAACTCAAGCCGCCATCGTCGTCATCGCCGCTGTTAGGGAGATGCCGTTTTACGGTTTTGCGTCGGCTTTTGTCAACGATATACGATATTAAGAACGCGGCGGAAGAATGGCGGCGGCGCTCTTTGCCCTTCGTTATATCCTCATTCGAATCGATTCGTGCATGAAACACGTCGCATTTAATCCTCAAACGCGGCGGCGAGTACAAAACAAGGTATTTGCATTGTTACGCGGTTATCTCAATTTTGGCACCTTTTCCAGTTTTTCAAAGCGGCAAATATACGAGATATGATCTGATCTAAGGGAGTCTAATCTAAACGGTGAAAAGCGATTAGATACCTATAAATGCAAATTAAGCATCGATAGATATCTTGAATTAAAAGCCAAATTGCAGAATTTTTATGATCATATAATTTTCAGAAAGCGTAAATTAATAGATAACAAAACTTTTCTTCTCCGCTAATTTCAAGCGGAATTTATATTTTGTGCAAGGGCTGATTATACAAAAATACATTATATAATACTAAAAATTTTTTTTAATACAAATGTTCTAAAATCTCCGAAACGGGTCTGCTTTGTGCAATAATTTATTATAGTTTTGCTTAAAAATAAAATTGTTTAAATATAAATAAATGTAATCGTAGTAAGTCAAGACTCTTATTAAATTATAATAAATTTGATAAAAGGCTGTTAAGAGCAATAAATATAAAAATTCAAATTATGTTTGTGTGTGAAAGTGAAGTCATATATAAAGATAATATTCTAGTAAGATTCAAAGGAGGAATTAATTTAAAAAAATGTTTGATATATAAAACAATATATTATGTATATATATATATATAATTAATAAAATATCTGATAAATGCATTAAAAAAATTACCTTATCAAATAATGCAAGTTATATTTCAAAATACGCAACAGATCAAATATTCAAGTGATGCATCGCTCTAGATTCATATGAGAGATCCTCGGTGATACATATGATTCTGAGAAGGTTGGTAGGGCCAGTCTGGTTTTCAGGAATTGCGTCTGTGTCTGCGTCGGTCGGCCTCTTTAGTGAGGCGCCAAGTTTATCTCGAAAAAGCGGCGCCCTTTTACACGGTTCTTCAAACTAATTACGAATTTAAGAAAATTCTCGACGTTCATCGTTCCAACCCACCCCTTCCTTAACTAATAGAAAGGGTCTTTTCTTTTCTGTCTTAGGATTATGTTATTCCCAATAATGCAAGCTACATAACAACATGATCTTTTTTGTGTATTTATGGTTGTAGATAAAAGTTTGATTTTTTAAAGAATATATACCCTTCCTCAGGTAGTAAACTGACATTATTAAATGTCAAAATGACGTCATTGACGTCAAAATGATGTACGCTTATTACCTGGGTAGATGTGTTTTGAAATTATACCTAATCTTTTCAGAATTATCTTCAGATCAGATCATTTTAAATTGAACGCAATTTAAAAATAATATTTTATACTATCGACATGCTTAATAAAATCACAATTTTGTTTTTTATATAATTGAGTGAATTTATTCTCAAACTCCATCAATCTTGAAATTTTGATCATATTTTATCGCATATAATTTTTATTCCTAATTATCTTATATATATTTTTTAAAATATAGAGTTTATTCTTTCTGTATATCATTAATCTTCTGAATATCGATAGAAAAATTTATATTTACAGGTGGTACTAACCTCGATGCATAAGTACATTCCTAAGATTTGGCTAATTAGTTGTATCAAGCCTGCGAAAACTCTGAACGAGCTCTTTTCCTATCCAGCCTCGGTTTTTACTTTCAAGGAGACTGAATTTATCGCAGTAACAGCCTATCAGGTACTTGTAAAAAAGATTCAAAATTATTTTTATATTTATTATATAATATTATAAATATTTAAATATAATTTATATTTTTTATATTTGTCTTTATATTATTTCTCTCATATCGAGTATTACTGTTCGCAAAAGTTGCAAAGTTTCTCTCTGCGTCGTTTTCTCGAAAAAATTATATTTAATGAACACTTTCGTCTTCATCATCATCTACAGAACGGGAACATCACGAAACTGAAGATTGATAATAATCCGTTCGCGAAGGGATTCCGCGAAACGGGATCCTCGCGATGCAAGCGTAAGCATAATCAACTGAGCCAATCAGAAGATGAGAGCAACACAGATTCGTCCGAGTCGAGTCCTGGCGCGAATAATTTGGACGACTTGAAGAAATCGCCGAAGGTACCTAAAATAGCAAATTCTGACGATGACGATGACAAGCAATCGATTGCTGAGGATCAGAGATTAACCGCGACACCGGAAAGCACTGATCATGAATCATCCGAGGTATCATCCACTTTTTACAGACCTTGGTTAAATACGCGCGCAAAACCTTTGGAACCGATACCACAAGTATCGATGGTACCATCGGCACCATCGTTGTCGGAAGTTCGCTATATAAAATGGTTCCGATCTAATTTAACTTATTATTTGCAATCCTTGTCATTGGTTGAGCAAGAAGCCTGCTTGAACTATTATCGGTGTTACTACCCGATATTATTACCCGATTTTTATGTCAGACGACTATAATTTCTATGATTGCTTGTTGTTTTAATTATTCTTGTGATTTTGCTGAAGTTAATTGCATTTTAGACGCAAAGGATAATTGTTTATATATATATATAATTGTGTAAATAAATAATCGATGAATTAAACCTGAAAAACTACCAAAAAATTTTTTATTTGAAATATGATAAAAAAGTAAAGTTAAATTAAACTTTTTATTGTCAGATAACTCCAGATATTAACATGGAATACATCTAATAAATTATATTATTTTGATTTCAAATTAATTTTATGACGATTAATGTGATTATTAGACTATTTTAAGTTCACAGATATTCACGCATTCGTAAACCAAAGATTATTTATAAATAATACTTATTCACACACACACAGACACACACACACATATTTTATTCTGATAATACTATAGTAAACTTAAAGTTTATTTTACATGTGATTTAAAGTTAAAGAATTCAGGTTTAATGTGACAAAATTTAATAATTTAATTGCTATAACTTTTTATATAATATGTAAAATATTTCGATATGAAAAGTTGTAGCAATGAATTATAATTTCTATATGTATGTCATAGTTCCTATGTGTGTTATTATTAAGATTTATTAGTTATTAATAAAATAAATTATAAATTAAGATTTATAATTTATAGTTTATATTTTTAAGTTTGATGACCAAAATAAATAAAATTTAATTAAATTTTTAACACTATAGTAACTTTATGATTTGTTATTAACAAATATAAGTTTAATGATTTGAATAAAAGTTAAGAAAAATCCTAATCTTATTTACATTTATAAGAGAGAGAATTAAGACATAAAATAATTTCTTTCGGTGCTTTTTTTTATATGAAACTCATCGAAGAAATATATTGTGATAACAATCATGTTTGGCTTATAATAGATATGGATTAAATAAAAATAAAATAAGCAACAAACGAACAATGAATGCATATTTTCGGAATCTTGTTTATTCATTTTATTATTTGCAATCCTTGCTATTGATTAAGTAAGAAACCTTTTATTGAGATATTATCGGTGTTACCACCCGATATTATTACCTGATTTTTATATTAGAGGATTATAATTTCTATGATCGATTGTTGTTTTAATTATTCTTGTGATTTGATTGAAATTAATTGCATTTTATTAGATACAAAGCATAATTTTTGTCGTGTTCGAAGTGCATATATTTGTATATGATTAAATAATAATAATTCTTAATTCCGATTGGAACGCAAGATTATTTTTTATAGAATATTTTTTATTGATATAAAATTATATATAGCATTATTTATATTCAAAGAATTTTCTACTCACAAAGTGCCTAATAAAGTGCCTTATGCTTGTTCAATATATTCATTATTTCTAGACTGTAATATTACAATATTATATATTATATATATTATATATTATAATAATATTGTAATATTATTTTAAGTAAGATTATTTTTTATATTAAAATTATATCTCTATATACATTTTTGGTTTTATTTAAAAAATTTTTTAATTTTATTTTTTTCAAGTTCTTAATTCCGAAACTTTAGAATTGCTGCTTGCATTCGTTGTTAGTTTGCTCAATATATATCCAATTGTATGTGTACAGTGCGTTCAGTTTACCGCATATATACATATACATATATATATATATATATATATATATATATATATATATGCTATCACTGTATATTACAATTTAATATCACCAAAGAGATATTACATACACACACACACACATATATATATACACATATATATATATATATATTATTATAATAATCTAATATATAATATTACAATATTATATATTATATATTATAATAGTATTGTAATATTATTTTAAGTAAGATTATTTTTTATATTAAAATATATATATATATATATATATATATATATATATTTATCTATATAGCATTTACACTCAACATGAGATGAACTGCGATATTAGTGCCTGTAATATAAGTGCCTTACATGCTTGTTCGACACTGTAAAAAAAATTTGTTAACTTGATTAAACCTTTCAACTAAATCACTATTTTGTTAATTGAACATATATTAGTATTTCAAATATGTTTTGATAGATTTAATATGTTACAGTTAATTTAAATATTTTTATATGTTCAATTAACAAAATAATATTTAGTTGAAAGGTTTAGTCAAATTAACAAATTTTTTTTACAGTGAATATACTCTCTTTAGGCTGTACCTTTTGTACCTTAGAGGACAGTCATTTAAATACATATATGTATATATATATATATATATATATATATATATATATATATATATATATATAATCGATAATGTATGCTCAATGAATTTAATACGCACATTGTATATTAGTTATTTGCAACAAGTGATAATACTTTTACAGTATTATCATTTGGGTACTTATTAGCTTTCTTTTCACTTTTCAGGATAAATCTTTTTATATCTACTGAATCTTCTTACCAATGTCAAGATTTCCAACATTAAAAAAATATTATTAAATTCGAATAAACATTTATTTCAATAACAATATAAATCATTTATATGAAACAATAATATGGATTTAATGTGAAAAATATTTATTTGATATAAGAAATTTTTTTTCAAAACAGATAAATATTTTCTTTGTTTAAAATAAATGATTTATTAGGCAGTATTGAAATAAATATTTATTAATTTTCTCTTTCCTGCCTATTGATTTGTAATTAAAATCAAAAGGAAAATATAATTCACGGATTATAATATTTAAAATTAAATTTGTCGATTGTTTGACATGACAGATTTCGATCGAATAAATCTTGCGATAAACAATACGTAATACATTATAAGAAAATGTACGAATATACAAATTAAATTTGTTGTTACCGCGAAATATTATAATGCATAGAATAAATTTGTGCAAAATATTTTGTCTTTGAATTTCAATTTAAAATTATTCTTATATACTAATTATGCGTTTAATTTTATACATACTTTAATTGATCTTGCAATTTTATTATGCGATCTCAATCTGAATGATAAATTATTACATTTAGATCAGCGAAAATTTTATTTATTGGACGAAATATATATATATATATATTTGATTCTGAAGAAAGTATCGTTCGAAAAATAATTATTGTCAAAGATTATTGTAAGCGAATCGTAATAAAGTGATTTTATACTTTTGTATCACTTTACAAAATAATTTTTATAAAAAGATTTTATAATTTTTATCCCTTCCGCTTTATATATATTTGATTGCATTTTAAAAAATATTTTTAGATTATGTGTAACTCTATTAAAAATATATATATATATATATATATATATATAATTGACATTTTATTATATTTTTGTTATTTTTACTTTTCTAGAATTGTTCCGTTCTTAACTTTTCTCGCTGTGCTATTATTTGATGTTTCCATAGTAGGAATATTAATAATATAATTGACATTTTATTATATTTTTGTTATTTTTACTTTTCTAGAATTGTTCCGTTCTTAACTTTTCTCGCTGTGCTATTATTTAATGTTTCCATAGTAGGAATTAATCCTATTTAAGCGATTTTCTGACTTCTTTGTGTTCTTATTTGTTTAGGATACATTTTTTGCTTTCTAAAATCGTAAAATACAATAAATCACTTTCTCCTCTCTTGTCACTAGACAACTTCCCACGTCTGTCGCGTCGATCTTGAAATGCACTATCTGTGACGCAGTAGCACAGTACGAGTGCAAGTCGAGGAGTAGATTATGTCTCGCCTGTTTGTCGCCGATCCCGACGATTCCGTTGACTCACGAACCTTGAAACACTTCTGCATAGATCATCAGTGAGGCGCCAAGTCGAGACGTAATTACTCGACATCGTCTCGATTAATTGAAACACAAATTCCGACTACTGAAATGAAAAGTGTCAAAAATGATCTCTCATGGTATGTTTTACATAAAAATTGAAAAATGAAGTATAAGCGAAATTTTACTAATATCAGCCATATGTTGCAGATATTCAGATATTTATCCTTTTTACATGCATGTTCATTATTTCTTAGTACAGAAAATTATCTCTTTTAATTTTGGTAATTAATTATAAACTTGAAAAAAATTTAAATTAATTTTAAACTAATTATTGTTCAAATTATTTGTTAATACATATCTTTTAGTATAAGCAATATATATCTCATAAATAGTATAAAAATTTGTAATATTTAAGTTATTCAAGAGTAAAGATATACTTTGATAGTTCCTCGTTAAGCCTGCAAGAAAATTCCGATTAGGATTAGAACGCAAATTCGCGTTTAAGAAAATTCCAGCAGTGTATGCGAAATGTAGCGAGACACTCGATCGATCGATCATTATTGTCATGACTCTGTTCGCCGACGCTTATGTTAGTGGAGCGTGTAACGGTATGGATCGCCGGATATATTACAAACCTAAGATTTTTCCGGAACACGGCGCACTGCGTCTGAATACATAATCGGCGACCCCGGCATTCTCAGATCATTTTGTGATGCACGCCACCCGGTACCGTAAGAAGGTCTTAATTCATACAAACACACGTGTATATATGTATAAGCATCTCAGTCACCCGTCAATATAAATTATAATTTCTTTCCAAACAAAACGTATATAAAATATATATAGATAACTTTCCTAAATAATATATAAAATTTTGTCTTATCTGCTAATCGTTTCATGTGTATGATTTTTTATTAATATAAATAGATATAAAGATATTTTATAATAATACTATATGTATGTACATATATGAAGATAACTCTATGAAAGAAAAAGAGAAAGAGAGAGAAAAAGATGTTATACAATTTTAATAATATATTAACAATATTTATTTGTCAACAAATAAATTTAATATAATCAGTAATAATATAATTTTATAATTATATATTGCTATATTATATTATTATTAAAAATTCTTTTCTTAATTAATACGTCTCGGCCGTCTTAAGTCAAGCTCCATGTTCAAGGATTTGGTGAATTTCGAACGTTTCGTCACGTTATCGTACTTTACGTCGTTCTCTCCTATATCTTCGTTATTACTCATCAATTCCGGCACGCAACATCTCTCGTCGCCGCGGCCGTTCCAGTATTTCGGGCAATACGGCGGATTGGTTTCGCTGAAGCAGAAGGACCCTCTGATATTGACCGGGGTGTGCTGGCCCATCTTCACGTACTCCCCTGCTCTAGCGGCGATCCTCGGACCCGAGGGACACCTCCTGGAGCAGGACTCGGCCATCATACTCGCCCCGTCGATGCTCTGCGCCATGAAGCAAATGGACCACACGTGGCTGCACAGATGGAACATCTCCCTGTCCTGACAGAAAGGTTGCACCTTGCCGCCGTTCACGCAGAAGTCCACGTGACCCACCCGGCCGACCTCGCCGTAATATCCGGCGTTGGTGTGGATCACTTCCACGAAGTCGGCGTCACCGGCGTCCAAACGGTTCATCAAACCCGGTCGGACGAGCGGACGAGCCGGGTCCAAGCCAATTATTCTATTATTCGTAATTTTATCACATTTATATACATTTTTTTATAGAGGTTGTTGATCAGATTTTGGGTCCGTCTAGTTGAATCTTCTTCAAAATTGACTATAATCGTTCACATTTTTTCAGAACACTACTAATGAGAAACGAATCGAAAGAGTACAAGATATGAAGAAATATTGACAGATCAATAGGTACATTATTTATTAATTCATTAATTTCAGAAACAAATATTTAACTTATATATATATAAAAGGTACATAATCTTTTTTGTCATCACACAGAAATTAAGAGTAGGCTTAATATTTTCTCTCTCTCTCTCTTTCTGAACAAAATCAAATTGTAAAGCTTTAAATTAAAACGCTGACATGCGAAATTATTATTGTATAAGATGAAGAAGAAATCTTACCTGTGCATCCTGAAGAGCAGATAATTGGCCATGACGCCGCAGACGTGAGCGCCTAAGGAATGTCCTATGCAAGTGGTCCTCGCGATCGGCAGTCCAAGGTTTCTCAAGACTGTCAAAGTTCCGGCAAGACACCTCGCTACCGGTCGTACATTCTCCACTGCTGCTGGATAACATGGCCGTGCGCCTAACGCACCCCAATCGACCAGGAACACGTTGTAGCTGCCGTTCCTCAGGTAAGCATCGCGCAGAATCGCGATTGGCAACGTATCATCACCACCTGCACGGATTATATATAATTAATATAAAAATTAAAAGACTGGGAAAAAGTAAATTACAACCGCTTAAAACAGTGACTGTAAGGACGTCTAAAGAGTGCTCAAATATTCAGATATCCCCAAAAATTGTTTGGGAAATTATTTATTTTTGTCTCATATTTCTTTGTTCGAATCTAATTTAATATTATAAGAATATTCGTGTAACATAATATTATATTATTATTTGATTGTAATATAATATTATTTCTTGATTGTAAGGACATTTAAAGAATATTTTAATATTTAGATGTCCTCAAAAATGTTTGGAAAATGTTCAATTAAAATTGTCTCATATTTCTTTATTCAAATCTAATTGGATGTTAATTCGAATATTCGAACTTGATTATAAGGACATTTAAAGAAAATACTCTGATATTCAGATAAACCCTCAAAAATAGTTGATAAAATTTTCAATTAAGTTCATCTGATCATTTTTCATCCAAACCCAATCTCTAATCCCAGATAACACAAGCTATTGAAAAAGAATTAATTTGTATGTCATCAATTTCGAGTCCCTTTTCTATCTATCTAATTCTATCTATATTTGAAAAGGAACTCGAAATTGATAACGTATAAGGTGACATACAAATGAATTCTTTTCGAATAGCTGTGCTATTTGGGATCGTAGCAAAACTATTCCTCCAAGAGCTTCACCTGCATATCCGTGAATCAGGATGACGTTATCCCTGGCGGGCTCGTAATCCTGCCGCAACCAGTCGGACTGTTCCGCGGGATCCAGCGTACGTCTCGGTCGGCCCGGCGTGTAGAGACGCACATGCACATCGGGATCGGGACAGACGTCCCGATCGTTTCCTCGCCTCCAGACGCAGTCGTCCTTGTTGTACTCGGCGGCGGCGCCGCTCTCGATGGCATCGCGAATCGGCCCTTCGCGTCTCATTTCCCGCCAGGCGATGATGTGGCCGCATCCTCGCGCGACCAGGAACGCGAGGACCGTCAGAAGCGCGCGCATATCTCTCGGGGATGTCTCTGCGAGCCGTACGTTTCGGGAACTGATGATGATCGAGACTCGCGGTTGACTTTGCCACCCGGGTGTACCGTTTTGCCGATCTCTCTCTCTCTCTTTCTCTCTCTCTCTCTCTCTGTCGCTTTAAAGGTCTCCCTTCCTTTGAACCTTCCCCACCTGGTTGGTAACCCACCGCGTCGTCACCGGATGACTAGAAGTATTTTGGTCACTGGTATCGGATTTATTCTTCCGCGAGCGTTGACAACTCCGTTCGATATACCAAATTGAATCTTTTCTCGCGGGAGAATGCGCGCACGCGGAAGGAGTCCTCGAACTTTTGACCTTGATTTCGAAGGTGGCAGAGTTTCTGGCTTTCATCACTTAATTTCCGTATACATCAAATCATTTTTAGTATATTATATTATTGTCAGATGGATAATACACATATTTATATATAGAGTGAAAAGTAGTGTGTTGGATATATTTTTAAAATCTGTGATAAAAATCTATCTAATATTTATGCTTATTAGAAAAATTTTGCAATCAAATTCGAATGCAGGGAGTCTTTTTTTAGATTGATATATAATAATTATCATACGATAAGAATTTGGGATATCCTGTACGTTTTCATTCAGGAAAAGAAAACAATCATGTAGGACTTATATTTGCATACGTGAAAACTGGATTAAAGAACCTGTTGTCTCTTCCTAGTAGTATAATTGACCAAAAACTTGACCTTGAATAATTTCGCAACCCTAATCCATGTAGAAATTATGTATATATACAGACATAATGCGAGAGACAGACATTTCATCATCACAGAGAAAAGCGGAATAATAATCACGGCAATAGCTTTCGATGAATGAAGCGTGACATAACGTCTGAATAAATTTTAATAATCGAGATGCAAGTGTGCCATCTATTTATATAAGTCCGAGATTTATTCTTATATCATCTAATAAATATAATTTTAACGCATTAATGATTTTTTTATTGTACATGTAAATGTAAAAAAAATAAAATAGTATACAATTTACTTATATTTATACATATTATGTAATATACGAAGAAACGAATTTACGATAAAATAAAATAAAAGAAATTTCAAATTTTATCTGGTCAAAAAATTTTAAGACATTTGATATGACAAAATATTTTGTATGGATAAAGCGTTAAGTAAACATCGAAAAGTTAAATCCGATGCATCGAATGCTCTGTTCCGAACATATTTTCATTTCCCGAAAACAGAACGATAAGATATTTTCACAAATACAAGATACCTTGATTTCTGATTAAGCAGTTTGTTGAAGATACACAAAACGTTTAAAATATAGCACCTATCATATAATTGTATTATGGATTTTATCTTCTTGAAGAATGTAATATATACACTACATATTTTTATACATAATATCAAGTCAGATGTTTCTTCTTAACAAGACACATCAAATGCAAAACAAACATATGTAATATCGAGCAATTTAATCATTTATCAAGTAATGACAATAAAAGTATACTCATATATACACATTTTATATATTTGTTATATATAATAAATTATAGAATATTATTATAATCGCATAGTCTGACACATAAGGTAAATTATGGTGAAACCGCGTAAGCAAAGCTTGAAATAGGTAAAATTTCCTTTTATATGTGCTAGACATATATGTAAGTAGGGCGAAATTATAGGGGTAGCGATACAGCCTATCTCCGGTGATGTGTTAGAAAATAATGTATAAAAGTATGGTAAACGATATCGTTACGACTTTAAATTTCACCAGATTTGGAAATGAAGTGGAGACAAATCGCTATTACGTTCAAAATCCCAAACCGCAGTGCTATTAAGAGGTTTCAGTCTAATTGAGCAATCTCTTCTAGCGGAAATCGAGGACATTCTTTGTTGCGATATATCGCCAAGAAATATTTAACACTTGTCACGTTCCCTTGCCAAATCAATTCAATATATCGAGCACAAATAACAACGGTATCATATCCATTTAAGTCAGACTTTAGAACTGATTCGCATATATATGCGATATTTAAAAAAATTATGTTTAAATATTACATGTACAATTAATGTATACATATTAGATATCATTTTGAAACAATATAAATTTTCAGATATATTATTTTATTGTGTTGTGTCAATTTTAATTACCTCTTATATTATATTGAGATTATTCGCTGTATTAAAATATATTTTTATGCTGTGAATAATATGATTTTAATATATAAGAAATATTTAAAATTGACAATTATATAAAATTCTTACATGTGTATTTATTTGAAAATGTAAAAAGATAAGCAAGATTTATTTGCTTAAATAAAAATAAGATATCTGAAGTTTTGATTGCGTCAAAAAATATCTAATAATATTATAGAAACCTGTAAAATATTAATATTCTAATTTTTTTCTGCAAACAAATTCTTCTAATTCTCCTAAAATTTCCTTAAAAAAATTTAACTTTAAATTAATTTTGTGAATGAAAAGATGACAATTTGACAGTTCCTTGACATCAATAACAAATCGTTGTACATATATACATTTTACTAAAACTTGTAACTTGTAACCGCTTTCAAAATTAGTACCTCATACATTAACGAAAAAATGATTTTCTTCTAATTGCATTGCAAACAAAATTTACATTAATTATCATGTAATTATACATGAAAAGTAAATATAAGTTATCGAATCAAGGCACGTAATACAATATTAAATTTTTTTAAATAGAAAATGAAAAGCATCATAATTTGCACTAAATATAATTTTAACTGTTTCGTAAAACAATTTTTATTAAATATTATTATTATATTCTATTATATATATATATATATATAGAAATAAATATAAAAAAATATAATTTTCTAAAATAGAGTGAGTTCGAAATTTCTATTTCTACGTATTCTTTAACTGTATATTTTGAAATCAAAATGTTCTCTACGGAAATAAGAATCATTAATACTTATGAATTGCAGAAATGGTTTAAGATGAAAAGGCTTTTCAACAGTAATGTCTCGCATTATGCAAATTATGTATTGCGACAGTTGTTTTCGGCAGTACACGTGTTATTTTGTACTCGTAATAACCACTTTCTTCTTATAATCTTTATTTACACATATTTTCATATACCAGGAAAAGCAATATATATCCTATTTTAAATATTTCAAAAAATTTTTAATAATAATGAAGCTATAATTAAAGTTTACAAAAATATATAATACACGACTAAAAACAAACACATGTAATGAATTGTGTAATAATAATGGCACAAAATGTAATAAAAAATTAATTTTTTTTTTAAATATTAAAGTTAACAACTAGACTGAAAATTGTAAAAAATAATTTTGCTCGTTCAAATCTTTGTGAAAAATATCTAAATTTCGAATTTTTCGTGCTGATTTGTCATAGACTATATGTATGTATATATCTTATTTATCTAATATTATCTTTTTTTTTGCACAAAGGAAAATGCAGTCGGTTATTATAGATATATGATACATATCCGTGTACCACCGAAAAGGACTGCCGCAATATTTGCGTAACGCAAAACGCAACGATCGGATCCGGTATTTGAAGTGAAAGTTTAAAACCTCCTAGATCTTCGTTAACTTACTATAGAGAGAAAGTCTCGTCAATTTGAATCTTGGAATAAATTGACAAAAAAATTCTCCCTCTTTCTCTGTCAAAATTAAATGAAAAAATATGGCTATTTACATTAAGAAATTAAAAGAAGCTTTTATAGAAATTTTCGCATAATATATGTATATATTTACAATTGATAAAAACTCCAGCATGATAAATTATAACTTGAACAAGTAATTTTTTTAGTTATGTCTATACATGAAATATTTGATCAATATAAATTTAATCTTTCGATTAAAAACTATAACATTAGATTCGACCATAATTTATTTCGGTTCTTTAAATTAAATTTTATTAACAATTCTTTCGACACAACAACAAAATAAAATTAGAATGCAATAGATTGATTAAAATAGTCAATGCTTTCATTATTATAAAAAAATTAATGGCATGAAATATATGATAGGATGATGGTAACTGTTACATTAATCACAAGCAAATGTGTTTTATTTATAATAATCAATCACAATAAATCACAATAAGCTTTTCAAAAAACACAGCTCTAAAATATTACAAACAGGTATGTTTAACTGAGCACACATAGATACGCGATAAGAATAAGTGTTGATTCACATTATGGGACAATAATCTGTGTGACATACAAAATATTCTTCTATAAACATGAACATATTTGTTCTTACTATGCATCTTTTAAGATTGCAAGTTTAATATATAAATGTGTTTTCGCACATATATATTACAAAAGAATATTTTGTTGTATATCATATAATGTGTGAATCTTTATCTTTATATAACTTATGTTTGGCCACAAATTTGCTGTCCGGAAGTACGAGTAAGTATACATTACATAAAAGTCAGTTCAAAAAAGTTCAGCAACTCAGACAAACATATAGAAATCTTTCAGCAAACAGAATGTTTGCGCACAGTGACTAAAAAAACTTATAATCTGATTCAGTTTTATCCCTCATTAATATTACAACTGATTGTCAACGACAGATAGTCGATAAGATGTCAACATAAATGCATGGCTAAAAAAAAAATGCTTAATGCAGTTTCAATGATTTTGATTACATAAAAATAATGGCATTGTTAGCTCTCGTAGATATACCATCATATGAAGACCCATCAATTCTATACAGAATGAAAAAAAATTTACATACAATAACTGTCCTAATAGCCTATGTACAGAAGAAAATAAACAATTTTGAATAATCGGGATATAGTGCGTTCCATGTGGAAACATGCTAACATTAAATCTATACATATTTATTTAACAGCTAGATTCTGTAATCTAGAACTGACAGCATTGGTAATCTGTTCTTTATTTACATCTGCGATCTTTCCGGTATTAGCCGGAGACGAGCCTAATCTAGCACATGCCTTTTTGTGCATAAACCAGTGCAATCTCTGACACTCCCTGTCACAATATTGCACCGCTTTGCATTTGCTACACTTTTTGGTAGCTTTGTGTTCGCCGCAAGTCACACAATTCAGGGCATCAGGGAAGCCTCGTTGCCCATTAATCGCAGCAGAAACTACAGAGACAGCGGACGGTGGATCTGAACTAGCCAACGTAGCAACCATTTGGCGAAAAATTGTACTTTCTCTGAATGGAAACTCTCTTACGCACTCTCTCAAAAATGCCTCCTGGTACTCTGGTAAGCCGTCACTCTTGCTGCACTTGAGGAATCTTCGTACCAAAAGTTCTACAGTGTCAGATTTCTTTTCTTCGCTCTCCTCATTTCCGCTTTTCTCCGCTTTCATAGCTTCTTGTCGTTTCTGACATTTCAACACTTCGGCCACAACACAACTGAGATAATGATACTTGAAAGCCATCACTTCATTCGTTTCAGCGCCTCGTGTCATTTCTCTGTAGCGCAGAGATTCCAATACTTTTTGTATCTAAAAAAATAAGTAATAATAATAAAGTAACCATTATCTTCACAAAAAATATTTTAATATGTCAAATAAAGTATATGTTACATTTAATGTCTCATTATGTTCTTTTCTCTCTTACATTGTAATTTACTTACTTTTGCTGCATTTTCCAGTAGTGCAGGAAGTCTCTGCAAATTCATACATACGCGTACAGGATTTACATTAACTTGCATTATAAACTGATGAAAGCATTCTGCTAAATGTGGCGGTAGCATGGGTTCAGTTTGCAAACCCTGCGGCTTAATAAAATAATCTATATCGGCCTTCGGAATAAAATTGTTGATAGTCGCTACACAATTGTGATTTCCCACAAACGCCGCCATTTGGGCTGCTGTTCTGCCAACACTGTTTGTGGCTGTTAAGCGTGCACCGTATGACATTAAAATGTGACACAATTCAGCGTTGCCACTTAAAGCGGCGAAATGAAGAGCAGTATACGCATGTTCATGTTGACACGCATTTACATCTGCTCCCTATAAATAATAGTTATACTTTGTCATATTATTCTTTTGGGCAAAGTCGTGCACAAACATGCATTTGATCGAATTCCGAAAGAAAAAGGATCCAAAAAAAGCATACATATATACATATATATATATATATATATATATATATATATATAATATATATTATATATATATATGTATATATGTATGCTTTTTTTGGATCCTTTTTCTATATATATATTCTATATATATATATATATATATATATATTATATCGTTAAGAGAATACACTTGAATGTAATAAAACAATTTACACGACGTAGAGACGTAACTTTTATTGACACAAGACTTTATCAGTAGAATCAACACACAGCAAGACATAACCTACCTGATCGAGGAGCATCTGCACGATTTCATTGTTTCCCTTGTAACAGGCATGTTGGAGCGGACTCATGCCATTCTCGTCGACGAAGTCTATCTTGAGTTTGTTCTGCGCCAATAGTGCTTTCAGTTCGGATACCTCATTGCGGCTGATTTTTGTAAAAATATCCCTCTGCAAATCCGTGAAACCTTCCGTAGCGGGCGCCATGTTGTTGTCGAATGTGAAGCTCGTTAGGAATCGACTAATCGATATTTATCGATTTATCGACCGATTCAAAATTTGAAAGAAAAGATTTTTCCTTTCACTATATAGTTCGATTAATAATCAATTTTGCGTAAATTTTGTGCGATTGTTAATAATAAAAAATTATATTCGACGTAAAAAGAAGACTCAAGTTGTTAACAGCTGTAGATAAAGGATACAATTTTCGTATAATTAAAATGAAGTAAATAATGTTTGAAAATATAAATGCTTGTTAGATAAGATTAGAATATTTATAATATTCGGCGGAGATTTAAATATTTATTTTTGTAGTTTTATTTTATTAATATTTATCATTAATATTAATTTATTTTAATTTTTTTAATTTTTTAAAATCTTTATCAATCTATAAAGATAAAATTAATAATTATTAATAACTGTGTAAATATTTTGAAATTTTGTAACAATTATTAGCATATTGCTATTTAAATCTACCGTAAATTATTCACGAATTATAAACAATTTAAAATAAAATAATATTAATTTTCTTGGCAATTTGAAATTAAATATACTGCTTTAAACTCGACTTTAATTACGGTAGTTAACTAAGCTTTTAATTGCGATATTTAACTAGAAATCTAATGTGCGATAAAAATACCAATTTCTAAGAAAAAATGAAATCTCTCTCAAAAGAAAATTATATATATAATTATTTAAAAAATTTTTTTTTCGTAGAGACGGAGTAGAAAATACGAATGGTGCTAAAACAATCTGCGACTGTGAGTTAACGGAAATAGCACTGACAGCATTTTGTTAATTAGTGACGGCTCTTCGTTACGAGATAATTTCGTTTAATACAAAGCGTGACGAGTCGTGCGATTACGATGTTGAAGCGGTTTCTTCTCCGCGTTCGCGAGAATTGAGTAAACATCGCGTGGGTGTTTTAAAGTGTTCGCACACTTCGGCGGAAACAAGGTTTATTACCAAGAGAATATATATATATACGTACGATAAGAAAAGGGAAAAAAATATCAAGAATGATGATAGTTCACACTTTAAAACATAAGTAAATATAAAAAGAATTTATCTATTTTTTTCCACACAAAAATGTTAGAAAAAATGTTTTTCTACCAAAATTCATTTTCGAAAGAAGATAAATGTTTTATTCGGACTGAAGGTGTCTTGGAAAATAAATACCTTTTTTATTTCACACTTGACATTTCCTTCGCTCGATACGATGTAAAACTTTTAAAAGCCCGGTTTCGAAATAAAAATGCTTCGTATATGACAAATATAATAAATATTCGATGTATACATATTTCTTTCATGTAGATGAGTCTTCTTCGTCTTTTACTCGAAAGAGTGACAATTGAGCTACGCTATTCCTTTTTTTTTTAGAGAACGAAATTTTATTCGACAAAATCACATCCTTACATGCGTAACGCTACGTCGCCGCTGCGGGTTTATAGCTAATCAGGGTCGAGCTGGCCCCGAAGCCGCGGCTGCAAGCAGTCTTCGACGGATTGCGACGCGCAGCGTAAGGAAGAAAATGCACACGTCAAAATCAATTACTTTGCACCGAGTTCAGTTTCGAAAGAACGCACAGGCACACAAAATGCCAATCTACACAGCGGAAGAATTCTGCAAAGAAGAGATACACATATATAAGTGAGAGATCTCGAGCTGTCAGATCGACCACTTCTCATCCACTTCTTCCATCATTTCGCCGAAGGCGAAAGTTTCCTCCTCATTTCTCTTCGTAATAAATTTACATTTCTTTATATAAACATATATATATATGTATATAATTAATATACTTATTTTATATCATATTATAATGCCCTAAGCTCACAGTCATGGCCATCATCTTGGTATAAGAGCAAATAAATTATTATTTATTATTATCGACTAATAGATAATTAATGATTTTCCCGCCTACGTAATCCAGGCAGGTATAAAGAAAAATACTATATTTATTTCTAACTTTACGCGTTAAATAATAATAATAAAGCATTTTAATCTCTCTCTCTCACTATATCGACTATGTTAATATAATTAATATATAGCGTTAATACAGCATCAATTAAATAAATATAATTACTAACTACTGAAGCATAAATTAGAGAGTGCTGTGCGACAATATTATCGTAATTGAAAGCGGTGCAAAATTTTCTTCAACGTGTGCAATTGTATTAAAATATCGACGGATGCCAGTCCAATATGGCTCTTGGGCGGGCATAATCGCCAATAATGGAAAAGGAGAAGGAGGGAAGATTTTACCCAAATACCGACGTGATTTTTTTGTCGCATAAACTTACTGAAAAAAATTCCCCACCGTGAAGGAAATCGCTTCAATAAGTGTTGACAAGGCCCGAGCTGCTACCTATGGCTGCGGTAGCAACTTGGATGCGCAATGTGTATAAATACATACATATATATATGTAAATGCATTTATAAATATATATATATATATGTATTTATTAAATACATATGTATTTATATATAAATATATTTATATATAAATATTAATAAATTTATATAAATATATTTATAAATACATATAATATATATATATTAGATTTTCTATGTGTGTTTATATATAGATATACATATACGTCTCTCTTTGTATCTAAACAACGATCACTATATAAACTATATCGCACACGCGACCACGTGGAAATAAGGGAAGGGTGAAAAAGGGGAAGGAAAAGGGAGCAAAAATTGGTGGTCGCACGCAAGATTCTAACAATTCTCTATCACGACGATTTTTCGAAATGCTTAATCTCTATTTCCAGTCGCCTTTCACCAGTCAGTCCGCGGGACCACAACATGTTCTCTTATATCTGTACTCAAGTATCGGCAGCCCAGCCTCCGATTTTTTCGCGCGAATATATGTGCGCGATGTATGTATTATTTTAAATATTCATCGGATGAAAGTATCCCACAATGTCCGAATTTTTGTCATTATCTTGTCTATTGTAATTTGTAGCTGTAGCTATTCATAAAATAGTGTTTTGTATTAAAAAATAATGCACAATATGTGATTGAAAAATAGAAAAAAAATGTAAGAAAAAAAATATAACTGAAAAATATTATATCGATATTATAATTTGAGAAAAAAATAGTTATTGTATATATTTTCTTCAGCTCTCAAGCTGTATATTGAAGCAATTTACCAGATTTTTCTGAATAAAACAAAATAAATGCTCAATCAGACATTCAGAAATGTTCGAATCGGGGATATTTCCATCTCAGAATATGCATCGAATATCTACGCTATATTGGTCAATTCTGTGTCAGTTAATGTGCTGGATAATGACGAACGGTTCTGTCGTAATCATAGCACAGAATTCCGCATCACGCGCTATGTGACATTATGTGTGAGAATTAGGAAAACGATTTGTCGTCCTCGATTTTACCGCACGATGACACATAACAGTAGTGTGGAAGTAGATAGACAAGTAGAGCACACGTTAGGGTTTTGAATACTCGTTAAATATTAAACTACGGTCTGTCAAACTACTAGAGATTCCTACTCTGATTCTCCGGTCGTTCCTTTTACGAAATCCACGATGCGTTTATCCACACGAGTCGACCCGTATTCGCAGCGTACACGTTTGATCTTTTGCATTTAATCAAAAGATCAAAAGATTATTCGATGGCGATATGTTAAATAGGAAAATTAATACGTGATAGTAGTAAAAGTTGAGACGATTAAAAAAATTGAGAGATGATTGAAAATAGGACACAGAATACAGATTCGTCCATCGAAAGTTTGAATTGAGAAGTTTTAAACGCGCATAAAATAAATGTAGCTGTGTTTGACTCTAGTTGCGCACTGAATGCGATCTCAAAGTTTAATATCTAAAATTGAGAGAATCAGGCCGCATTTAATCTTAAGTGCGCGTGAAATACGGCAATATTGCGAATGTTTATGCCGGATTACGTGATTGACATACGTAATTCACAATATAAAATTCACGTATTTTTTTACATTCGACAAATAGATGCGTCATAAGAAGTGAATTATTAATATAAATTAGATAAAGTCGTGTTAAAATGCTTAGCTCAATTTTCTAGTCATTAGAGAGAAAGTGTCGTCAAATATATTTCTGAATTTTCAATGAATATATATATATAACAATCAGATATATATATATATATATATGTATGTGTGATATCGTGACTAGAAAATTGCAGCGAATTTAAGCGCGATGAAAAATAATATTTATGTAAAAAAAATGAATCGTTATATTATTTGATTAGGATTTGAGGACTGAGCGGAATATCGATGAAGCGTATTTACACCGGCAATAAGACTTAATAGATTGCTTAACATCTTACCGATGATTATAATTTGCGTATAGTCCACACAGCATTTATCGCCCAGGCTTTGTAAGCCTGACGTACGAGCGTTTGATTGGTCAAACGAAAATGTAAATTCCTAACTCGCTAAAGCACCGACGTCGATTAACATTAATCGCATTAATTAACTCGATTCCTTTCCTTTTCTATTATATAGACAGCGACGCGATCTAGGAAAGGAATCGCTTAACAACGATCGATTAATCGAGGTCGTGTAATCTTTTCCTCTTAAAATATCTTATAGCGTTATAATATAATTTCTGTTCTATGTAACATCTTTATATACGCGAAGTGAATATTTTATGCGATTATATAATTCTCATTGATCCGAGAAAAAAAATCGGTTTTATTTGAACGAAACAAATTCGTTTCAAATCGCGAAACGACTAGGAAAAGGGAGCTTGTGCCTTCAAGATATAGTAGTTATCGTTAGTTGTTTGAAAGTGAATCCATTAGTTGTCACGTCGCCAGCAAATCGACGTGTGATCGAGAGACTACGCTAAACTAGATAAATAGCGTAAACAGTTCTCCTAGATTTAAAGCTGTCGTCCAGGGTGTTACATAGGTATAAGGTAAGGTATAGGTGCAATCCCGTTTTGACAAACACCGTTCGTTAGAAGAAGCGCATACATCAATTGCTTGTTTGTTCAGACATCGCACCTTCAATCTCATCGTCGTATTGCGCGTGATTATATTTACATAGGGTAGAATGAAGGGTGGGTTATCGCCAGGGAATCCCGACCGAAGGAAAGCGAGGCTGACGATTACGTATATATTGTGTGTGAGAAATCCGTTCTCTTTCCCTATATAGATCTTTTCGATTTTATACATTCTATATCTACACGACAGTTGTCATCACAATTAAAATACGCGAAATGGGGCTTCTGCTTCCGTTCTCTCATCGGCGGAATCCGCGAAACGCGCAAACACAGTCGTCGGTTCGCCCTCGAAGAGGATATCATTGAAAAATCAAGCCGGTATTCCTCAAATGAAAAACAAGACGCGTCGTGCTCGATCCGTGTAAAAGATTTTCCTCGTCTTTGTTCGCTTTCATACTGTTATATATCGTTGTCGTAGGACCTTGCTCGGGCGATCGTCCTCTAGCAGAGGTATACTTGGAACCGGGCACCGTGCAAAATCACAACCGCACTGTCCTAGACCGGCTCGGGGGGCGGATCGTTCCCCTTGACACCCTCTCGAGATTGAATCATTACCTCCGTCTGTTCCTTGGTCAGTTCGTGATTCTTGGTGATCTCGAAATCTTGCTCGGCCAAGAAACTTCGACGAATCGCGCCGTTCGCCACCGAGGACAGGTCGTTCCTCTGATGCTGCGTGTCCCGCCACGGCGTCGTCAGGATCTTTAGCCTCTGATAAATTTATCGTTTCATGTCATTTTCATATATTATGTGCGTTTTTTTTTTTTACGTAGCGGAGAAAAGCTAATTTTATCAAATATATCATCTAAATAACTCAATCCACTTCTGGATTATTTACTAGAATTATTATATAAGATTAATTATCTCTTCATAATTTAAATATATTTTTTTTCTTCGTTATTTTTTATTCGATAGTAAATAAATTTATTAATAAAGTTTAACTGACATATATTTAGATATATCTCTGATAAAAAACAATAAAAATACAAATCAACGCTCGTGTAAAATTTAAAATTAATAAAACATGTAAAGTAGGCCAAATATACGAGCCGAAGTGGTTTAGATGTAAGAATAATTAAAAACCTACTAATAACTAAAAATTGCCTACTTTACATGTTTTATTAATTTTATCTCTGATAAATTTATCATTTGATGTCATTTTCATATATCATGTCAGTTTTTTTTCACGCATAGCGGAGAGAAGCTAATTTTATCAAGTATATAATCTAAATAACTCGATTAATTATTAGAATTATTATAAGATTAATTATCAACTACTCTGCATAATTTAATATATTAATAAAGTGTAACTGGCATCTATTTAGATATATCTTAGATTGAACAAAATTATATATTTTTGTCAAATGAGGCATAATATCTTAAATGTTTTTAATATAAAATGTATTTAATTTCACACACGTTTTTCATGGCAATTTTTAAAATATATAAATTATCATTCAAAATTATAAGTACAATAAAATGAACTTACTTGAACGAAAGATCCGGGTGTGGTGCTGATTTTGTAGATCGCCATACCTGGAATCATGATGATGGACGAGCACGCGATCAGCCATCCCAATATATTTGCCCAAACCGGATATACGTAATCCTCGTACGTTAATGGTTCGTAGCCCATTAGACCGTAGACGATGATAAACTGTAATGTAGAAAGAAACACAAATGTTAAATAATAGAATATTAAATAATATAGAAAAAGCACAGTTTTCTATATAAATAAATTATTTCTTTATATGTAGTGACGTACCATCAGAAAGAGTGGCGCTACGAATTTCCAGCACACGCGCCAGTAGAGACCAGGCCTGAATCCGATCATGTCTTTAATGTCTGCGCAAAATCGGTCCGTTCCATAGATCCAGCTGACCGCGATGGTTTCTGCCAAAACGGCGAACAGCATCGAGTATCCGGCCGCGTATCGATCCAACAAGTGGAAAAAGTAAAATCCGCCCTATATATTAAAGAATAGTAATTCTTTTATAATATGAGCGATACACATCATATTTCGAAAAACTTGAAAATATAAAAATATATCGAAAAAGAATCTTTAAAGATCCGCAAAGTCTTTTAGACGATTCGCGATACATGCTCCTTATATTTGTGTCTAAAATATTTTATAAAAAAAAAAACAATCCAAAAGACCATAATATTAATCACATATAAAAAATGTATATAATTTTTAGCACATCTACCTGCGAACAAGAGGCGAGTCCGACCAGAAAGTATAGAGTGAACAAGCATGCCACGAAAACCTCACGATTTTTGCCGATTACAGGAAACTCGTCGCTAAGTGCCGTTATAATCGCCTCCGAACCTCCGAACTATAAAATTGCATTAATTATACCTTACCTTAATTTCTTCATTGCGCTTAGGCAAGGCATTTAATACTCTCATAAAGAGAAGAAAAGATCCTTCGATTAATATATATGGAAGAGGTTGACAGCTTTACTTAAAAACAGAAAAATCGTCTGATGAATCGTGACAACATGACACGTCAGAAGTCCTTATCAATTGTGTGCGATAAATAATGTGAATCAGACTATATTGATCCTTGATGCGACAAATCGTACCGAGCTGTCCAAGCCGAGGGTGAGTAACATCATGAAGAAGATGAGCGCCCAAAACATCGAGCCGGGCATAGTTGCGATGGCTGCCGGATAGACGATGAAGACCAAACCGGGTCCTTCCGTGGCGACATCCTGAATGGATTTTCCGCTGGCGCGTGCCATGTAACCGAGCACCGAGAATATTACGAATCCTGCGACGAAGGACGTCGCGCTGTTAATCAGACTCGTCAACAGGGCGTCTCTGCGGAGGACATTAATGTAAGAATTCGTTCGTTTTAAGCGCGTGTGCAGCGTAACCAAATTCGACCTTACTTGTAAACATTATTGTGATACTTGTTGTAACTCGCGTAAGCCAGCAACACTCCGAACCCGGGTCCTAGAGAGAAAAATACCTGCGTCGCGGCGTCGACCCATACCTAGACACCAAGAGAATATTCGCGAAAGAAGATATAATTTTTATAATTTAATATATTTTCAATAATAAAATATGGATTTTTTCTTATATTAATTACGCGCCTTATTATAATATAGCAATTCATATTTTAATGAGAAAGATTTTTCCCTTTAATTTATTTATCTAAAGTTCTCTATATTGAAGGCAATAAAATATTTAATTTATCTATTCTTTTACAGATTTAATTACTATTTTGTTTTTATCTTTGAGATTATTAATAATCATCAGTTCTCGCACAATCAATATTAAATATTTTTTTATCTCTGAGATTATTAATAACAATAACCAGTTTTCGCAAAATTCAACTGTAGCATCCTAAGAATTCAAAGTAATATAGTTCACATTATTTATTATTTTAAAGATTTCATGAAGTATCTGCCGAATTCTCGCAAATATATTGCTGTATCCAAATACCCAAATCAATTACATTTATTTTCACAAATAGAATATCATATGCATATTTTTGAAGAAAAAAAAACAAGAAAAATTGGAAATGCTGCGTTTGCGAGAAATCTGAGGCTAGAGATGAGGAAAAAGATGAAGAGCCGGCCTGGCTTCTCGCATATCCAGGGATTAACGGCGATCAACAAATCCACTTTCTCACCGATATAAAACCCACTTTAGCGATGACGCGACGTAGGTAAGCGGCTAAGTCGTCGTACGGACGAATTGCATTCCGCGCGCGAAGCGAAGCAACGTGCCAGCGCGTGCTCGACCAAACTCTAATGTTCATTATGACAGCTACACAGAGTTTCCATTTTCACCGTCGTCAGTTAACCCTGCACGTTTCTCCCCTTCCCTTGCCACTTCTCCCATTTTTCTCCCATCACCCCGTAGACCAGTCCCACCCCCGGACTACCCCTATCCTATATAAACGCATTAACTCCCGAAGTTTTTCCTTTTGTCATTCGCGAATACGTCGTAGCTCATGGTAATCCAGGTCAACGATAATAAAACAATCGCCGTGATGCCTCGATTCTCCCTCTCGATTTTATTTAAAAATCCGATATTGTGGACGCGAAGAATTTTTCAACGTCTCGTTATAAAAGAATAATAATAATTGATTGCAATAAGCAGCTAAACAGTCTCAAAATACTTTATAATTTTTTAAATTGTGTTATTTCTTTTATAACGCGCGATTTAACTATATAATTAAATAAAATGGTTTGTAGAATTTAAATAGAATTGCTCATTTCTTTTAATTATTAAATTTTGTATTCATTAATAACAGTGTGTTCCGTATATATCATTTCTATTAAAGTTTATTTTCAGAGAGGGTGCCTTATTTTAATTTTAATAAAATATTTATTTCGAGGAAAGTTAAATACACGACGAACGAGCTGAAGTCTTGGAAAATTCTGAACGTCCAAAATATTTAAATATGCAAAAATGCAACAACGTACCTCTGCTTTCGTGATAGCTGCAAAATTTGGACTGAGATAATAACGGATCCCTTCCATGCTACCCGGCAAAGTGACACCCCTTATCAACAAAATCAGCAAGACTGCGTAAGGGAAGAGAGCGGTAAACCAGACTACCTGCAACAAAAGAATCGTTCTTTCTGCATAATGCGAGATAGAATGTCACATGCGCATAAAATCGAGCATTTGATAGAAGGGAAATTCTGTTTGATATATATATATATATATATAGTACTTTGTGGTACCTCTTAAGCCCTCGCGAAAAATCAAAGGTACTCCCGCGAAAATCGCTCGTCCGTTCTTAAAACTTGGAATCTCTGATGAGGCATTCAGCTTACCTTGCCGGAAGTCGAGATGCCTTTCCACAGAGAAAAATAGCAGACCAGATAGACTACGAGCAAACATAGCGCGATGTCCCACTTAATGGCTCCAAGATCATGTAAGCCCTCGCTTTGGTGCAGCTCCAAGATTGCGCGGCTTAAGAGACAAAATTTTATAATTTATAATGATGTTGCAATTTATATAAAAAATATAATGGTGTTGCAATTTATATAAAAAATAATTTATGCTCCATATTTTAATAAGATCGTGCGCGTTAATTAATATTTAACAATCCGCGCGTATAATGAGAAATCTAAATCACAATGTGTATATCTAATTATTTGTATATCACCCTATTATATATTATTATTATATTATCCATTTTATTTATATAATTATTTTATATTAGAGAATAAAATGAATTAAGAATTAAAAAATAAAGTAATATTCCGATCTAAAAATTCTTATTCTTTGCATTATATCATAGTACATTTTAAATTATATATATACATATATCTCACGATCTAGAATCTAGACAAAACATGTATTATAATGACTCTAAGATTTTTGACAAAAACATAACTATTTATTAATGCGTTTTTACAAGTGAAAACTGAGACAAAATATCTATTAAAATTAAAATTAAAATTGTTGCTCACTTGAAGTATTCATGCGCGGCGCTCGTATGATTATCCGCCAGGACGGCTTCCGATCCTTGATCGAGCAGAAGTCGGGTGACATTTCCGATATTCATCTCGCCGGTTAGCCCATCCTCGAAAGTGTAGGAGACGTTTGCGTCGAACTCGCGGCACAGCGGCGTATTCCAGGGGTTGTCGCACGTGGTCCATGGCAACATCGTGGAAAACGAGGCGAAGAAATAACGGAGCGACCAGGCGATGATGACGTTGTAGTAGAAGTCAACGTAAAACGCGATCAGGACGACCGCGTAACCGATACCTGGATTAAGGACAATTCATGTTTCATCGATATGGCAAAGCAGGGTGACAATAATCAAGTTCTCTCAAGAAGATGATATACAAAATTGTCGATAACCGGATAATCAATTTAATTAATAAATTCGTTATTATTAATGTATAGTTTTATATATATAAGTAATATTATTATATAATATTTTAATAATATATAATATATATTATTGTACTTTTCTTCCTTTCAAAATTAAATATCTATTGGCTACTAGAGAAATCGTTGATCGTAATTGTTAATTTTATTTCACTCGAAAAATTGATAAATTCGTGATAGTTATCGAACAAATTTCTAATATATCGAATCGTGATTTGTCACAACTTTTTAATCACACTCCGCGGTGAATCGATGTTAGATGCGCCAAGATCGCTAAATAGATTAGTGAGATGATCGCGAAAAATTTAGAGCAGGAAACACGTCGTCCTTCTCGCATATATACGAGAGATATCGCATGTCTTGCGCGCGAGCGCGCATATCTTAAGTTCGCGCGTCTCTATATGCAAATGAGACAACGTGACCTTCCTTTCGCGCGAGATCGTGCATACGATGACACGCGGTATATATACGAGTGCATATAGATATCGCATCTGACACGAGGAGGATCTCGATCGATCGTACACGATGGCATCCGCAGGATTTTTTTCAGGAGGCGGCATAATTAAATTTTTTTTCTTTCTTAATCTTTTTAAATCAATATTTTTTCTTATTTTCATTTTTTATATCAAATATGTAAATAAATTCTAGTATTTATTTTTCAAACGGAGAGCAAATGGTTATTTTTTGTACTGATTCCAAGAGAGGCAAATACCCTCCCTTGCGTCCACAAGACTTTTTCAGGAGGGGCATAATTAAAAATTATTTTCCTTTATTCTTTCTTAATCTATTTAAATTTCATTTTGTTTAATTTTCATTTTTTTATATTAAATATACAAATAAAAATTCCAGTGTTTATTCAAAAAGAAAGCAAATGCTTAATTTTTGTACCCTCTCGCCACCCGCCTCTAATCGTACACCAAAGGGAGAAAAATGAAATTGTAGTCCTGTGGAGATGAAGTTGGAAATCGACGGAAATGGAGGCTCTTTACGGGAGAGCATCCGTCGGAGCCGCTGCGATCTTCTCGGATTTATACGCGTTACATAAAGCAACCGCACATTACGCGAGGCCGCGGATCTTGTATATATATATATGTCTGCGATCGTACATGTGTGTGCACACATATTCTTTATACCCTCCTCTCTGCTCTATTAGAGAGCTAAGAGCGCGAAAAGAGCGCAGATTCCGTCAAGATCGGGGACCGCAAGATCGGGCGATTGTCCCCGCGACTTGGAGAAAGGAAAAAGGTGACCGAGAAAAGTCCAACTCCTGGCTCGGAATACCAATATTCCCTGGAGAAAGAGACGAGAGGGAGATCGGAGAATATAATGAGAGTAAAGAGGGTCGTTCCGGCTCTTAAGTCCTCGAGACTTTTTCCGGACTCTGTATTCGCGGATTTCTTCGCTCGACCCTGTCGCAGTATATTTTCACCTGTTGTGTATAGTCGTTGGAATGTATACGTGTCCCATGAAATCCGTCGCGCACGAGTACCTCGAATGGTCGGTGATGGTCGTTACTTGGCCACGAGAAGCTATAAACCCTTAAGTGTACACTAATGTGGAAATGATGTGAGGCGCGAAATAGAAATGGCGAGTCACACCGATAATCGTTCAGTTCGATCGTGCTTTGTGTGATTTTTTTATTTTTTATTCTAGAGATTTAGAGTTGAAAGAGAAAAAAATAAGGACTCTGACCATTGATAAATTGATATACAACCGTACTTATGTCATTGTGCCGTCAGATGTTATTACTGTCATAACGTTCAATTTTCGCACTTTCGAGATTGCCCGGATAATGATGAGGCGAGAGATGATATAAAAGGGTTGTAATGTGATTTTGTAACTTATCGAATGATTTCACTCAATTTGCAAGTGCGTCACTGTTCGAATGCGTTGCTATGTCGAGAGAGGATCCAATTAAGATAGATACAACCTTACAGTTTCTCGTATTGAAACAGCTGATTATTTAACTGAGAAATGTATCGTAGGATAAGCATATACTTTGAATACTCTACCTTTAAAATATAATCAATTTTCTTCTTTTATCACGTCAACTATTTTTATTATGCTTGTGTTAAAAAATCTTGAAGCTGTCTGTGCTTTTATTAAGCTTTGACTACTTCGTTTAATTTCGGAGATTTATGAAAAATGAGAAAAGATTGAAGAAAATATACTGTAACATTAATAACAATTTGACTTACCTTTGAAAAGCGGCACAAGTCGACCCCAACACGTGATAGCACCTTTTCTATTAAACTGACCGAGAGCAAGTTCCATGTAAAACAGAGGAATACCGCCAACCACCAACATTATGCAATAGGGGACCAAAATGCGCCTGTAAACAAAGAAATATGTATGTGTTAATAGATATTTTTATTTAAGACAGATAGCCTATAATATTAAAAAATTCCAAATAAATGATTATAGAATAAATATTTGAAATATATACTCTAACTTTAAATTTTAAAACACCAAAAGCTATTAAAAATAATAATTATGTACAGTTATTTTTTTACTATTTAGCTTGCTCTATTAATTTTACATTATAAATATATGCGTACAAATATGTGACAACAATTATTAATTTCAATAGAACTTTCATTAAAAAAATTAGCGCAATAATAATTCATAAAATGTTAATTATCAGCCAATAGTAGAATCTTTAATTAACATCGACTAATGCGATTCTGATCTGATGACTGTATTACAACTTCTTGATATAAGTCGATCAAACGAGATCCGATTATTCTTCTGTCTACCTCTAAAGTTCTGTCCGTTTAAGAGGATGAATCTTGCGGAAAATCTTTGACTCTCAAGACAAGAGTCGATTGTATGACACGGGGGCAGGACGATTATTGTGCGATCCAGAAAGTGGAAATAAGAGGAAGAAAAGGTGCTGGTATCCGGGAAAAAGGCGTCCTTGCAAGATGAAGAAGATAGTTACGAGGCGAACAAATTAGAGAATGAAAGATCGTAAGTGTAACCACAAAGTATGTGTGAAGCCACAAAGAAAAAACTTCGAAAGAATCATTAGTGCATATTGTAATAATACCTTTTTGTAAATTCAGAAATAATATGTCTCTTCATTAAACAGCGTTAAAATTAATAATATATATATTTTATAATAATAATAAAAAAATAATAATATATTATTATTATCACTGTATAATATATATAATTTTTTATATATTAATAAATACAATTTTAATAATTTAATTAAAAAATATAAATAAAAATTTATGATTTTTTCTCTCTTGCTGCTTGTGGGAGCTTTATCATTCTTTAAGCGATTACTTCGTTTTAATTTCAAATTACGTAATGAAATTGTAATTATAAATACTTTTTAAAAATTGTCATGCGTTTTTGGAAAAGGGTTGGTACAATTCCTGTTGGTTGACGATCGACTCAGTCGTGTCAGCGTGTTAATGTCACCTTGCCGCATTTCCAAAAGTTGACTATCGAATTACGTGCCTAAAAGCACCTCGCTACCGGTGCTCTAAATAACGCACAATGCAGTTATGGAACTAACCCGCTGGTATGAGTGCGTCACATATCGCATTTTTTTCCACCGGTTTCTCTCTGAGCGGCATGTGTTATCTTTCTGCCTTATACACTTGCTTCTTTATATAATATATGGATCGCGTACATTTGCAGACGATTATGATTTTTACAAGCTCCGAGAAATACTTCAAATATAATAATTCATTGAGATCTCTTACGTAAAGAGATTAAAACATTACTAAAATATTCAGAAATATAAATACTTACACATTTTTTTTTTAATTTTGAAATTATCAAGCAACTATTATAATATTTGTCACATAAAATATTAAAATATATTGTATTTATGTTAAATTTGCGCGCATCGAAATGTCAATCAATAATCAAAACTATATGGACAAATTCTTATCAATCAGCTTTTTTACAAAAATGTGCGTGATCCAATTTTTTGTCGATGTAAAATTTTGTTAAATAATGTCGTATATATTATTCGCATTGCATAAATAAATGTGACAGGATAAACTCAATCCGAAAGAGAGGAATAGGAGTACCGCTATGCTTATTCCCTTGATCTCTCTTCTCTGATGGAACTTTCGTTCCGTACCCATGGAGATGTAATCGCATTAAGAAGGATATTGTCGTCGAGTAACCTTGATTAATTTCCTCTTGTTCCTGCCTTGGCAGAAATCGACAACTCGATCGTATTAAAAATGATATTCTCTTAAATGGATCGCATGATCACCGGATGGTTCCATTATGCGAGAATAATATTACTTGTGATAATTAAAATTGTGAGTCAACATTTAAGATTCAATTTGACATTTTTACCATACCTATATTTTTGTCATTTTTATCATCAAATGTGTCATTTTTATTATCGTTTTTATATTAAAAAGTTCTGTAAAAAGATTAAAAATTTGTGCTACGTATTAATAATTTTTTATCTTGTAGAAAAATATTAACATTAATGTACAAAAATATGAATTCGCAAAAGGTCGAAGAATTAATAAAAATTATCTCAGGTCTACAGCTACCCTTCTCTCTCTCTTCTCTCCTTTGTCTTGACATGTCGCTAACGTCGAGAACAAATGTCCGGCCTCGGACAACAGTTCCGCTCAATTTTCTCTCTTTGAACGTGCACTCGCGCAAAGGCTTAGTGCTTAAAGCTGCATTTTACGCCCGAACAAAGGCGAAAAGCTCGTTCGAATGAAACGTAATGCATTCTCGCGAGATAATCGCACCAATTGTAGACCGTCGATCGGAATACGCTTTTACTGAAAGGTGTACGAGGGTCTAGGTCGAGTTCCTGGTGTTGATGTTGTCGACAAAAGGCGATATGCATTATTTTCAAAAATGAGCATCTCTTAAGTATAATTATTAAAAAGATTCGTAATGTTTTCACGCGCACAATGTGAGACATTAAAAAATTTATGTAAAAATCGATTGACTTAAGAAGTTCTCGAATAATAAATCCATATGGAATCTATGCAAAATTATAAAATTTCTGTGTGAAAATTACCCAGCAAACACTGTATATAAATGTTATATACTTAAGCATGTTACATGTAACGTATATGTTAGTTGTAATTTCCCACTCATAGATGTAACATTTTTAATATTACATATATTACATTGTAGTTATATTGTCATTATATCCCAAGATAGTACTGACTTATCAACACATCAATGTGCTATGTAGTATATAATTAAAATATAACTACAATGTAATATATGTTATATTAAAATGTTACATCTATGAGTGGGAAATTACAACTAACATGGATGTTACATGTAACGTACACGTTATATTACCTGTTATATTCCGTTTTATTATAGCAATGTAACAATTATATATCGGTGTTTGCTGGATATTGTATAAATTAAAATATAATATTAATTGAATGATGCGGTCTAAATTATTTTATACGTGTAATAAATACGTACATTTTGGATATATGTAAAAAGATATATAAAAATATGGATATATAAACATTTCTTAAATAAAATTTTTTCACAATACTTCGCTAGTCTACTACCTCTTCGAGGACATATTAACATCTATCATTTTCCTGCTTCATAATAAATTACATTCCATCATTGTGACATAATACACGAAAAAGATCTCGTGGCATACGAGTTATATAAAAGAATTATAATTATTGTTAGTTTCAATTCGAGTCACAATCTCACTCCTTGTTGGCAATCGATTTCTTCATATACGGAATATTGCGCAATATTATTCTCGTCGAGTGAGTAATCCACATATATTGATATATTAAACCGGTCTAGAATTTTTATTAGAATTTATAATCACAAATAACATTATCTTTATTCAAATCTTCATAATTGTATAATCTTGATCGAATGGAAAAATTGAGAATTTGACAAATAAAAGTTTTCATAGAGAAACTGTCCTCGTGTAACGAAATCACTGAAAGGATTCCATGAATCCCAAACGAAGAAGACATACCTGGCGCAACAGGCGTCACGCAGTAATTAAGCAAACACGTGGGACAAGCTCCACTTAATTCGAAGATAAACATTCCGCGTTTCTCTTTACGTTTGGTTTCGTTGTTTTAGATAAAAATACGACAATTTCGCTCTATTCTATCTCTCCAAAAAATAATTAAATTTATAGCTTAGATTATTAATTAAATAATTAATAAAATTATAAATATTATATTAAAAAATATTTATAAATTATAATAAAGATACATTTTTGTAGTTAAAAAAATTAATGTTTTTAAATAACATATAATTAAAAAAAAATATAAATGTAAAATATATAAATTATAAAAAGCTTTCGTCTAATCACAAACATCAGCTTATTTGATATTAAAATCACTCGGCGAAAACTTATATCTCTATAATTTTTCCTCGAACAATTTATACAAACAAGTTTCAAACGCACGGATCATTTTAGCGCAATGTTCCTCATTTTTCATTATGCAAATTTATTTGAGTTTACCCGGAATCGCGTGAGGAAAAGTTCCTTGCGCGTCAAGACGTCGTGCAAGACGCGTCATCGTCGAGGTAGAGTGACAGCCAGCCGGTGCCATAGAGGTATCGATACGTGTATCGACATCGGCACGATACGCGCTCCGCTCTGAATTATAATCACGAAACAACACGTTAATAACGCTTCCCGTATGGTGATAACGACGCAGCCGCCGTCCGGTGGGGTTGTAGAGCGGCGTCGCGCACGTCCATGATCAAAGGCCCGTCCCGAATGGGAAATTATAATTAATTAAGGTAATTGGAAATTAGCGACCGATCTTGCCCATCCTAATGGCGCGGAGCCGCGCGCTCTACTCCGCTCTTAATTGAGTTAGCAGCCGCTTTTGAGGAGCCTCTGTATCGCTGACAGTGGCCCTAATCGCATTCCTACCGGGGACTCGATAGAGCCCTCGGTACTAATGGCGCCGTCGTCGCAGATTGCCGCAGCGAGCTTAACAAAAGTCAATAAGATTGCCGCCAGTTTTCCAAGATCGAGCCCTAGATGCGCGGCCAGATCGATCCTCGAGAGGAGCAAAGGACGAGAGATCGCGAAGAGCGAAATAATCATCATCGAATAGAGCCAGTGTGTTATATGCTGGTTGTCTAAATCAAATTATATGGATGATCATCCAGATGAAACTTTGGTCATCTCATCTTTATATAAGATAATCAAAATATATATTATCTATGTCTGCATCTTATTATAAATAAAAATATGAATACATATATATGTTTTATATTCTTTTTATAATTTACATTTTTTTATAACTGTGTTTACATATAAGCAGTCTTGAAAATTATTATCTAGAAAATTATCTAGATGAATCGCCATATAATTTTATCTTTTATCTAGATTTATTTACAAGAAAATCATCTTCATCTTATCTAATTGTAAGTTGAACTTACATATTTTTATTTCATCTTTATCTAGCTAAATTTAAAATCAACTAAGCACAACACTGAATAGAGCTTATGTCAATTCCAGGTAAATGTCAAGTGTCATTACGTGGTTCAGGAATTTTTTTGCAGAGTGTATTTGAAAAATATGTATGTAGTAACTTCTGTTCTCTTCTGTGAGATGCGCTCTTCTCTTTGCGCAAAATTCAAATCAGGAATAGGAATTATATTCAACATCAGAAAATTAAGGTTTTATCGAAATAAGGCTTCGACGCAAACCAAGTAAATGTTATTTTTTATATAATTCTAAAGTGATTTTAATTTAATGAGGTTTCAGTTTTATTTTTGTGGAAAACATTCGATGAAGTTTCGAAATATATGTATTTAATATTTGTCAGGAAAAGTTTAAGTTCTTCAAAACTAACGAATTTAATATCGAATTATCGAAAAGTCTGAGAAAACTTTTTTTCGACGATTTTCACCAACGATTTTACATGTTATTTATTCGTTACAATTTATTTCTCACTATCCTTAGCTTGAAATTTAACAAAACGTATGTTTGACTTAAATACTAATATATGTTCAATTAACAAAATATTAATTTCGTTTAATCAAATTAACAATTATTTTTAGTACGCGTCGTAACAATAATTTAAGATATCTTAAAATTATATCAATTGCAGATAGAATAATATGAAGAGATATTATTGGCGTGGCGTTGTTTATTATTTATTAGTTAACATATTATATCTTGAAATTTAACATATTATATCTTTGAAAAATCTGCGCGCGAAATCACTTCTTTCCATTCCGCGATTTAAGCAGAAACGTTTATTGAAATATAAGAATAATAAGAGATTTATTCTGATTGATGTGTAGTCACTAACGTTAACTGATCATTTTCTCGCATAATCTCGAGAGGTATTATGCAAATTTGTAATATTAGCGTACGGAATAAGGAAGAGTGCACACATATGACGCATTTATTTAAAAATTTGCATGTGCAACACCATTGGCATGCAGTATCGACAGGATATCGTCATGTGCATTCTGGTGCATGACATGCATACAATCAAATCGATAACGAGTCATGTAAACAAATATCATGCATGTGATATTAGTTGTAACTTATTTTCTTTTTCCCATAAAAGTTCTTAATTCGCAGAATCCTTGAAGGTGCTAACCCAGCAAACACCGATATATAATTGTTACATTGCTATAATAAAACGGGATATAACAGGTAATATAACGTGTACGTTACATGTAACATCCATGTTAGTTGTAATTTCCCACTCATAGATGTAACATTTTAATATAACATATAATACATTGTAGTTATATTGTAATTATATACCAAATAGCACATTGATGTATTGTGATAAGTCAGTGCTATCTTGAAATATAATGACAATATAACTACAATGTAATATATGTAATATTAAAAATGTTACATCTATAAGTATGGGAAATTACAACTAACATATACGTTACATGTAACATACTTGAGTATATAATATTTATATACTGTGTTTGCTGGGAAGTAACTTGACGTAGAAGCGACATTTAGATATAATAACCGCATAATTTTAATTGCTTTCGCACACTTTCCCTGGAGAAAAAAGAATTAATATCATTGTGCGCGATTACGCCTCGTAAATTACGCATCTTCTCTTTAATTGCAGCCAATTTGGACACAAACTGCAGGTGCTGAGAATCCTTGTTGGGGTCTAAATTCCGAGGTCATTTTCCGAGGGGTAAATGCCAATTAGTCGACCGGTTAGCCCCGGTATTGCTCGCCTCCTGGAGTACATTACATCGTACTCAACCCTCTTCTCGAGTTAACTACGAAATAACGTCGGACGACGACGATGTTACGAAGCGATTGACGAAGTGTCACAAGGATATCGAAGGACGCGAGATGAATTCATTCATTCGCAAAAAAAAGAGATCTCTATGCGCGGCAAGTTCGAAACGAAAAAATGTCAAAGGTGAAACGAAAGAAAAAAATGTAAGCTTGATAATTGAAATAATTTGATATCTCTCTCGTCGAATTAATTTTGAATTTAAGCTCGTCCGAGAAAAACGATATAATTTGTATCAAGAATCAACTCTTTGTCTTAAGTCTTTTAAAATTCATTGAAATTAAGGTGAAACATGACCGATTGTAATTTCGACACGGATGCGGCTCAATTATTTTTTTTTTTTTTGCCGAAACGAAAAAACATAGCATGCTTAATAAATAATAAAAACGCGATCTTGCGAGTCAGCGATGCGAAGAAATGACGATGTTGAGGAAGATTCGAGCGGAGTGGGAAACATCTGATCGGAGGCGTGTTTACGAGGACGAAACAGTAGCTCGTTATTCGTAACAGACGCAGGTGGGATGGGGTAGAAAACGAGGGGGATGCGAAAGGGCGGGATTATTGAAATATATCCCGTATATATTTCTGGTGCCGCTGCGCGTTGTCCCGTCAATGACAGAGAGAAGAGCGCACTCGACACACTCGCGGGATAATCGAAAATAAACTGCGCGGAAATCGCGCGGCACACGCATACTTACCACCGCCGTTCTTGTAGCAAAGGTACGGGAATCGCCACACATTAGCGAGATCGACGGCGAAACCGATAACCGAGAGCAGAAAGTCGAGCTTTCCCGACCAGGTCTCCCTGCCGTCGCCGCCGCCGACGTCGCCCTTCGCGATATTCTTCAACACCGTCGACGACATCCTTCGGGTATCTGAAACAAGCGTATATCAGTCTCGCGAATCCAATTAAAATATATCTCTGTCTTTCAAATGTCAAAGATAAATGTCACGAAAAAAATACGTATAGATACGTGACATCCCAGTAAAACATTTCTTATATATAATTATATAAAAATAATTATTATACATATAATCGTAAAATTATATGTAAAATTTGTCTATTTTTATACATAATTATACATAATTATATAAATTTTAAGGGTCCATAATTATGTCAAATTATATATATTTTATATATATATATATTTATATATATATATATATATATATATATAAATTTATATAATTATATATAAAAAGCACTTTTATTTAATTATGTATGGACATATTTCATATATAATTTTGCAATTATATGTATAATTTTATATATTTCTATATAATTTTATATTGTCATATATAAAAAAATTTTACCGAGATTTATATTTGACATTTGTCACTTTGTATTTAGATGAAGTTTCACACAAATAAATATTTAAATTTAGCATAGCTAAAGTTATTAGAAATTTATTATTCAAAGGGTTAAAAAAATAAAATTATCATCTTATTGTTATAATACATTGTATTCGGTAACGCATGTCTTACATCCCTTTCTTATCCGCATTTCTTTAAATATCAAGGAAGTTACATTGCTTTCTAATTTTTTTTTGTTTATCATATTCAATTCCAACGTTAAAAATAAAAATCGAAATTTTCTCTTGCACTACGTCGCTAATTAATTAATTTTTTACACGTATTATTTATACGAAATAAATTAGAAAAATATTTTTACAACCAAGATTACAGACAAATAATCGAGTAACAAGCTTAAAAATATTACCTTTTATTTAAATGCAAAATAAATAAAAAAAAATAAAAATAAAATAACAAATAAACTTCTCCGAGAGTCGCGAAGATATAAATAAAACTTACAAACGTAGATAAAATTCCTCTCAAAGAGGAAAAATCTCAAATTACCTGTGCATGCGTATACTGAACAACATAAACATAATCTTACAAGTATAATTCATGCCTATTAAACGCAAGGTCGGGAATGTGCTAGGAGTGAAAGGACTTGAGCGAAAAGAAGGAGGCGTAGAAGCAAATATAGTGAAGTGAGAGAAAAAACTGATGACGCTAATGCAACGGGAAGGAAACCGCCTCTGTGGTTATTATATTATTATTATTATTATTATTATTCGCGAACAATATATATGTACACATCATATATGTGTATATGTGTGTAAGAGAGAGTCGCGTGCGCGGCGCGGCGCGGGCGCGTGTAATTTGGCGACGACAAGTTATCGATAGCCCTTCAGGCGACAACGCTCGACCCCCAACGAGCCTCATTGTGCCCCGTGACGGGTACCGGTCAAACAGCGTATATTTCAAAGGCGATCGCGGGCGAACCGGCCTCGAGGAGCCACTCGACGACGGGTTTTCTGTCACGCGCACTGATCCACGCTTATCCACGCGGACCGACCCGGTTAATTGATATTCGGCGGTTGTGCGGAGACACCTACGGACGCGCGCAAGCCGACGCGAAGATGGACGACGACGAAAAATCGCGCGTTGCGTCGCGTCGCCGTCAACGAGATCGATATCGCTCCTGCCTCCGTCATGACAGCGGAGCCTGAGCCGAGACTTGACGTCGCGTGGGACTCGGAGAGGACTCGTTCGATTCGATAAAAAGAAATGTTAATATATACGTACATTTTTCATAGTCTAATTTTATCCAGTTTTTGTTCACGTAGAAATTCAATAAACTGGAATGTATATTTATAAGAAGGGTTACATTTCCTAATTTGGTAAATTTTTACTCCACTTTTGATAACATTTTTTTTCAGAATTTAGAAACAACAGTTCTCCTAGATTTAAATAGTTCACTAAACGACAATAATAATAACATTAAAAAGAAATAATAACGGTATGTATTTAAAAATTGATATCTAAAATCTCATCGTTAAAAAATCATTAGGTGACGCATTGAAATAATATATTTTTAAATAAAAATATTAAATTATTTTTTAATTGCCTAATCATTAATGTATCGATGCTATTATTTATCAATCTCTGCTTCGACAATTATAATGCTTGTCTTATAAGAGAAAGGTTTTGAATGTATTATTCAAAATTCTTCGCTCTTGAACGACAATATTTCGGCCGAGAACCTAGTCGCTAACGAGTATTCCAAAACTAGTTTTAGGCGATAATGGCTGAAGGAGAAGAAAAAGAAAGAGTAGAAAAAGGCGCGACAGCAATGTCATATTCTCTGAAAATCAAATTCTTACCGACATTATATTCTTACGCAGTGAGAGTCATCGTGACAATATTTATCTGAGAATTAATATCTTTCCCCGTTGACAGTCTTTCTCCGAATTGCGGTATTTCCCAGGAAACACAACGAAATAATATATGCAATCCCAATTGAATAATAAAGATAACAAACCACTTTCGATGAAATATATCTGCAAACTGCATACACGAAAGAAACGAGGGAAAACCACAATGACGCGAATTGTCCGTCGCGGAAAAATTCACACTGTTTGACCCTCGTTCGCGTTTACAAGTTCAAACTTGTTAGACACATTTTAATTCTTATATTAATATAACTCAAGCTAAAGCCTAAATGATCTACGAGCTCTTCAAATATCTAGATTTTGGGATAACAAACAATTTTTATTTTGTTAATAATTGATGTGTAAAAATGTTATAAAAAGAACACGAAATAGCCTAGAAAGATTTTTGATACAAAAATATCAATTTTTTATTTTTTTCTTTGTATTCTATTTCCAGAGATGTATAGAAATAAGATTTCTTAAAATAAAAGATATATTGACTATTTTTTCTTAGATATAATTATATTATTTCTATCTATCATTTCATGACGTTATATTTTTGATAATTTATGCAAGCAATGCAAATATCTGATGATGACCTTGATCATTTTATCTTCTACTCTTCCAGACTGTTCGCATAGCTATTTATTATTGAATATTTTATCGATAACCGAGTCAAAACAAATTGTCAATTTTTTTACATATGTTGCATATATGAAGAAATTGTACACACAATCTCGATATATCTTAATCATTTACGAAATGTGAAAATGTCTAATTTTCTACTCTAAAAAATTGCATATAAAATTAATGTAGATGAGTACACTGATTTAAAACCGGGGTTCAATAAAATTAAGCTTATATTTTGTAAAAAAATATTGAACGCAAAACTTTTTATCAGTAGCGTTTAAGCATTTATAAATTAAAACGAGTTTATCGAAAATACGTAACTGTTTAAGGAAATTTTATCTTATTCTTATATTTATTTTATTCTAATTTTTAATTATTAATATACTTTCTTCGAACACAATCAACAATATCTTAAGTCTTTTTAATTGTTAATAGTACTGAAAAAATTAAATTCAACACCATTTATTTATCATTGGCGCATGTACTTACTCCAAATTTCAAATTTCAAAGTTCAAAGTACTCCAAAGTACATTAGATTATTTCTAAAATCATTCGAGTAATTCGTGCATTAAATTATTTAAACAATAATAATTTATTTTATCGAAAAAAATGAGAATAGACAAAGTTAGATGTATATCAATCTTATTAGTTGTCAATTAGTTATCAATCTTGAGTCAAGCTAATACACTTGTCTTTTAAATATAAGAAATCTAAAGCACAAGATAACATTCATGTAAAACATATTTTTGCATAATAAGATGCAATTTAAAAATAGATATGCATATTTAATACTTTACAATTACACAACAAAATATTATCCGTCTATGTGCATTGACCATATAAATAAATTCAAATTAAAATCGACACGATAACTATCGTACATAAATATATGAAAACAGTACGTGTAGTCATATATATTCTTATAAATTTGTATTTTAAAAAACGCTATATACTTAAGTACCTTTTGACAGTTTAAGCAAATTTATACTTAACATATTAAACCAATCAAATGTTTTCTTACGATACATATCTATTAAGTATAATTGTCTGCGGCAATAAAAAATAAAAATTGCTCGCGTAACACTTGTCATAAAACTTTAACGATCACGATTCTACTTCGAGAGTCTACACTTAAATAAGAGATATTCCACGCGTTTGTTTAATTTGAGAATCCGTGTTTTAATTATCTTTATCATGAATCATACAACGCACGCTGTGAAAAAATATATTAAAAAGTAAAAATGTCATAGTTCAGACTTTTTCACACCTAAATAATGTTACTTTACGTTATTTTAGAAGGATGATACGCGCAACGTAAAAGCGAATTGTGAAATAATCTTTTCGCGTAAATGTCATTACTTATTACTCTTTCACTGCACAATATTTCAATATAATCAACTTATACTCTTACATGTATTAATTACGAGACATCTTGTAAAGGATTTCATTGGAAATAAAATTGTAAAAAATATGAAAGCTTTCCGATATTCTTCACATCGAAAGAAAATAAAATATTTTTGTGTCAATCATCAGATTTCTCACATTTAATGTTAAGTACCTGTCAAAACAATAATATATTTTAAAAATCAAACGAATTATTGTACTAGATTGATTGTCGCGTCGTCTAGAAATAAACACTAAGACGTTTCAAATATTTTTGCATACACTGAAAAAAAAATTATTAAATTAATAAATATTTATCTCAATATAAACAAAGAAAAGGATTTTCTTATATCAAATAAATATTTTTTACGTCAAAACAATATTATTAAGTTCCAAATAAATGATTTATTAGGTAGTATTGAAATAAATATTTATTCAAATTCAATAATTTTTTTCAGTGTAGTAACGAAAGAATTCACGTGGAAAAAAATAAGATAGCCTACCGTGACAGCCTTTCTCCCCGTTTTGAGTACGCAAGGGCAGCCACCTTCGTTCTCTTCTTCGACGAAGGAATTCGCGGAGGGAAAAGCCGCGATCGAAAACGCGACTCACGCAAGTCGGACGATGATGAGAACTAAACCACTCGCGATCGTGTACAGCTTCGTTTCGATCGTGCACTTAAATTGATGATTGCATACTCGCGTAATGCAACGTGATCGGCGAAAATGCACCAACAGTGGGAGAAAAGATCCGTCGGGACAATTTAGGTGGGGAGTTTTCTATGAACGGAGTTTTCTGTAAATTACGAACGTAGTACTAATTACATTTCTTGTCAACAGCAATTGCATCCTCGATTTGACCGATCGCTCAAACGTCATGCGAGAAATGATTGACTTATCTTGAGAAAATCATCTGCAATTTGCAGCTTTGACTTCCTTCGATAGAAAAATGAATCAAAACAAAAGCAGTAAGCATTTCGAGAAATGCAAAGATTATTTATGCATCTTTTAATCATTATCGAAATCGGTTCAAATCAATCAAATATAATTTCTTTGGCACATATTTTGATTTCTGTTTCGTTTAGATTTCTCTTTATTTATGTTAGGATAACAATCAATATAATATCCTTTGATATTAATTAATGATTATATAAAATAATATTATAATAAATTATTAAAATTAAATATCAAAAATCTGCAGTAAAATAATTGAAAATAATTTTTATTTATAGAGATGACATATATATTATACAGTATTTATTTGTTACACAAAAGAAATTTTTAAATTTAATTGCAGAATTCAATATCTCAAAAAATCACAAAATAAACGAAAAATTTTAGAAAATAATTTATAATCAAACGCAGAAGCTACTGAGGAGAAAGTAGAATGTGATATGATATAGAACCGTAAAGAATTTAACATTTAGTGTTTAGTTGCACAATTTAATGGAAATGCGTAGATAGATTTGAAAGTGCTATAAAATTCAATGCGTAATAAAATTCAAGAAAGTTTTAAAATTATTTCGATATGCCAATAAAATCTAGATTCGTATACAAAAAAATCGATAAATATAAAAATGACAGAGATTAAAAAAAAAAAAAAAAATATATATATATATATATATATATATAATCTATACACTTTTATATTATTTGAAACTTTGCGAGCACTATTAATACATCAAAAAATTATTAAATCAATAAATATTTCTTTCAATACTGCCTAATAAATCATTTATTTGAAACAAATAAATATTTTTTATATCAAATCAATATTATTAGTTTCAAATAAGTGATTTTTAGACAGTATTGCAATAAATATTATTCAACAAATTTTTTATTTCAGTGTAAAAAAATTCTCTTTAAGACACAGTTACAAGCAGTTATCTAGAAAGAATGCTTCCAGATGAGAATAGAAGAAAAAACGCAATGAAAATTTACAATCACCGTTCGAAGGTTGCCCGTCACCGCGGAAACGGGCTTCGTCCTTCGATCATATCCGATCGAGCTTAGATCGAATAACGTATACACGTATATATAACGAGCTAGATACGTAGGAGAAACATATTTACCGAGTATCTCGCGCCGAAGACGATTAACGGGCGACGGTGTCGCCGTGAATGTTGCAGCTCGGCGAGACACCGCGACACTGACCGCGCGGCTCCTCGGCAGTCCACGGCAGGACTCCCACGACGAAGACTCGCCACAGGGTCAAGAGTAGCTCGAAACTGGTATCCGTCAGACCCATGCCCGTTTCCGTCGTCCCTTGCCTTGCCTCACCTCGGACCCCACCCTCCGCCCCCCCACGTCGTCGTTCCCGAAGCCGTATTTTACGGAGAGGAACTCTTTCGAAAATCTCTCCGCGGAACTTCTTTCCGTAGAACTTATCGCGCGTATATTCTCGCGAATATACTCCAAGATTTCTCTCTCAGACGGATCGCTAGCCGCCACTTCGCGAGAGCTCGCGCATTTCAAGAGACGCGTCCTTCCGTAAGGGAAGCGAAACTGAACGCGATAGAGCCGCGGTTAGAGACGAACTTCAAGTCTATCGAGACGCCGCGAGTCCATCGCGCGGGAGTTCTCTCTCGATCGATTAATCGAATCGGATCGCGATGTATGGGGCTACGGCGGTAGGGGGAGAGTTCTTGGAGACGAGGGGGTTGATCGAGACGACGATGTATCCCTCCGGCACAAACGGGAGAACCTCGTCGCAAAGGACCGAAAGAGTGAGTGGCGAATTTTAGCGCCCGTCGAGCGCGTATATACGCGCTGCGGTCACGTGTCGTCACGGCCGAGGTCACGTGACGTCGCTCGGTGCGCGCGCGTGCTCGCTAGATATGCGAACGCACATTACATTTTTTCTATTTTTGCACACTTATTACCGCACGAGTATAATTTACCTCTCTCTGATGAAATCAATTTTTTTTTGTCTCAATGTTCCCCTATTCGGAATATTAACTTCAAATACTCAAGAAAATGTGTAGATCCGTCACTTATTGCGCAGACACAACTGTCACCTGCAATAAAATTTCGACTTACTATGACGGTTTTTGTCATTATCAATTTATAATTGACGATTTCACCCTTGCTTTTTCGAGATAAATATTCATTTTTATTGTATTTTTAAAGTCAAAAGTTAATGATTTTGATACTTAATAGTTTTTCATTATAAATCAATAAATCATTATATAATAATGTTTATCGATGTTTAATAACATTTATGACAATTAGAAATAATTATTCGTAACGTGGCAAGTGATATACATATGTACGTTCATATATAGCCTATAAATATACAGAAAGTTAATAATTCTATAAATACATACGTGCGGACAATCCAACATTACAATTATCTCCACTATGAACAATACTATAATAATACCCTCATTTAAGAATTTTCTTTGATAACAATCAATTTAATAATACGATTCTTCTTTTAGTTTTCCGTCCGTTCAACAAAGTCGGTCGTCGCGCGTCGCGAGAAGCGGCCCTGAATAATGAAAATCCTCTAGACGCGCGACCGAAGTTTGACAGTAGCGCGAGTTTGACAGTGCGTGCCGAGCTCGGTGATGGTCGGCCGCGCGAGCCAATCGCGCGCGAGCACGATTGCGAACGCGCCTCGACATACACCGTACACACGATCGAAGACCTAATACGATACTATAATGGCCGGAATGGCTGCGTCGAGTGTAATTACGGTCTAACGTTGAAATTGCGTCCCACAGCTGTCTCGCGTCACGCAGTCATAATCCGGTTCTCCGTCCGTTCTGTCACGGTGAGTATTTCGTTCAGCGATGACACTTGCCCCCTCTACTCTAAAATCATCGTCGATTATGTATCTTTTTTTTTCTCATATTTGCGCATACGTTTAATGTTATCGACGAGTCGAATTACGATTGCATTTTCAGCGAATTCCGTCGATTTTTCCACCTTTTTATTCTCGTTATTAATCATGATTTTCTGTAGCATGTGTCATCGTATCCGTTAAATTATTATCGCGACGCGCGTTTACGTCGCCATACGGACCGAGGTTTTTTTCCTCTATCGTTTAGAAATTGTGTCACGCTTCAACATGAAGATTGTATATGCACTCGTGTGCGGAAAAATAAAAAAAAACCGTGTTCGAATGAAATTGTCCGTGCGGAAAATTTCGATTTGACAAACACGACTCTTCTGATCGACTTGTCTATCTAGAGCAATTATGACAGACAAAATGTCATCGTAGACAAGTGTCAGAATAAGAGTTGTGTTTGTCGAATCGAAATTTTCCGCACGGATAATTTTATTCGAACACACGCGTTTTGTTTGTATTTCCGCATACGTGTACATTATACAATTGTCACCTTGAAAAACGACGATTATGTATATATAAATTTTTTATTTACATATATGTGTGTATATAGATAAAATTTCGAATTAGTCAGTCGAGAGCATATTATTGCTGTCATATCTTAAACAGTTCTCGTTTCGTATTTTGCATTTCGCAATCTGTCACTTTAATTGATAGCTGTTTGATTAAGCTACATCACTAACAATAAGCATTTATGCTCTCAATAACCATCTCAATGATCATCTCGATTGATGCTCAACAAGATCGGAAATACATAATCGAGCGTTTATATCATACTGCTTTTATTGTTAGTTTTAAAATATATATGCATTAATAGTACTTATTTTTTCTAACTGTTCAATGTTATTGATATTTTTTTCCTCGTAATTTATATTTTGATTTTTTTATCTACTTTTAATTTTTGTGAAATTTTACCCAAAACTTCTTATATAAACTCTTTCAATTTTAACAATAAATATATATATATAAAATTTATATAATAAATATAATTATAAATTTTAAATAAAATAAATATTTAATTTTCAACATTCGCTAATAAGGAAAACAATTGCGACAAATTTGTAAAAGAGTCGTTACACTTTTTTTTCCATACGAAACGAAAAATATTAGCTTACCAAACAAATAAACATTTGCTTTCTCGATCAAAAAGAAACAAAATATATAGCCATATTCATGTTATTAGAGCTAATAAAACTCGAAATATTTCATAAAATATACATAGTACTATTATAATAAATAACTATATGAACTATAAATAGTAGTATTTTAATTCGAGTCCTTGGTGATTGCATTGATAATTTACATATTATTTGCAATATTATATATATTTGTATGGCACCATTTTAAAATAATCGTGCCCATATGTGTCATTATAAAGATAAGAAAGTCAGGTAGTCTATTTCCCCTTCCTTTTATGCTTAGTACCGCAAATAATTGCCCGCATTATGTAGGATAGAGTCTAGAAATTCTGAAATTTGCTAGGTTTTAATTTTAGTTTGCAAGTGCGTGTAAAACAAAAAAGGAGTATTTTTATCCTTGCAAAAATTCAAATTATTAATATTTTAACGTTTGATATCTTATATATAAACCATAATCCAGATAAATTAATTTTACTGAAATACTAATTAAAATGAGACTGTTATTTGTTATTTATTTGCACTTTGTAAATTTAATTCGTTAAAAAAATGTCACAATATTTTGTAAATAAATTCGTATAATTATCCGAAATTTTCGGGAGATATTAGATCTCAAATCCAAGATTTCCTAAAAAATTACCTATACATTAATAAAACTTTTATTTTCGTTATTTCGTCGCTATCAATGTTTATGAATGAATTAACCGATCGAAATATTAAGAGAAAATAAATACATAGGATTACAAATGTAAATGTTTCGCGCGAAAAATAATTTTCTCGCGGTAAAAGAATATTAATATATTTTTAATATTACGATTTAAAAAAATGGCAATTGTTTAATATATAATTATTATATGCAGATTTTGCGGGAGACTACGCTATACAACCATCACGATGAGCGGCGAAGGATTTGACCCGTGCGAATGCATGTGGAATCACATATCCATGCAACATCTACTTTCTATCGTAAGTTGCGAGAGGGATAAAACGCGAGAGTCGCAATCGCGGACAAAATCGCGGTTGGTGACAGGGAGACACGTATTTGCACGCGATTTTTTTTCGACCAAAATTTAATAATGAAGTTTCTTCATAACTTGGCAATCTTTTTTGTTTAGTCGGCAGAAATTTTTTTCATTGCGCCACACAGTTACATAAAATCTGTTTCGATTACGCAAGTCGATTGTTGGTGCGCGATATTATTCGAATCGAATATAAGGATATTGTGCAAAAAAATTATTTAACTTTAGCGGACAAATTCGAGTTTGAATAACGCAACTTTTTCCGCATATTTTGCAAATAAACAATGTGTTATTTTGCTAAATTGTATTACTGTTTCAGTTACGACAATCGCAAAATTATTGCTCGGATACCGAATGCTTCAGCGTGTCAAGAAGTATGTACTTTTTATTTACTGTGTACTAAATACTCTTTTAATTAAAATTAAGTTTAATTTTAATCTAACTATAATCACTTGTATTTTTTTCAAAAGTAAAAATGGATAAAAACTTAAGAAATATTGATCATATAAATTATACACTAGTAAATAAAATAATAAATAATAAATTAGCATACTTAATAGTATTAAAAAATATGAATGTTTTCTTTTTTAGTTCCAGGACCGCAGAATTCAGTTCAGGAATCTTCAGATTTTCTCTTTACTTGCTTAATTATTGGCTTTATGGTGCTCATGTATGCACTTAGACCGAGATCCTTGCGACACTCAACTAGGAATATTACCAAGAACAACAATGAACCCGTAAGTTAATTTATCAGTCGTTTGTATTAATATATAGAATCTTGAACGCGTTTCCAACATACATATATTTGCAGGGTTCACACGATGATCCACCTTCGCCACCGACAGTGAATTGAAAACTGAGATATTATGGCATCGATGGAGGATCTACTCCAGATTTTATATCGGGATCTATGCTAATCTTATAATGGGGGAAGCAAATGGTAAATACGTTATTACAACACGTGTGTTGTAATATACAGTATAATAGCGGAATATATCAATCGTATCTTGAAACATAACTTCCTATAATAATCTTAATTTTATATAATATAAAGTATTCTCTTTCTTTTACATTTTTTCTCTATCTTCATATAATAATTATCATGTGCCTGAATTATGAACATAAAAAAAAAGATTAAAAAATCAAGTACCTGCAAGTGGAAGTAGTTATCTAATGAAATTGTTCGCTTAATATTTATATTTTATATGAGAATATGCAGAGTCTACTGAAAATTACAAAAAATAAGTTAGTGCACAAAATTTCCCATGTGTGATCACACACTCAATATACAATTGACCGCTGTAAATAGTGTAATCTTAGTAAAATAATGTACAATAATTGAGAATTTGGATTTATATAGTTTGTCGAGGAACACTATTTATACTTTTTTTTAGAGTGCAATCTACAATAAGAAATATGATAAAAAAAATATATATATATATATATATATATATATATATATAAAATTACATTTTTTCGGCATTACCTAAAATTGTTGTTCAAAAATTTAATTTTTTTCTGTCTGTAATGTAGAAAAGATGTAATTATAATTTTATATTTTATTTCCATGTATGTTATATTATTTTATTAAAATAGAGACATCACATTTTGGATATTTCACACAAATGTAAAATTTAAGAATTAAAGGTCTTACAATTATATACAAATAATTATTAATATATAGTATTATACATTTTCTCTATATATAATATATTTTATACTAATAACACGATGTTTAATCTTTTACATTTCCCATATTTTCGATAATAAAATTTTGATTTTCAATATTGCAAGAAAAAAACTCATATGTGTATTACATTAAATAGTATAATATATATATGTAAATAAGCGTTAATATATATTTTATTAAAAAATATTTAACACACATAGAATATAAAATAATATATAAAGAAATGCATTTGTTCATCATATAATAGTACATTTTTATTTTTATTACAAAATAATTCTATTTCAAATAAAAATGCTGTAGTTATTTTATACAATATTATTCACATTATCCATGCATCTTAATTTGTATAACTGCAAAAAAAATATTTAAGAATCAGTTTAAACGTTTTATTGTGCTCGAATAAAAAAGAAAATTATATGTGTGATATATCAATAAGTATTTCAGCATATTTCTATTCATTAGAAAGATGCGAGTCGAGCAATATTTATTGAAAATTGCAGATAAAGTATTATGTTTTTTACAAGATAAATATATCATTAATATGTCTACGCAAAAATTATCATTCTTGAATAAAAATTAAACATGATATTGAAATTGAAACTTTTTGTATATTTCTGTTATCTTTTATGATCTTTATTGTTTAGCAATTTGAGCTAATGCATTTTATATATAATTGTAATTTTTATAATTTTAATTTTTTTCATAGAAATTGTATTTTCAAATATATATTTTTTATTATATACATATTGGATTAATTTTACCAATCACAGATAATTAATATTTTATATCTCCAATGTGTACAAAATATATTGCACAAGTAGAGCTTTACTTGCATTCGATTAATCCTTATACATAGAGAAGAATCCAAATTATATAAAATGTAAAAATAAATATTACTTTCAAATTTAACAATGCGTGATATAAATTTTATATATGTTGATACTTTTGGAAAATGATATAGCAATATATATTGGCTATTATACATATTTATACATATATAAAATTTTGTTTTATAGATATATATTTACATGTAATAGGGTATTAAATGAATTGTCTAAATTATACGTCAAAAAATATAGAAAAGATTTAAATTATATATTACAGAAATTTAAGATGAAATATATCTAAATCTCGTCTTTAGAAAAAAAGCGGACATTAATTTTTCTAAGCAACTAAATCCGTAGCTTAATATAAGCATTTAACAGTGAAAAGTTTTGTTTTGCAATTATCATGACAAAAAGAAGTGAAAAACCGTGTTTAAAATTTTTGGATGTACGTTTGAAAACATATTTAATTTGTTATTTATAAAGGCCAAAAATATCTAAGAGGATATCATATATCTTTTATCGAATTAAACAAGAAGAAATCAAGAATAAATGGCATTTTTTAAAATAATCCCAGATATTTGTTTACTCCACTTTTGTGAATAAATACACATACTTACTAAATAATGTATCAGTTCCCTCTGTAAATTGTCTATGCTTATTGATGCAATCTTGACATGATATTTCTTACTTTGTGTAAGACTCCTGACATTTGTTCATATTTACCCGTCGAGTCAGGTAAATTTTCGAAATTGATAACGTCGCAAATATCTTTAGAAAATTTTTCTGATGACGGTAGTTTACTATATGGGGAAGAACTTGTCAATATCGGTGTACCCAAGTGCACCGATTTGACAGAAGCTTGATTTGTACTTGAAGATAAATTAGCAGAGATTGGAGTAGAATTTAATTCAGAGATAGTTTCATTGGAAACTGATGTGTCTAATTTGGTACTCGACATATTGAGCGATGTTTCATGATAAGACTGTGAACTTAACTTCATAGAACTCTTGTCAGAATTTGAACATTCTTGAGAAATAGAAGAGCAATTGGGTGTAATTGCTATACTGGAAAATGTCATGTCAAATGTATTGTTTGCATCGGTTTTAAGTGACGTGGAACAAAGATTAGAATGCGAACTGTTATCTTCAAGTTCTATGAGTAATTCTTTTTTTGTACTTTCTAAGTCAGATAGAGACGGTGAATTTGCAATCAAGATTATATCATCCTGAAAAAAATGCAATTTATAAGTTGAAGTGTATCAGGAAAATATTGTGCAAGTATATCTGTTAAAGACATACCACAGAATCAGAAGAAGGCAATTCTTGCGATCGTGAGTCTGAATCTTCTGATTGAAATAATGGTGGTGGTGCTGGTGGTGGTGTTTCCACTGGTTCTGTTGGTAATGGTGGAATAAAATGCCCATTAATAGGCACATTCTCCACATTTTCTATAAAAATTTTAATAAAATAATATCTTCTATCTTAATATGATAAATAGTAAATAAAATTTTAAAAAGTGAAAAGATATATTAATACGTTTCATGAGCAATTTTGATAATTATATTATACCTTCTGGCACTTCTTCTATTTCCATATCACTAGGCATTTCTGAAGAATTTACTATTGGTGTTATTGGAGCGGATAGTTTCAATTTTTCCGCTTATAACCGTCATCAGCTTTTTTCCCTCTTAAATGTAATAACATTATCTCTTTACTATGTATAGGTTGGATTTTTGGTGCCCAATATTTATGGCTTTCCTGCAATCCATCAAAAACCGAAATGTTTATAATTTCCAAAAATACTTGAAGTTCTTATAAGATCATTTAATAATATATGCCTTCACTATATGTCGCTTACGTCAATGGTGCCAGTTGGAGAAGGCACATTAAAACCAGGAAAGTCATATATTTTTTTTATGTCATATTGATCTTTATCTACATCTGTAATGATTTCTCCCTCTTCTTCAGTTGGATCAATTTCTGCTAATCCATCAGAATTAAACAATGATAATCCTGAATGTTGCAAGCGCGCTTCTTCCAACCACCCTGGAGGGTAGCCAAGTAATCTCATTCTAAGAAAAAATGTTTTGGAAACGTAGAAAGTGCCTAATTGGCCCATTAGATTGAGAATTAAATCTTTCCTTCCTCATTTTATTTCGTACTAACATATTTGTATAATAATAAAGAAAAAATATACACATTATCACGCGCACATTAACTTATTACAAAATAAAAATAATATAAATTCATAAAATATTATTGCTGATTAATATAGACACAGAATACTGATTTAAACATAATAGGAAGGAGTATTTTCCCAAAATCCAATGGATTATGTAATTAGTATACCTATATATGTGTTTAGGTAGTTCATTGGCTTTCAGTCCTAGAGCCTTTCGTAGTTTGAGGCTTAACTGACCAGGAATCATGTGACTAAATTTCTGATCCTCGCCCATATGATATCGAACTCCTGCATTATTTTTTAGAGCAAATTCTTTACGATTTTTATTAATATTGGTTTGATTTTTAGGCAATGGACAGTCTCGCAAATTATGATTTCCATTACAATTGAAGCAATTTAATTTTGGTGCATAATCTTTTGTCGTCACAGAGTCTGATTCCTTAGTAATATCCTCATATTTCTATGATAAAATAATGTTTTTTAAAAAGAGAATAATAAAGATGAAAAAAGGATAAAATTTAATGAATTAAAATAAATAATAAGCGAATAATGAGTATATATTGTGATATTTCTCGACCTTAGTGTAATTCAGTATAATTAATAATTATTTCGTATATAACATATAATGATACATATATAATATAATTTGAAAGATGACATACTTGTCCATATGTTGGAACATCTAAATCATTCGTAAAATTTGGTTTGTTATCAATTGTAAATAGTGAATCGCATATATCAGTACTTTCCATGCTATCATTTAATACACTATTGTCTTTTGCACTGATAGACAATTCTTGATCTTTGTAATTATCATTGTTATCCCAAATTTCTAAAATCAAACTTGATTCATTTATATCTTGTTCATTGGATGGTTTTGATTGCACTAAAGTGTGCAAAAAATCCTTAATTTGTTGTCGATATTGTCTGAAAATATATAAAATTTCATAATCTACAAGCAATTTAGTACAACAAATTGCTTTATAATGCTTTTTTAATTCAGATGTGTTAATATTGTTTATAGAAACAGATATTCATAAACTGTAAGATTTCAATACATATTTCACAAAAATATATAAACATATTATTACTTATTATTTATTATTAATATATATTATGTTAACAATCAGTAATGAATTTCATTATTTAAGATATAAAATACATTTGGATCTAATATATTTTTACTATTTTGTTTGTGTAAATTGTTTCATAATATTGTTAAGCAATGACTCATTTGTCAGATCTCTAATATATTAATAATAATATATCATCAATTTTAATAAACTTCCACGACTAACTAATAAATGCATTCGTAAAGTTATTCTCTCTTACTCTGATTATCTTGAATTACTTTATAATTGCAATTAAACGTAATAATTTTCTCCAAAATAACATTGCTAGGTACCAAAAGTAAAATAAATTTAAAACCAATGTGTATAAAAAAATAATTATATTTTTAATAATAAATAGCATGTGTTATTTCAATATTTATATTGAGACAATTTTCACCGTGTGTATTAAATATAATTTCCCAATTTCACTAATTCATATTTAAGTATAAAAAAAAAAAAAAAAAGCCTTGATCAGATGGGACAAATTTTCGCGCACACTGTAAACAAAATAAATTTAAAATATAAATATAGGATACTCGTACCTCGAGACACTCTCGTCGCGAAACATAACCTTGAAAACGGGTCGCGTTTTCGCAGCGTCGTCATTCTGCAAGACAGACTGTATATCTCTCGACGAGCGAGTTGTCACCTCAATATTTGCGTCGACGTCAACGTCAACGTCCGGAGACGAGTCGGACGAGTTCTCGTTGTTGTTCGGCTGGTTGATCGAATTGTCGAGGCAAAGGACTTCCGTGTCGCAACTTGAATCCAGTTCGATCAAATCCGTCTCGGAGTCCGTGTCTTCGAGGTTGATCGTCGCATTTAAAGGGCATTTAGCGTCCATACTCTGGTCGAGTATTTGAACACTGCTGTTCATTATGAAACACACGGTGAATTCTTTGTGATTTTCGCGCTTGTTTCGCTAATTGACACAACACAAATGGCTAGTGACGCCAAACGCACACAGAACGAATCGCGCATGCGCGCGCGAATACGTCATCGATCACGTGACCGACCTTTATTTTTCAATTTCTCTCTTCACGTAAATTTTTTTAATTTATTTAAATTATCCAAGCTCTTTTTTGTTACCTGTTAATATAATATATATAATATAATATATGTATTAAATGTTGCATTATACAAAGTATCTTTCATATTACACATGTAAGAAAATTTATATTAACTTTGTAGAAGACTGAAATAAAAAATCTTATTACAACAAATTATATATTATATACGCACATATTAAATTATCTATAAACAATGAATGAATAATTTTAATTATCTTATCTGACTTGAAAATTTTATCGTTTAATTCGTGTACATGTAATACTAGTTAATTGCACATGTAGGTTTTCATTCGTTTAAATGTGCAAATTAAATCCTTTTTTTAATATTCGCTTTTTATTACAATTATTTGTATTATTTTCAAAATTATGCACATACGACTCTATTATTTGGAGCAAATTTAATTTTTTCTTCATATTTTTATATCAAAATTTTATTGAAAAATGCACAAGGCAAAATATAGAGCATCGTGCAATGTGAATTAGGCAATTATAATCTTGATCTACGAAATTATCGATCATCCATGAAAAATCGAAATGTCTCCTTTATAAATATTTGACAATGCCATTCTTAAAAGTACAAAAAACTACGTGGTGCGAGCAACAAATAGAATCTTGCAAACGAAATGGTTGGCGACATGCTATATACACGCCTGAAAGGAAACGCATCGTTAAAGCGCATTATAAGGGTGAATGGAGAAACGATAAAAGAGAGGGCAAAGGCATAGGAGTAAGCAGGTATCATAAAATTACATCCCTCTAGTTTCCTCTTTCGGCTATCTACTTGACCTTTATCAACGTTTTATTTCTGGGATATGATTTTTTTTATATAATAACCACAAGATAATTTTTTCGATAAAATATAAATTGCACTCATTTCTATTTAATTTTATAATTTAAAGAGCGATATAAACAAAAATATTAAACGTATATATTTTAATTATAATTTCTATTTAATCTAATCACACGGAAATGTAAAAAAAAATTAATTATAAATTTTGGCAGATATTAAATGATTAAAGAGAGACTATTTTTATATATCGCTTATATATAAATATACATATCGATATTTTATTCGTTATATTATAAAATCCTGCAGCCATGGCTGGATGTATGAAGGTGACTGGCTCAAAGATCGCAAACACGGATATGGTATCCTAAGTAAAATTTCAGAAGACGGTAACATACGTAAAGTATACGCTGGAGAATGGGTGGAAGGAAAAAAGCACGGATTCGGGAGCAACTGGTTTAAGGACGGCAGCTATTACGAGGGCACGTTTCGGAGAAATAAACGGGACGGTTACGGTCAGATTTGGTACAAATGCGGCAGTAGTTATTATCAGGGCGCATGGTTAAACGATCGTTATCATGGAGAAGGGGTACTCATTCAAGGTATCGTATCGTTAGTTAAGAAAGAGAGCAGACATACACGTGGAACTTTTAAATTACGATTTCGCAAAATAAATTCGCTTAGAAATATTTGTAATTTTTTCTTCTTTTAATTATATATTACATAGAGATAAAGAGTGATACATTTTTTCCCCAATTGCTTGATCTTATTCTCAATTTGCCGCGCACTGAAGCATATCAACTTTAAGCTCTCTTATATTAGTTTCTCTAGTTTAAGCGCGCTCGAGATACTTCTTATTTGAAAATTCATAAATATTTGTCCTAAAAATATCCCCGTAGAAAACGGTAATCTTTACGAGGGTCAATTTATAAATGGCAAGAAGGAAGGTCGAGGAGTCTTCCATCACTTTGACAGCCATCAAGTCCAGAAGGGTCGTTGGGAGAATGACGTTTGCGTCAACAGCACGATAGAGGACATCGACTACTACCGACAATCAAGTTTATATCCAACGTTATTACATATTCCAAGGATAAATGGCCAAGCAGTGCCACATTTATAAGTGCATTACGTCATCTCTCTCGTTTACGTCTTCTATAATCGATTTAGGTGATATATACTTGTTACCAGTCCTTTCCGCATTTGCGGGAAAATATATAATGCGTACGTGCGATTTCATATATACTTCCGTTTTATTTTGGCCATCGCAACCCTGATTCGTGCGCCGGAAAAATATATACAAACAATAATACAACATATATACATTTGTTTATCATCATTGAAATATAACGAGTCTCAAAATTATTTACATTCGAGTCCCTCCTTCCCCACGTTCCGATACATTTCTTAGGCAATCGTATGTACTTCAAAGTAATGTACTTACGCGATGAAATGTTGATTGTAAGTGAAATCGCTGCGCGAGATATTTAACTTTCTGAGTATCTTAATGGAAAGTTTATGCAACGCGAAACGTGTATATTATTCGTACGTGCTGGACAACCTGTTCAAGATAATTAAGAAATGTAAAACCTTCGCCGCATTTTTCGAAAATAAGCACGTTTTTTCAATAAAAAGATAAGTACATTTGACTACATAACCAGTCGCGTCACCCTCCGATAAAAGGCTATCACTAGCTAGTTCTTTAAGCTGCGTGTAACGCGGGTCACACAAGTATCTCCTTATCCTCAGAACGTATTATTCTTCCTACATTTAAGTCGCAACGCGAATGAAGGAATGTATTCTGTGTCTACATATGCAATGACGTTTTTATCGAACTTTATCAGCTACTGACATTGCGATATGCTTTTGTCGCATCTCCTCGTCAACGCGAGCGGAGTTTCATTGTACTTACATCTAATTTACATCACAGAGGACACGCGTATAAAAAGAAAAACACAAAAAGAAAAGAAAAAGGAAGATTTTATCTGACCGAACTTTCACAACATTTATAATATTTGCACGCAAAGTGCACGAAAATCATTTGTCATGTTCTTCGTGTATATAACTCGAGAGATTCGTTTCCCAGCGGGAGATCTTCGAGAGAAACATTACTTGTACTCATCGCAACGTCCGCATGATGTAACAAACAGATCTCCATTTCTCTTGCTTCGCCTATTTCGCATCTTCTTTGCGCGTTCCTCGATCTAAGACAATCCAGACAATAGGCAAGATCGAGGAGACCAGTTCAAACGACATGTGTCATTCCGGTCCGCAGATTGACACCATTTCTGCTCTCCACATCCGTGGACTCGATCTGTTCTTTGAGTAACTCGAGTTCTCGTATACCAGATACTGTGACTTCGTACTTATGCGCGACTAAGCTCCGATAAAAGTGTATCGCGAACGCGAGGAAGATTATCAACACCGGTATCAGCACTATGCAAGCCGACCAGGCGGCCTCCTGCGAAAAGTCGTAAAACTTCACCCAGCAGAGTATCGCTATCTCTAGTAGAAATAACAGGAGGCCAAGCAACGTGGAGAAGGCCCACGCGATTTCGATGTACCAATGTAGACGTTCGTGTGGCGACTCGTGCACGAGACTTATGCTGTGCAGATTGCAGACGGCCTCGATGTTCGGTAATATGCACGTGGATATCATTAGAGCCAGCATATGAACGGCCACCAGCAGAGTCGTGCAGACGGCAAAGGCGATCAGCATCGCCGTAGGAACTTTCGTGGTTTCCGTCAGCTGTACTTCCACCATGGCAACCTGCAGAGACAATCTTTTTGATTTTTATCCCGATTATTATCGAGAATCGTAGAGACTATCATTTATATTCAGAGAGAATTTTATAAGAATTTCTCTGATTAATATTTTTACTACAATTAAAAATATTGATATCTACTACAATAAGAAAAATATAAAATATGTTCGATTAATTTTACTATGTTTACATATTAATTTTTTATTGTGGTAAACATTAATCAGAGAAATTCTTATAAAATTCTTCCATGATTACCATGATTTTCAGGGTAAGTTCTAAGAGAAAATTCTCTCCATGTATATTCAAAATTTTAAGTATATGTTACGATGTTTTGTAATATCAAATTTGCGTGACCCAGAAGGGATAAAATTGAAAAATATATACATATAAATAAATATAATTTAAATATAATTTAGGATATAATTTATAATTAATAATAGATATAATTAATAAAAAGCTACATTTGCTCTTTTTTAAAAATCTAAAATATTTAAATATAATTTTCTACAATTGTTTCTTTGTTCACGCAACCTGACGATATAAATATTTGCTTAAGCTCGCATATTTCGAGAATATGAATCATCTCTTCAACTCGCAGAAAATTTTTTTTCATAAACAACACAATAAATCCATGAAGTCTATATCATTTAAAATTGCATCTCATCACTTTGATTAATTATTGCAGCAGACGTATATTTATGAATAACCTTGAGAATATATTATAAGAGAGTCGTAATAAAACTTTGTCGCTGCTGATGAACGCTTGTAACGAAGGCTTCATTCATCTCTCGCGATGTTTCCTTACCATGGCGAAACCAGACAGCAGGGCCGACGTTTTACTGGACGCCTTGAGTTTGGCACGACTCAGCTGCAGTTTTCTCCAGGACAGGTAACTCGGTGTGTGAAGACCATCCCCCGCTTGCGACATCGTCGACTGGCGAACAGAACGAACGCAAGGACGGCAAATTAGTTCGGACTGAGATGAAAAGGGTTTAATCAAGGACAATCGTAAAGTAAAAGCAGGAACGCGATTCTCGTTGTCATACGCCGGGCTAAAGCGTCTGCAACATTTAATCTTGCGATAACTTATCTACTAATCTTGCATAACTCTCCGATGAAAGCTTAAGCACGAATAAGAGAGAAAGAGAGAGAAAGAGAGAAGGGCACATACCGAAGATCGATGGCAACGTTGGTGCCAATGGGAGAACTTGCCAAAAGTCCCGCGTAGGACAAAAAAACCAATGGGTGCTGAACGAAACAAATAATAACGATAATTAATGAAAACATAGAAAAGAGAATACGAATGAAATGGAAGATCGAGAGACCGCATGCGTCTTGCGGGAAGTCTGGCAAGCAGAAAAGACGCACTTACACGCGCGTTTCAGGGAGCTGATGCATGCACTAATGAGAGACACACGTGACTTACGCGATGTTTTCTTATTTATCGGAAATATGTTGCTTTAACGGCGATCTTAAAATTTCTGGTTGTCAGCGAACGCGAGATTGCAAACTCATCAAAAAAAAAATAGATATTTTTTTAATAAAAATATTTTATAAAATATTTAATATTTAAATAAAAATATAATTAATATTAAAAAATATATTTGATCTTAAAATTTCAGCTTGTCAGTAAACGCGAGTTGTAAACTCATCGAGAAAAGAGTATATATAAACTTTTAATAACAATATTTTATAAAAGATAGAAATAATATTTAAATAAAAATATAATTTATGTAAAATATAATTAATATAAAAAAAATATATTCGATCTTAAAATTTCTGCTTGTCAGCAAACGCGAGTTGTAAACTTATCGAGAAAAAAATATATTTTCTTAATAAAAATATTTTATAAAATAATTAAATAAAAATATAATATAAAAAATATTTTTTATACACATCTAAAATGTAAAATGCAAAAATATATAGAACAAAAAATAGTTTAAATTGACCAGGCACTCGATGAAATGTGCGAGATGAATGCGTTCGAATATTTCTGATACTCGCGTGACGATCTATGACGTATCCAAGTACGATAATCGACTATAATTATGAATGTAAATACAAACGCAATTAAATGATGATATTGGCGTTTCTTTTCTCGCTATAAAATGTTTCAAAAATGTATAACTCGTGTATTTAATATGTGTAAAAATAGTGACTAGTAACTGAGAAGGTGGCACATTTGTCATCCGATAACCAGACTTTCGTGTATTTAGTTAAAAGAGATACGATTGACTTAAGCCTGTCAGTCTGTCTGTCATTTCGACAACTTGATGTGCAAGAAGTACGCATTTCAAGCACATCCTCGAGTGGTCGCATCAAAGCATTTTCTCGGATTATCATTTCGTCAAGTCTTTTGTGAACAATGTACATGTAATTACAAACGCAATACATGATTAGCGTACATACATTATAGCAATAAGTAGAAAGAGGAAGTATAGATACATGATGAGAGAGGAATATCGTATCTTACGTCATATTTTTAGATAAGAATATCACATATAATTGTCGTGAAACTCTCAACAATATAATGCAATATCTAAAAAAAACACGTATACATGCGATATTTTTTCAACGGAAACGGCTAATTAATATTTATTAATGCGCGAAGAATAATAAGAAGAATTTTACAATATCTATCACCGTAATTAAACTGCAAAAATCGGCAAATCGTAGCAAGCTTATATAACAAACGCAAATATGTTCATATGAAAAAAATCTAAATTATAGTTATATATCAGTGCATGCATATAATAGATATTTTATTAATTTCAGATAAAAACACTTTATTTGAAAAGTACAATTCGCGACATGCAAATAAAAAAAAATATATACGAGAGTATGATATTATGATGTTATCGTTATGAATGACATCCGGATAATTATCAGTACGTAACACATTCAGAAACATTAAAAAACATTGTGCGTTCAAAGTCAAATGTAACAGCAGTAGGTATTCGAATACAACTAGAGGATTTTAAAGAGAAGCATGCACACACAGAGTCATCAAGATATTTATCGAAAGGAATTAAGCGCAATGAAGCTGATATCGATGCTCGATTGATCAGTCGAAAGATCAAAACGTTTGTTTTAAAGCTGCTTTAAAAAATATTTGTTATTACGAATCCGTTGAAAACAATTCTATGTATCTATGTGCGCGTATATACTGAAAAAAATGTATTAACTTGACTAAACCTTTCAACTAAATTACTATTGTTAAATATTTGTTAATTGAACATATATTAGTATTTAAGTCAAATATATACATTTTGTTAGATTTAATATGTTACATTTAATTTAAGATTTAATATGTTACATTTTTATATGTTCAATTAACAAAATAATATTTAGTTTAAAAGTTAACAAATTTTTTTCGATGTATATGTATGCCTAATTTAAAATATACAGTGTTATGACCCTACTTCCGAACATTTCAATTTTCTAGTCTAATATATCAGAATTGATAACAGGATAAGAGATGCTTTTTAATTAAAATAGGAAGAGTAATGTTTTAGTTAAAATGCTTTTGCAGCAGAAATTTTTGAGAAAAGCTTTAAATGATTTAACACGTTGTTTTGCAACAAGAGATGATAAAGTGTCTGTATAAGCGGTTTGCAAAAAAGTTTGCGAAAACAAAATAAGTTTGCTGATTCAGAAAAATAACACACGAGAATATAACAAAGCTTTTAATATATATCTCATTATGTATATATTTGAAGTATGAAACTTAAAACATGTTAATATTGATCTTGAAATTGGGGAAATATATACCTTAAATATTCAAATCAGGTCTTCTGAATATTCGCAGTGATAAAAATCATAGTCAATTGCCTCAAACCAAACGACGACGGAGACGATGATGATGACGACGAGTATGCAGACACCAGAAACGAGAATAGTAATGACACGAAGGACGGAAACAAATGACACAAATGGCATATAAGAACACGTGCAGCAGAGGATGGAGAACAGAGAGAGGATAAAAGATGTACGTCGCGTGGGAGAGGAGAAAAAGGATCCGCGACAAGGGTTCTACAGAGCGGGGAGATAGATGTACCGACCTGACAGTGGTGGTGATGCTCGTGATACGGCTTGTGAAAGCAGTGGCCGTCAGCGTTGCGCAGGTGTGCGTGCGCCACGTGGACGTGGATCGGCAGGTGCGAAGTAGGGGAAAGCACAGCTCCGCCGCTCTCTGCGGCAAACACTGTATTGCGTCCGGAGCTGGTTGACCATACGGACATCAGGCTCGATCCTCGCGTGTTTCTCTCCGGAGCTGTAACCAAACAATATTAATGTAGAACGTAGCCTTCTTCTGGTCACGCGCTACGTCTGCGTTTCAAAACAGCTGTTCGAAGCTGTCAAAATGTGATATATAAACACTGAAAAACAAATTAACTTGACTAACTTTTCAACTAAATATTTTCTTAACTGAACATATATAGAAATATTTAAATTAAATATAATATATTAAATCTAACAAAACATGTATTTAATTAAAGTAATTAAACACTAATATATGTTCAAACAGCTGTTCGCAGCTGTCAAAATGTTGGATATAAACACTGAAAAACAAATGGTTAACTTGATTAACTTTTCAACTAAATAATATTTTGTTAATTGAACATATAAAAATATTTAAATTAAATATAACGTGTTAAATCTAACAAAACATGTATTTGACTTATAGTAATTAAATACTATTATATGTTCAATTAACTAAATAGTAAGTTTTTTTTCAGTGAAGGAAAAGCGCAATGTAAAATAAAAATTTGTATTTACGAGAAACGATAGAGGCACACGTAGATATTAAAAACTGATATTATTTTATTTTTACAGTTGTTTCAAACACATTAGACGTCTAATAGTGCTCGATAAGAAAAAATGCCAATATTTAATATTAACGACAAAAGCATTATGTAAATTACACTTCAGTTTTCGCTGCATATTTTATATTTTCTTATATATTTATTAATATACCTATAATTTAATATTAATATATAATAATACACGGAGAGAATTTTCTCTTAGAATTTACCCTGAAAATCATGGTAATCGTAGAATATGATGTTGAAAGAATTTTATAAGAATTTCTCTGATTAATATTTATTGCAATAAAAAATATTAATATAGGTACATAGTAAATTTTACTATATACATAGTAAAATTAATCGACTATATTTTATATCTTATTGTAGATAAGATATTAATATTTTTAAATTCTAAGATATTAATATTTTTAAATTCTAAGAGAAAATTTTCTCTGTGTACTACACATATAATTATTTATATATATTATATTAATTTAATATCTTATACTCTATAATCTTTTATATTATAGGTATAGTAATATTGTTCTTCAGTTATATTATAACTTTAATATATCAGACGATTTAAGCTTTGTAATAGAAAGTAATGCGTACAAAGACCCTGCTATAGGAGAACTCGAGAATTTCTCCGCTCTTTATTTTAAATCGCATTAATCTTGATTGTTCTCATCTTCATTTCAACGAACATCATAATAGCCTTTAATAATGTAGGACATCATAATAGGCGCTAAAGAAAGTGACATAAAATTGTCGCTGACACTGAGTCAGCGCTTCAATATGTTTAATATGATGGTATTTTATAACATTTGACGAAATTTAATTTCAAAATATTAATTTCGCCGACGTGTAATAAATTATACAAATCTGAAATGCGCGTGAACAAATTGCCTTCTTATATTTTGACGCGCCAAGAAAAATACAGCTAATAAAGGCGGATATATCCTTAGGTCATTTTTGTGTTATCAGTTTGTCATTAATTTTGTGCGGTCTGGGATTCGGCGTTTAGAATAATAAACAACGGAGATTCCGCGACGCGATGTCGCGAAACGTGTCACGCTGCTCGATTTGCTTTAACAAGCACGCCAATTAAACCGCTCATGCGAGACGTACACATTGAGAAAGAGAATCTTCTGCCAGAGCGATCGAAAATCTGCAATAGATGCTGGCGAACATATATAGATAGATAGAATTTCTCAAGTAAGGACATAATTAGAATAATTTTATTGACGCTTTGATCCATCATATGCAATGAGAGTTGCTTTCGAACATCTATACAAAGAGATTTTTCTCTTACAATTAGAATTGAAAATTATGGTAATCGTGAGACAATATATTTTTTGGAAGAATTTTAATATAAGTTATTTAACACATACAAAATATTATTATTTATCACAATTAGACATAAAATATGTTCGATTAGTTTTACTATGTACATATTAATTTTTATTCTGGTAAATATTAATCAGAGAAACTTTTAAAAAATTCTTCCAATATTGTCCCAAGATTACCATGATTTTCAGAGTAAATTCTATATATGATAAAATTCTTTCTGTATACTCGTTACAGAATAGTGAAAGAAATCTTTAGTTCTTCTTGTCAGATTAATCGATCAAACATTACTCCAACATTAATCCACTTTGACAAGTGGATTTTCACACGCGATCGAAGGACGAAAAAAAGAAATATATGTGAAAAACATGTACAGAACGTAATAAATTAAATATATGCATACACATGTGCTGTACATGCGTGTTATCTCTCTTACTTAAGGGACTCTAACTTGAGAATGACATGTGACTCCGTAAATTTATGTGTTCGCTGCATTCGCATACGTCGGATGTTTCCTTGTAATACGTGCAAGGTCAAAAATGTAATACATGCTCGCGAAAAGCGGTCTGGGTCAAATGTTGAAAAGGATTGCTCGATCTGATTGTGAGCGCACAATTATAGTTGAAGTAAAATGTAAAAAAAAAAAATATTAAATGACGCAATCTTTTCAGCATCTATAGAGAAAATATTTTAATTTGTGCGATTTTTTAATACAATATATATTTATATCTTGGAAAGAGAAACTTCGACATAACTAATCTAAAGTAAAACTTGATTTTAAAGCTTATAATTTAAATTTTATGGGTAAAAATGTGATCAATGTTTCTACACCCATTTCTATTCCCATTTCTCTTTATTATATATCATTTACATTTATTTTATTTCTTTTTGTTATTGTTTTATCCAATTTTGAAAACAAAAAACAAATTAATCTGAAAAAGTTTAATTATATACAATCTCATGAGATCATTTATTATTAAATTTAAAATCGATATTTTTCTATTCTTTTATTTACAAACCAACTGATATTTAAAAGTTGCATGATAATAATTCATAATTCATAATTGATAATTAATATTTATCTACACGACCTTTAATAGACACGAATGAGAGATTAATCGCAAATTGAATTACATAAGTAATTGCAAATAACATGTAGATATAAAAATAGTAAAGAATTGTATTATTATATAAACATAAATTATATTATTATATATTGTCACTTTTTATGCTTTTTATATATTTTTTTCTTTTATTTTATTCTTAAGATATATAGAAATATTTGATATATAGACAATTATAGAAGAATAATTTTGATGTAATCGGCCAATGTGTTTCCTGTTATTTTGTAATTTATTTAACCTGTTTCATCTTGCGAATAACATCAATGTTTACAAATACGTTTTATTGCGTCTCGAGAATTACAGTTTTAAACACTGATTCATTATAAAACTTGTGTAAACGTTCGCGTATAATTCGCATTGTTAATCATAATCGCTCTTAGCATTCGCATAATCCTACTTTTTTCGTGTATGATGATGTAACATTTAAAAATCTCTTTATACAAATAAACTTAAGAAGAATAATCGCGTATCATCTTTTTCGACCATATATCTCAAGTCTGATTATTTATTACTCTTTAAGTATATCTATTACTATTATTTAAATGTGCTAATGTAATTTTAATCATAAAAAATCCGATAATATATGCGCGATAAAATATAAAATTGTCATAATAATATATGCAGAATGCAATATGATAAATATTTTTTTTATTTCCTCTATACTTCACTGAAACAAAAAACTATTGATTTAAAAATATATTTAAAGTAAATATTAATTTAAATAGTACTATTTACTCATTTGTTCTGTTTTGAAAAAGGATTTCTTATATATCAAATCAGTATTTTTTCGTGGAAAATCAATATTATTAGTTTCAAATAAATGATGTAAAAGTACTATTTAAATAAGTATTTAAAATTCATAGTTTTGTTCAGTATTCTTTTAATTTTTAATTTTCTTTTTTTTTAATTTCCCACTTCTATCATTCTCTGCTCCCCTTTCCTTTTTTAAACATCGCTGCCAGCACTTTGACCCTCCGCTGTTTATTACGCCACTGATGGTACCCAACATACAACAAATCGTTATATACGTAACCCTCCCGCCTTGTCGGCGGCGAATCCGGCAGCGGAGGACAAACATAGACGCGAGGCGGCGAGTCTCGTCCTCGTATTCGCGATGCAGCCGGCCGGGCGAAAGTGAGTTGTTTCCATTTTCTCATAAAAACTATAGGATATCGGTCACATCGCCACGCGGTCACCGTTGCCAATACCGTGCATGTTTAATACCGTGCGTGCCAATATCACTAAAAATACGGACCTAAGAACGCCGGCCGTATCGCATGATCCCCCGCCGTTGCAGCCAGCTAGTACGGAATTAAATCGCGATTAATGCAATCGGAGGCGCGACCGCCCGATGACGACATATAGATCATTAACTAGCAGCTAATTACGATATTATTCTCGCGCAATCTTCCACGATTATGCGTCGCAGGATTATAATATCGCGATTCAATACAAGAAAAAGTTACGAAAAATTACAAAATGAGGTCGCGCATCGATGATAAGAAATGTGACAGGTCGTCACAAACGAAAGAAAAAAAAGAAAATTACCTTTCTCGGGACGAGAACTTTTAAACGTCGCGAAGTCATGATGGATCTCGAGCAAGATCCTTTTCTTCTCGAAAAATGTGTCTCCATCCGCGACAACTATCGCATAATTGATTCAGTAATTCGCACACACAAATGACAAAAAACGGGGATAACCCGCCACTTTTCGTTCGCGTGTCAAAAATCAACGCGCGCGCGCTTAAAAACACTCACAACTAAACGATGCTCACCCGAGGGACACCGACCGGCGACTGATGAACGAGCGTGCGACGCGCCGACGAGCGCGAGCGACGCGTCATCCGAGCGCGCCCGAGTTCGGCCGAAGATCCCCGAGCTGACGCGACGCGTCAAGCGCGCGAATTTGCCGCGCACATCTGACCTCTGTGACACATGTGTGCGTAGTACGTGCATTGAAAAAAAATTTTATTCTTCACTAAATCTTTCATCTA